ATATCACAATTCACACAAACTACTACCAAAAAAAATTAAAGATCATCTCTGCAGACGTTCCCTCTAACAATAGTTAATAATCCTCATCCGTAAGCAACTTATTTATTATGTGTTGCACCTGATCCATATGATTAGATGTCATAAGCAAGTGTCTGTGTTTGCACTGCATGAGTTTAGTCAATTGCAATGTCAATGGAGCAATGGGAATTGTAAAATTAGGCAAGAATTCTTCAAGTGTTATTTCAGAATTCCTTGCCTACAAGCTCTGAATATTAATGGACACAATAACAGGAGTCAGTTGATATCCTCCTATTTTGGACATGTCTTGGTAAAAGGCAAAAATTTAGATATGTGACAAATTATGATATTCAAATGTAGTTTCTATGGTGACCACACAATATTGTCCATTTCATTATAATCCAATCGTGTGTGATTACCTTTCTACTTAGTTATTGTTGATCACGTTATCTTCCTCTTGTGTACCTGTTGATGACATTCTTAACAATTAAGAATGATCACTTCTCCTTCTTTAACTCTCATGGTGGGCTGGTCGACGTTTACTTAACCCAGCCACTTTGCGCTCACGCTGCGTGTCCCAAATTATTCAGCATTCGCTTGTCCATCTGGTCATTCTGGAATGACTGCCACTATTCTGGACAGACCATTGGTCTCTGATTCTCTATGGATCTCAGCACGTTCATCACATAGACCCGCATCATCAGCAACCACTTTGTGGTTTCTAAACAAACAGACTTCACATCCGCTACTTTAACAACAACAACTTGCATTTATATAGCACCCCTCACGCAGGGTAGTGTCCCAGAGCACTTGACAGTGGTGAAGCACAACTCCGAGCTGGGGAGGGAGGCGGAGTTTCCCGTAGACACGGTTGAGAATAATTGCTTGTGTGATGATTATGGGGTTATGTATAAGTGCTTATTAAACAAGATATTGGTAGTAATATTGAAATGAATTAAGGGACTAGGAGGCCAGGATGAAATGAGCAACTGATGAGTCAGGAATATTCTTGTATGGAGTTGTCTTTAAGATCACAGTAGATGGAAGCAACATCATAACAACAACAACAAAATTAAATTTGTATAGCGCTTTTCACGTCGGTAGGACTTCCCAAGGCACTGGACAGACAGAGTTTCGGACCCGAGCTGGGGGTCGGGATTGGGGAGGGTGGAGGGCAGGGGGGAAGCAGGAAGATTGAAAGCACAGTCGAAGAGGAGCGTCTTGAGATGGGTCTTGAAGGAGGCAAGAGAGGGGGCGAGGTGGAGTTTCAGAGGGTTGGAGGCCGAATGCAGAAAGCCCACCAGCCAATGGCGGGGTGAGCGAGGTGGGGAACGTGAAGCAAGTCGGAGCCCACTGAGCGGTGGGAGCAAGCATATTGTATCTTAAAGCACTTAACAATGGAAGTAGTGGACACATCACATGATAACAAGTGAGGGTGGCAGAGAGGTAGTGATTAAAGCAATAACTCCCAGTAGAGGGTGTAACAGATCATTTAAGTACTAAACCTATGTCAAGGGAGTAAGTGTACTCACTGAAACACTTAACACTGATACAACACTGATCCAGGCAGAGGGCGAAACCTTGGGCAAGTTTCCTTACTCCACACAGAGCCTAATAATAATCCCTCCAAAACTAAAAACAATAATAAAATTGGTCATTTTCAATCTACGACGGTTTTGGACATTGCTGTGCGCAATTGGCTGCCGCGTTTGCCCACAAATATACAGTCAATTCACTTTACAGTGTATTCTGTGAAGCGCTTTGGGACGTCCTCCCGACGTGAAAAGCGCTATATCAAATGCAAGGATTATTATTATTATTATTAAAGAGTAACAATGATCACTGAAGTGCTAACACTCAGAACAAAATGATTGCGAACAATGAGGCACGAGCAGGCTATGGGATAATCCTGTACATACAATGGCTGCCAGGTTTCCCATGGGGTGTTGGGTGAGGGATTGCTGGGTGGGGGAAGAGAGCAGGGATGCACACCCAAGTAATTCATATCCAATACTTTAAAAAATACTGAATTTGAATCCCAGATTGGACTCCATAGTTTCCCTTGTAATATTGAACCAATTCCCACAGATAACCCCCAGTATATAACAATACTTTAGTAAGGCATTACCAGGTATTTATTTAATCTAGATTTGAAAAATATATTTAGAATTGGACAAGAAGACAGCAGGATACCCTGAGCTCCTTTTCAAGTAATGATTTGTCCTATCAAACCCTGTGCATATTAGTCATCACATCAGCTCGCTGACCTTCCAATCTGGGGAGGGGTATTGAAGGGAAGAATGAAGGCCCAAGCTAATAAAAAAATCTTCCCATAAAGTTATTTCCTTATCTGTTTTATTCATTTTTACTTTGGCCATTCATAGTTCTCAGGGGTAAAACAAAGGAAGCGGTGGCAGGGGAAGAGGAGAGGCAACTGTGACATGATTCAATTCTGTCCAGTGAAACCACATCCTGCTCTTGTCAAATTTTTGTTCAACTCAGAGCATTAATGAACACTAACAGTTCCTCTAGTCTGACCAAAGATCATATCTGCAGTTCATTGTCTGGGCGTAGAAGAAAAATTTCTTGGCTGTCGTCACGCGCTTGCCCTCGTTTCGCTGGTGTAATTCCCTCGCTCCCCTCCTGCCAGCCGGGACTAACTGACTTCTCTCTCTTCACTAATTATACCCTTTTCTGGACTCTTGCCAGATACCTTCTTCCCTCTCACAACTTGTCCTGAACATATTCATCCTCATCAATCATTGGTCTGGCGCCAGCCTGACTAATGTTGATAAAGTGAGTCTCCATTGTTTTTTCTATAATGATGTTATTCAGGACTGGCCTATTGGGAAGTCATCTCCTTATCTTCCTAGGCCTAGCACATGATGTTTTGCAGAGCTTTTCTCTCCATGTCTATCTGGTACCCAAGGTTACATTGTGCATCTGGAGAGAGGAGAGGTAACGGGTACCGTGGTTCCAGCCTGTGCCACATTCCGTTAGTAAGAAAGCTAATTTGGTGGCCATTTTGACCTGTTAATACAATTAATTAAACATATCTTAAAAGAATGGATGTAAAAAATCTTGTTCTATTCTAAATGATTATGGCTTTATCGCAACACAATGCGTTCAAATAAAATGCTGACTTTCTCCAATACGTTATGTAATTAAGTGAAATGGTGGGGAGATTTGGGGGCTCCCACATCCCACCGTGTGTTTGCTTTTGCTCTGTCAAAACCTGTATGTAAGTCAATAGCGTCCATTGCCTTCCCGGCAGGAGCTCACCTCTCAGATCCCACCCCTCAGATCCCACAGGAATAAAATGATAATAATAATAATCCTTGCATTTGATATAGCGCTGTTCACGTCGGGAGGACGTCCCAAAGCGCTTCACAGAACACAATGTAAAGTGAATTGACTGTATATATGTTTTGGAGGGATTATTATCAGGGGTGGAGTAAGGAAACTTGCCCAAGGTTTCGCCCTCTGCCTGGAATTCAACTCAGATCTCTCGCATGCAAAGGGAGTGCTCTAACCACTGAGCTACAGGACTCCACAGGAATGGCTCCAGGCTGAGCATCAACAAGCCACAGCTGTCCCAGCACTGCACCTGATAGATATTTCTTCCAGCTAAGCCTGTAAGCAATAAGTTTGCGTGGCACAGAGATTTAGAAAAGAGACGTGGACAATTCTGTTCCACAAAACAGAAAATTGGTTATTGTCCTTTTGAAAAACAAGGTTCCCCTCATGTACTTAACACCCAGGGATTTATAATCAGAGGTGCAGTTCAGGTCTCCAACACACTTTGTCCCAGTGATCATTTCTTCTCTCAGTGTCTAGTTGTTGAGCAGAGGCAGACTATCAAAACTATCAGAGTGGTAACATGGCTTAGTCAGTGTCTTCTCGAAATAAAGTGTGAGTTAGTTAGTCAGCTGTGCCAGCAGTACAAACTCTGAGGGATTTTTTTTGCAGCTCAACAAAACCTCACGTTGGTGTGTGTGTGTGTGTGTGTGTGTTTAAAAGAGAAGCAGTTTCTTGTAAACAGCCCATAAAAGTGAAGCAAGTGATAACCGTCTGTCTGGCCTGATCACATTTCATCAGTTTGCGAGAAACATCAGATTGCATTTTTCCGGGAGAGGAACGAGCATTTGATTGATGAGAACTACACTACATACCATAGCCAAGTCTGTGGTTTAAATGCCAAAATAAAATGAAGGGTATGTGCCCCGAAGGATAACTTGTATTGGGGAGTACGATACGACGCTCCGATGGGTAGTTAAGATATTGCGACCGCATAACGTGGGGAGGAAGGTATCGCTGTGTTGGGAAAGTGAAGAGGGAGGGATGCCCTGAGGACTGGGGCTCTCATTGGGGCTCACCTCACTACAGCCCGAGTGACTGACTGACTGACTGACTGAGTGAGTGAGTGAGTGAGTGAGTGACTGACTGACTGACTGAGTGAGTGACTGAGTGACTGACTGACTGACTGAGTGAGTGACTGACTGACTGACTGAGTGAGTGAGTGAGTGAGTGACTGACTGACTGACTGACTGACTGACTGAGTGAGTGAGTGAGTGAGTGAGTGAGTGAGTGAGTGACTGACTGACTGACTGACTGAGTGAGTGAGTGAGTGACTGACTGACTGAGTGAGTGACTGACTGACTGACTGATTGAGTGACTGACTGACTGAGTGACTGAGTGAGTGACTGAGTGAGTGAGTGAGTGACTGACTGACTGATTGAGTGACTGACTGACTGACTGAGTGACTGAGTGAGTGAGTGAGTGACTGAGTGAGTGAGTGACTGACTGACTGACTGACTGACTGAGTGAGTGAGTGAGTGAGTGAGTGAGTGAGTGACTGACTGACTGACTGACTGACTGATTGAGTGACTGACTGAGTGAGTGAGTGAGTGAGTGACTGAGTGAGTGAGTGACTGACTGACTGACTGACTGATTGAGTGACTGACTGAGTGAGTGAGTGAGTGACTGACTGAGTGACTGACTGACTAAGTGAGTGAGTGAGTGAGTGAGGAGACCAACTCCCCACAACGCGGAAGACGGTCGGTGCAGAGAGACCCCGCAGTCGAAATGAAGGGACTTCACGACTGCAATGAAAAGGCTGTATCTGCGGGCTGCGTGGCTTTGGCTGCACTTGGGGGCTTGTGCCTTCAGCGACAGCTGCGGCAGTCAGTCGCTTATGGGAGATACACCCCTCCATCATTCTCTGGGATATTAATCCCGGCTAAGATCGCCTGGTTTGTCCAGGAGCTGCCTTCATTTCTCGTTCCTGTGCTGCTCCTTTACCGGTCAGGCAGCCTGGAGACCCTGGGATGCAAGCTGCTGCTCTTCATGTTTTGTGGACACTATTTTCACAGGTATGTTTCTATCATTCTGCACCGATTGGAATTGTTTTGTGATCCTCAAAAGAAAAAAAAAGAGAAAAATCCTTCGATCTTTCGCTTTCAACTCTTGTCTGCTGCACTCATCTACAAATACACAGTCATTACATTTTGCAGTGAAATGTTGTGAAACACTTCGAGACGTTTCAATGATGTGATAGGCTTTGGTATCAAACAGAAATAACAGCAAAGTGTATCGATTGTGCATCTGTGCAACAACAACAAGATTGCATTTGTATAGTGCCTTTCATGTTGGGAGGACGTCTGTAGATGAACATGAGAGCCAATTCCATACCATAAAGTTAACAATCATGAGTCGATGAACATTTTTTAACTGGAGCATTGTTAGCTACGACTTTGGGATAAACAACCTTCTCTTTTCAGATATTGTCACGGGATCTTTAATGTTTCAATGCAAGCTTGACCGATGTAAAAACTACAGTTCAGGTAGAATAACAAAATCAATAATAAGTTACAGTTTGATAGCAAACTGCTTGAAAATTTGAGAACTGAAATACAATCCGGTGCATAAGAGATATGATATTTATAGTGCATTCTGTCATTTTCAAGTCCAAGTTGTAAGTTTAAACTAAAAAGTAGTTCAAATAGATGATAATGACCCAAAACTAAAAATTGAAGAGTCATTCTCACTCTGCAACTGTACTCCAGCATGAATCAACAACTTCTAGGTAAAATGGAGTGAAATTTGGAGAAGGATAAATGTGAGAAAAAGCATCTTGATGTGATTAAATATATCACCTATTGTGGGACTTGTATTGTGGGACAGTTGTAAAGCTGTATGTGAGCTTTACTTAGGTTGCCTGGGAATCATCTTGCTTTCTATTCAAAGCACATTTATTTCACTCTGTATAACATTGCTTGTTGATGTTGGACGTGCTAATTTAACTGTGAATCTCTAGCAGTTTAATTTGGGAAGTCGGTGTTTGAAAAATCTGGTTACTTTTGAACGGTTTAGACTCTCAAACCTGATCGAGAATTGAAAGTCCAGATTGAATTGTGTGAGGCTGCCAAGTTTTACCGGTTCAATATGGACCCAGGCACACTGTGCTCATCCAGGCTATTATCTCTATTGCCCGAATGATGAAAGTTTTAGAGGAGAGAGCTCCAACCCATGTCAGGGCTGGGAACACAACACCTGTTTTATTACATATAATGTTCAGCACTGAAAACAGGCCACTCAAAACAGGCCACTCAATCCAACTAATCTGTGCCACTGATTATACTCCACACTAGCCTCCACCCATCCAACTTCATCCACTTCAGATTTAAGGTAGGAAGACAACTGCGGGTGGGAACAGGCTCTTAAGTTGTATCTAACAACTTAATTCACAGGTAAGCACTGATCAGGGTTATCTTATGGGAAAGCATTAGAGTCCATACTGAATAGTATACATTGTGTACTGCCCCAGGCAAATATATACCTCACAACCTCACACAGTTGACAAGCTCTGTATTTAATATTTCATTATGATTTATGGGAAATTAATATCGCTGCTTAGTGATCAGTAATGATAATAATCCTTGCATTTGATATAGCACCTTATCACATCTTCAAGACATTTCAAAGCGCTTCATAAAATATACTGTAAAGTGAATTGACTGCAGATTTTGTGGGTGAAATGCAGCAGCCAATTGCGCACAGCAGTGTCCCACAAACTGTTGTGGTTTGAAGTGATCAATTTTTTTTAAGGAATTATTATCCCCAGAAAAGCAATCTGGCAATCGACTAACAAATGAGTTAGTACTTACTGCTAGGTAAACAGGTGTGTGGAGTAACAACAACAACAAGATTCCATTTATAAAGCGCCTTTCACGTCAGGAGGACGTCCCAAGGCGCTGCACAGTTGGGTCATGACCCGAGCATTGGGGGGAAATGGTCAGGGTGAGGGGAGGGAAGGGAGGGAGCGAGGAGGGGGGAAATGGTCAGGGTGAGGGGAGGGAAGGGAGGGAGCGAGGAGGGGGAAGAGAGTCGAGAGGGGAGCTGAAGGCTCGGTCAAAGAGAAAATAAACTTGCTCAACATTTTGTTCTGCCAGGAATCAAACCCAAGTTTCTTGCTTGCTCTAACCACTGAGCTAATAATACTCCACAGTAGTTAATTAATTACTGGCTTCAAGGTGGATCTCTGAGCTGAGTTGATAGCTGCAGTGAGGTGCACGTCTTATGCACCTCACTACAATAGATCGTGTCAGGTTGTAACACTTAATAGTTATTCACTATTGGCACAAACTGGCATGACCCATCACTGAATTTGCTGCCTGTACTTTCCCCATACATTTTGGATGTATTATTGCCCTCGCACACTACATACAGAAACCAAACAAATGGACAATTAATTGTAATTATGTGTGTAAATTGACTGCTGCATTCCCCTATTCCTCTGGCTGTTTCTTCTCCTTTGAGCACCTCACCCTCTACCATCCCTCCTCTCTCTCCCTCAAAATCCTCCTGGCTTCTTTCTTACTGATATCTCCTCTCATCCCTGTCCCTCTGCACTGAACACCTGCTCGTAATGGATGATTTCAACCTCCACTTAAACCTCCTCCTTGGATTTCACTGCCCCCTTCTCCTCCCTAAACCTTACCTTCCACAACAATTCAGTGACCAACAACCGTGAGCACTCCCTCGACCTCGTCATCACACATGGCCTTGACATTTCCAACTTGTCAATCACTGACCAGGCCATCTCGGACCACTTCTTCATCAGCCTCTCCTCCCACATCCCCCTCCCCTCTTCCAAACCCTCACCATTTTTTTCCAGTCCTGGAGAAAGCTTTCTCCTCACAAATGCCCTCTCTTCCTCAGACCTCCTCTCCCTCTGGCTCTCCATCCACAGCGCTCCTGATGCCGCTCTGGTTTCACTGCCGGATGTGAATCAAACATGTGTTTGCAATCAGCGATTTCCTGCATTCAACGCCAGAAAAACATGTTGATGGGGAGAGAGGAAAGAAATTATCTCAAACTTAGCTCAAACTACTTCCTTAGCATTTTGAAATGTGCATATTTTGGACAATTCTTGAATTTTTGAAGCTGTTTTTCTGCAGGTTCTTTTAATAATACTTGTTTCCTTTGATATAGCGCCTTATGCAGTTGAGACATCTCAAAACACTTCACAGAATATACAGTAAAGTGAATTGACTGTATATTTTGTGGGTGAAATAGTCAATTGTACACAGCAATGTCCCACAAACATGCATTGAGGTGGAGTTAAACTTAAAATCAGTTTAAAAATTGTGACTGAATTTGAGAATTGCCCCAAATTTATTTGCTGTGACATGCAGAAAGACCAAAGTTTAGATCCAGGTGGCATTTCTTCCTCAGGGAAATGTGAGTTTGTGTGGGGGGGTGAATGTGTGTGTGGTGGGTGTAGGGGGGAGGGGGTGAGGATGTGTATGGGGAATGCTGCATGTGTGCGGGGGTATATGTTGGTGTGGGGTGGGCTGTGGTTTGGGTGGATGTGTGTGTGTGTAGGAGTGGTGGGGGAGTGTGAGGTGTGTGTATGTGGGGGTGGGTGTGGGGGTTTTGTATGATTGTGTGTGGGGTGGTGAGGTGTGTGTGGGGGGAGGGTATGTGTGTGTGGGTGGTGTGAGGTGTGTGGGGGAGGGAATGTATGTGAGTGCGGAGGGTGGGTGTATGGGGAAGGTATGTGATGTGTGTGTGTGTGTCTGTGTGTGAGTGTGTGTGTGGGAGGGATTGTGGGTGGGGTGGGAGCTGTTTGGAAGTTGGGCAAAACATTTGTAATCTTTTTTGAGACAAACAATCTAGCTGCTAATTGACCATGAGACACATAATAATAATAATCCTTGCATTTGATATAGCGCTTTTCACATTGGGAGGACGTCCCAAAGCGCTTCACAGAACACACTGTAAAGTGAATTGATTGTATATTTGTGGGCGAACCCGGCAGCCAATTGCGAACAACAATGTCCCACAAACAGTCGTAGATTGAAAATGACCAATTTATTGCATGCACATGATTTTCCATTTAAATCCACTCCAACAGTTAACATTGACTATTTATGTTTTGACTTACTGGTATTTGATCTCTGTTAACTGGTACTTGGCAGTGCTTCTGATTTTCTGAGAATCTACTATAATTATGTATTATCACTAACATTGTTTGGTTGAGGGTTTCCATGCTGGAAGGCGAAAAGTTTTTTTTTAAAAAAAGAAATATTTTGAAAACTACACTGGAGGCTTACAAATGGTGTCTAGTCGGGTTAAAGACAGGTAGGGGAAAAGTCAGAGGGCATGAGGGACAAGCAGGAGGTCAGAGCCAGTTGAGCGGAGACAGCGGGTATGGGTTCGGGAGTAAGCAGAGGTAAGGAAATCTACCTCCCTACCACTCCAACCTACTCTCCAATCTCCGCTCGGCTGGCTCCAGCCTCCTGTTTGTCTCTCATGCCCTCCATTCCACCATTGGTGGCCACGCTTTCAACCACTATGCCCCAAAACTCTGGGCATTCTTCCTCTATCCCTCCCCCTTATCCCCTTCACATTTTCAGGTTGCATCTGAAGAGCTTCCTCTTCGATCGTGCCTACGGTAGCCTCCCCCTCCCCCCGGCTCGGAGTTGTGCTCTCCCACTGTCCCTTCATGAAGCGCGCAATATAAATGCAAGTTGTTGTTGTTATCTATACACATGCTTTTTTACACTCCATACACTCTATAAACTCCACTCTTGAGTGGAGTCCTGTAGCTCAGTGGTTAGAGTACTTGCCTTGCAAGTTAGAGACCTGGGATTGATTCCTGGCAGGGTGAAATCTTGGGCAAGTTTCCTTACTCCACATGCCTGATAATAATCCCTCAAGAAAAAAACCCAATAATAATTTGGTCACTCAATCCACGACTGTTTGTGGGACACTACTGTGCTGCCACGTTTCGCCCACAAAATATACCGTCAATTCACATTACAGTATATTCTGTGAAGAGCTTTATAATAATAATAATCCTTGCATTTGATATAGCGCTTTTAATGTCTTCTAGACGTCTCAAAGCGCTTCACAGAATAGACTGTAAAGTGAATTGACTGCATATTTGTGGGCGAAATGCGACAGCCAATTGCGCACAGCAGTGTCCCACAAACAGTCATGGATTGAAATGACCAATTTATTATATTTTTTGAGGGATTATTAGGCATGTGGAGTAAGGAAACTTGCGCAAGGTTTCACCTTGCCGGGAATTGAACCCAGCCAGGTCTCTCGCTTCCAAAGCAAGTGCTCTAACCACTGAGCTACAGGACTCCACATCTCCACAGCTTTGAGACATCTCAAAATGTGAAAAGCACTATATCAAATGCAAGTATTATTATTTTAGTGAGTGACGTGTTGACATCTGGTATCTGAGGCAGTAGAGGAGGTCAATGACAGAATACTTGATCCATCTTTCAAGTTTCAAATATAATTGCAAAACTGGTGACTATTAGAATAATCTATAATAATAATACTTGCATTTGATATAGTGCCTTATCACGTCGTTGAGACGTTTCAAAGTACTTCACAGAATATATTGTAAAGTAGATTGAATGAGTATTTTGTGAACGAAACACTGCAGCCAATTGCACACATCAATGTCTCATAAATGGTCCTGGATTGAGTGACCAATTTTTTNATGGGACTATTATTACTACCCGCAGAATCGGATTTCTACTTACCGCTAGGTAAACAATACAATAACTTTGGATGAGCCTGAGCTTGTTGATTACATAAAACTGCAGTCTAGAGGTATCAAACATGTGGATAAGGATTTGGGCTGCATTGGGTGTGAAGAAATATTTTCATAATGATATCTACAGTGAGATCTGTTAAATTAGCTAGTAATTTCTTGTGAGACACTTTGAGAGGTTTTGACATGGTAAGGCGCTTTTCAAAGCAATTCAATGAGCCAACTTTGAGTTCTTTACTGTTTTAAATATTCTTAATTTAATGTTATAACCTTTGTCCAACTACACAATTGGTTCATCTACATTTTATTCAGGTCAATGATTTACCCAGCTCCACTTGGACCTGGGCTTCCTATTACTGGGGCAGCTCAACCAAATCAGAAAGACTTTCTGCGAAAGCTGAGTGACCCATCTCTTAAATCTCTGAGTATTGATTCTCTTATCAGAGTAATTGTTCTACATAATTGTTCCAGGCAGGGTAAAACCTTGGGCAAGTTTCCTTACTCTACATGCCTAATAATAATCCCTCCAAAAACAACAATAAATTGGTCATTTTCAATCCACGACTGTTTGTGGGACACTGCTGTGCACAATTGGCTGTTGCGTTTTGCCCACAAATATACAGTCATTTCAATTTACAGTCTATCAAATGCAAGGATTATTATTATTATATAATGTACCAGTGTTGGAACCTCAGGTGTTTTAAAAACTTTACATTTTTATATTTCCATTGTTGGACTGCTTTGGTAAGCCATCACAAACAGAATCCTCACTTGATTGGTTTATTGGGGAATGGCATTGAAAGGGAGATGGGTGCTTTCAGACAGAACGGCAAGAAAAATTTAAAATGTATTGGTGGTTCAGTGAATAAAGGTACTATTAACATGATACCAATCAGGCAGGTGCAGGCTTGAATAATGCTTTTTGCTGAGCCAGTTCTGAATCAACACCATTTTGTCTCCAAGAGAGATGCAAGGATTGTTACTTGCATCTACATTGGAGTCCTGTAGCTCAGTGGTTAAGGCATTTGTTTCGTAAGCGAGAGACCTGGGTTCGATTCCTGGCAGGGCAAAACCTTGGGGCAAGTTTCCTTACTCCACACGCCTGATAATAATCGCTCAAGAAAAAAAACAATAATAAATTGGTCACTTCAATCCACGACTATTTGTGGGACACTGCTGTGGCCAATTGGCTGCTACGTTTCGCCCACAAATACACAGTCAATTCACTATATAGTATATTCTGTGAAGCGCTTTGAGACGGCTAGAATACATGAAAAGCGCTATATCAAATGTAAGGATTATTAATACTTATTGATACAGCGCCTTTCACATTAGGAGGACATCTCAAAGTATTTCAAGCATTTATTGTAAAATGTAGTAACTGTGTATTTTGTGGGCGAAAGTGGTAGCCATTTTGCGTACTATGAATGGATATATATATATCCTTGCATTTGATATAGCGCTTTTCACATTGGGAGGACGTCCCAAAGCGCTTCACAGAACACACTGTAAAGTGAATTGATTGTATATTTGTGGGCGAACCCGGCAGCCAATTGCGAACAACAATGTCCCACAAACAGTCGTAGATTGAAAATGACCAATTTATTGCATGCACATGATTTTCCATTTAAATCCACTCCAACAGTTAACATTGACTATTTATGTTTTGACTTACTGGTATTTGATCTCTGTTAACTGGTACTTGGCAGTGCTTCTGATTTTCTGAGAATCTACTATAATTATGTATTATCACTAAACATTGTTTGGTTGAGGGTTTCCATGCTGGAAGGCGAAAAGTTTTTTTTTAGAAAAAGAAATATTTTGAAAACTACACTGGAGGCTTACGAATGGTGTCTAGTCGGGTTAAAGACAGGCAGGAGAAAAGTCAGAGGGCATGAGGGACAAGCAGGAGGTCAGAGCCAGTTGAGCGGAGACAGCGGGTATGGGTTCGGGAGTAAGCAGAGGTAAGGAAATCTACCTCCCTACCACTCCAACCTACTCTCCAATCTCCGCTCGGCTGGCTCCAGCCTCCTGTTTGTCTCTCATGCCCTCCATTCCACCATTGGTGGCCACGCTTTCAACCACTATGCCCCAAAACTCTGGGCATTCTTCCTCTATCCCTCCCCCTTATCCCCTTCACATTTTCAGGTTGCATCTGAAGAGCTTCCTCTTCGATCGTGCCTACGGTAGCCTCCCCCTCCCCCCGGCTCGGAGTTGTGCTCTCCCACTGTCCCTTCATGAAGCGCGCAATATAAATGCAGCGCCTTTCACATTAGGAGGACATCTCAAAGTATTTCAAGCATTTATTGTAAAATGTAGTAACTGTGTATTTTGTGGGCAAAAGTGGTAGCCATTTTGCGTACTATGAATGGATAACCAATTTTATGTGAAACATGGTTGGCCAGAACTCATATCTAAGGATGTTGTGTGAAAGCAGGGCTTGGATTTGACGTCCTCCTATCACTTTGAAACTTCAGCCTTTTTGTTTATGGATTTCAACCAACCTTGCACGATATGAATTGCTGCCTTGTTTTATATATGAAGAATACCCTCTGGGCATAAAAGTGGAAGGTGGCAAGTGCCAAATGGATGTATACTCCAAGTAAGGTGCCATGTTAGGGAGAGAGTATGTGGTGAGGGTCAAGAAAATTGATGCAAATCGTTGGTTCAGATTTTGAATTTTCATTATTCTGCATTTTAGGACCTTTATTTATGGATTTCTCACCAACGGTCAACCTACTTCATTTCACATTGTTTGCCAAAGCTTTCTGTTTTGCACACTGAATGGATGGTTTCAGGCCCACTCCCTGATTAACTGTGCTGTGTACGAGGACAACTGGACTACTGACTGCAGATTCATTTTGGGTAAGTCCTGTTTATAACCCGGCTTTTTACAACTTCATATATGCCAGTAAAGGTGATTGAGGCCAGGACACTGGACTCGTTTAAAAAGTAGCTTGATGTCGCAATTTGGGAGATGGTAGGGTGGGTGTTCTGGATGGATGAGATTGGATGGGATAAAGGATGTTCTTCATCTAAACCAATCCTGTGATATCTTTTAAATGGATGTTCATTCTCTTGAAGAAATGTTGACTCAGTTTTCCTCTGGTACTTTGTTCAAATAGTTATTATTTTGTGAGTCTTGGCTGTGTATAACTGCAAGTAATTTGTCAATGGCAGCTTCACGACCAAAACCAGTCCTTTCCTCCCCCAATGTCAACATATCTGCACATCTCCAGCAAGGGACTCTGGACAGAAATCAAAACCCAAGAGTGCAGAGGCTGATGATAGTGCCCTGACTGAGATCAGCTACCTCAGCACAAACCAAGATGTTAACCTGCAACCTTCTGGTGTGTATGGACTAGTGCGGATTGTTGGAAAAATAAGGTGGAAAGTGAATTGACGATATTTTGTGGGTGAAAATATACACTTCGTTCCTATTAACCCTACAAGCCATAGCTCTAATGGGCAGGGAGGTCCTAGCTGAACAAGCAGCAGTGAGCTTCCAGAGAATGTTGTCAATGGCAAGCTAGGCAGTTTTAGCTGATTAAGCATCAAGAGTTCCCCCACGCTCACTGAGGCCACAAGCCTTACCCATCGTCAAGCTGTTCACAGGAAAAAGTCCCAAATTCCTTCAGTCTCTGCTCATAGGCCAAACCACTCACTACGGTACTTCCCTTATAAATCTACTCTGCCCCTCTACTATCACCGAAAAGGTTCCTGTTACAAGGGCCTATGTTTGTGGGTTCTGAGTGAAAATGGTTTCAAGCACAGCTGAAAGGTACCCTCAGATCCAGGGTCTAGGCCAGTAGTTCTCAATCAATTTTTTTTGGTGGGCACAGTGAGTCGTCACCAACACTTGCTGGCATCCGCAGTGCTAATTTTTAAAAAAAAATACTTAATCATATGAAAAATAAAGGAAATGTAGACACATGTGGACCTTAAATGGTTTTAATTTATTTCAGTACATCTGACAAAACGCACTTGACAAAATGCTTTCACACAATAGCTTGCACAGACAATAACAAGAACAGTACATTTAAAAACCATATGAGATGTGCAGTAAAAAATATTATTATTAGGGACTAGAATTATCGGGACAGTTGTAATGGGCTTAAAGGTTAAGAGCGATCACACTGACCAACTTGTGACTGCAAGTTTGTTCTAATGCTTTGGATTACTAGCACTATATCGATATTAAAGCTGGCCAAAAGCAGCTGCACACCTCATGTAGTGTGGGGGCCTCAGAAATATCAGGAGTTTCTTTTTATATCTGTTGCTATTTTCCTATCCCACCCACGAGAGATGGGTTGGTTCCCACCTCTTGCAACCATCAAGCTGGATAATGTGGCAGCCGATCTGACGCACAGATCTACAACTGACATAATAATCTTTGCATTTGATATTGTGTCTTTCATGTAAAAGCTCTTCACACAAAATTGCTATCCTGTGCAGTGACTATTTGCACGTAGCAAGATCCCACAGACATTGATGAAGTAAATGATCAATTTATCTGGAGAATGCTTGGCCAGGGCACAGGAAGGAATTTCTTTTTATCAATAGTATCAAGGACTCCAAGAAAAGGACCTCAATATAAGGAGTCTCCAACAACGTCTCCAACAACATAATAATCTCAGTAAGGCACTTGAGTATTATTATTTTGAATCCATAGCTCTGACCCAGATGTGAGAGCGCTATGAACTAAGCCAAGTTGCCACCTCAATTTCTGATGGATAAAAATCCCTTCTAGCATTCCATACATTGCCTTTGGTGATGTCGGTTACCAATGGGATCTCCCATTATGTCGCACATTGTCAAAGGTGCTAGGCTTACCATTGACACAATTTTTACACCTGGTGTTCAAAATCCTTTATGGAAATCAAGTTCTGCAAAAGCTTTTCTTCCTCACAATCTTACCATTCAAAGTGGACCTACCTTGAGCGTTTTGAGATGTCTAAAGGATGTAAATAAATAAATAAATAATCCTTGCATTTGATATAGCGCTTTTCACGTCGGGAGGACGTCCCAAAGTGCTTCACAGAACACACTGTAAAGTGAATTGACTGTATATTTGTGGGCGAACGCGGCAGCCAATTGCGCACAGCAGTGTCCCACAAACAGTCGTAGATTGAAAATGACCAATTTAATTATTGTTTTTGTTTTTTTTGGAGGGATTATTATTAGGCTCTGTGTGGAGTAAGGAAACTTGCCCAAGGTTTCGCCCTCTGCCTGGAATTGAACTCAGGTCTCTCACTTGCAAAGTGAGTGCTCTAACCACTGAGCTACAGGACTCCACGCTATATCAAATGCAGGGATTATTATTATAGTCAGAATTTTGTTTCCCTTGTTTATTGTTGCTTCTATCTGGTTTCACATGGTGAATGGGAAGTCAACATACATCACCATGTCTCTTTCAGCTTCCCCCTTGAACAGTTTCTATACTATCTTTATTCTATCTTTAGGAATAGAAGGTTATGCTTGAAGGCTTAGTTGAGGAAGGGCAGGAGGAGGCTCGTGTGGCGCATAAACACCAGCATAGACCAGTTGGGCCGAATGGCCTGTTTCTGTGCTCTATATTCTAATGTCTAATGTATCCCTGGAAAACATGTGCCTCCTATTTTTACATCTTTTATACAGTACCTTGCATTTATCTGTATTGAATTTAATTTGCCAATTATTTGCCGATTATTATACATTGTGCATACCTTTTCAAATGTTCTTCATAAGACCTTTGCTGACTCCTCTGATTCCAGCATCCCTCCACACCCAACTTGATGTCACCTGCTAATCTTTTTCTTTTGCACAGAGATTGACCAGGGCCCACAGGGTATTCCCCCTTCCTGTACATTACTGTAAATGACAGTTCTAATCAATTGCTACAATGTTATTGCTACAATAACTCAATGAGTCATAGTAGTGTTACAATAAACATGTTGGTCGTTAGCCATGAGCTTGTGACTTAATACAAGCTATTCCACTCAGAATTGGTAGCTGTAAAATAAGTTGACTGTATATTTTGTGCGCAAACACGGCAGCCAATTGCGCACAGCAGTGTCCCACAAACAGTCGTGGATTGAGTGACCAATTTATTATTATTATTTGTTGAAGAAATTATTGACTAACAACCAAGTTCCTACTAATTGCTAGGTAAACAGAGGCGTGTGAAGGAAACTTGTCCAACATTTTGCCCTGCTGGAAATCGAACTCAGGTCTCTCGCTTACTTGGCAATTCTCTAACCACTGAGCTGCAGGACTCCACAAGGACTAGTGTGTAAAGGTTCAAACCCCCTTTGTTCTGAGTTATCTGAAATCAGTTGGTACAGCAATGGGGATGCTATAGTACGCATCAGTTCATCTCATAAAGCTCAATGGAAAAGCCTAATGAACGGGTTTTGTACTGGGGGCACCAGATAACAACAAACAAGTTACTTTTAAACTTTGGTGTGTTTGATTCCACCGGAAATATTTACACATGAACAGGTCTAATTTGTGATATTAATGGAGAATTCTTAAACTGGAAAACCCATTGACTCACAGGAATTCTGCTATGGAAGTAGATTTCATCAGAGCAGTTTCTGCAACTTGGTACAATGTACTTCCAGTTACCAGAAAAAGTCTATTTGTGCAACTTTCCTATTTAGTGCCTTATTCCATTTAAAAGATATTGCAAAGTAGATTTGAGCAATAAGGAAGGGTTATTTTTTGAAATGTTGTTTGTACAATATCATCGCTTATGAATAAGGGATTAGAGATTACTGTCGTTCACTAACTGCATCCTGTTTTACTTTCCACTCTTACAACAGAAAATGCCTAATTGTTTCTTAAAATTCCAACTTTTTTTGCTACCAATACTTTTGGGACACTGTGGAAGCCATCAATGCTTCCATCATTGTGAGTCACCAACCTCTTACAACCATGGCAGATATTTGGAAAATATCAGGCATAGAAATCAGAAACTACTTCTTCCACAAAGAGATGGATTCGGGGATGGAGTTCAAGACAGCAGAGATAGAATGACTGAAAGGTTGCCCGGCAATGTTGAGGAAGATCGGCAGAAGGCAGAGAGGAAGTTGGGTGTCATCATATACATAGAGAAGTGGACCTATGGTTAATGTCATCAAAGGAGAGCATGTACTCCCCACAAGCTCCCACCCATTTAAAAAAAAGGTAAAAAGGAGGGGTCTGAGGATAGAGCCTTGAGAAGCACCACATGTGACTTTGCAGGGGGCTGGAGTGTCTGGGTCAAGGAGGTAAAAGATGCCCAAGTTTCAAATGGAAAGAATGTAGCCATTGAATGAGACAAAATGAAAACACTGAGAAAGGTAGGAGTAAAACATGAAGGGAGGTTGTGCAGGGAGCAGAGAAGGTGAAGTGATTAACGGTGTCAAAGGCTGCAGGGGTTATGGAGAATAGGAAGGCAAAGGAAGCTTAAATTTCATATGGAAAGAATATTGTTGGTGATTTTAAAGGTAAATCTTCTCGGTGTGAAAGGCAAAGCAGAAACCAAATTCCAGGGCTTAAAGAGGGCATGGCAAAGGGGTGTAAGTATGGGGCAAGTGGACGCCTGTAGGGAGGGAGGGGTGCTTGAGGCGGAGGTAGCTGAACGAATTTGTTTGACTTCAGATCCAAGAATTCTGCCATTTGCCAATTGTTGCTGTCTGTGGGTGCACTGTGCTCTTAATGCTTCTGTATAAACCACAATGCTGCTTTCACATTGTTTTATTGTGGGAATCTTGCTCACGTATTGGAAAAATGATATTCAAACTTCCAAACAGCTTGTTTGTTTTACCTTTTCCCGCAAGTGCTATTAATCTGCCCGTGAGTGTAAAACAAGGCAAAGTCTACAACAATTAATAATTTCGAGCATGCCGTGAGAAATGGGTGAGTAATATCTTTACTGACACCTGAAGTGGAATTTTGAACTTTGAACAGTCTAGGCCAGGAATTCACTGCGTTGTCGGCGGGTCTGTCCTTTGGATAAGGTGTTAAACTGTCTGCCTGTTGAGGTGGACATTATAGATCTGTTGGCACTACTCCAAAAGAGAGGAGAATTTCTCTCAATGTTCTGACAAACAATCTCCCAAATAAAATTAGTCTATCACTTCAAGGGGATGTGTGCTGTGTGCAAATTGCTTGCTGTATTTGCCTACAAATTCCACAATCATTACACTATACTGTATGTGGAGTGCTTTGAAACATCCGCTCGTCGTGAAAGGTGCCATACCAAACCAAATATTATTATTGGGATTGTTTAAAATAAGCACAATCTTTTTTTTAACTGAAATATGTGCTTTGCATCAAGCAGCGTGTACTTTGGAGGTTTCAATTTACGAATGCACATTCTCTCCCTGAACTCTCTCTGACCTGCATGGGCTCTAATGGGATTCAAGCTTCCTCTACATTTGTGATGAGCATATCATAACAATGACAAATGGCCAGAAATATTCTGGTCTTGGTAGGAATGTTGTGTTCTTGGGGCCTCCATTCCAGAGTTAGTGAGTGTGGACCCTCCAGTTAAAGAGGGTCTGTGCAGAATTGAACAAAGACGCCATCTGGAGGTCCTTACAACCACTTGCAGTATATAGCACTTGTCATGGAGAATGAATAGTGCGATACATAAAAGATGACCTTTTCTCATCTCAGGAAGGAGACCAAAGATTACCTTCATTATTGTTGATGTACATCTATTTTTTACTTCATGGATTGTGCTATTGCTTTGTTACTTTTGTGAAGATTGAGATTGTGAGCAGCTGCAACTGCAAGTTCCATTGTTGCTACACTGTCAAATATGTGCAGTGTTGGCAAATGGTCACCAAACATTATTGCTTCCAGCGAGAGAAGACAGGCTTTTCAACAATTCCAGGCGTAAAAAACGAGCTCATAACTGGTGAAAGATCACAAGGTGTTTTTTAAAAAAGACTATGAGCTATTTGCTACTCTACCCAATATTCCTCTTGTTCACTTAGGCTCATTATATACATTTTCTGGGGGTAATATTCCCTTAAAAATAATAATAATTTGGTCACTCAATCCACAACTGTTTGTGGGACACTGCTGAGCGCAATTGGCTGCCGTGTTTTGCCCATAAACTATGCAGTCAATTCACTTTACAGTATATTCTGTGAAGCGCTTTGAGACGTATCGAAGACATGATAAAGAGCTATTTCAAATGCAAGGATTATTATATTAAAATAAAGACTCATTAGTGAATTTGATCTAGTGACCCCCCACCCATAATGTTTTATGAAGATAAAACAATGGAAATTCATAACGTGAGGAAGGTTATTATTGTTCTACTCTATACCTGCCTACCTTTAATTGTTGCACATCATACCATTTCCTATGTTTCATTGTGTTACATACGCTAACCTCCTACCTTTCATTGTGTACTGTACCTAAAATCCCATCTTCCATTGTGTTGCATGTCCTACCTATTTAAACTCGGGAATAGTTTGCAGGCTACATTACAGGTTCTCTTTCAGTGCAGGTTGTGGCATTGTCTGGCAGCCAGGAGCCTTCATGGATAGTTGTAAGGATTTCAGTAAGCTATTGTAGTAATCTATTCGAGTAATCTACTGTAGGAATGTTGGAGACTGCTCTCAGATAACAATTGGTTTCCAAGAATCCTCCTCCACTATATTTTTTAAAGTTCATCTTTGCTTGGAGCCATTCTGATGGCTAACATTTATTGAAGAACACGTATCCCAAGTTTATCAGCAGCATTTATCTGTGATTTTCTGATATAAGGTCTACAACAGCATGCACTTACATAGCTCCTCGTGCTTTACTTTCAAAATCCAATATCCTTCCTTTTTGACAGCACCTTTACCTCCCTCCTGCCTTCTCCACCCTGCTCGGCCTCCCATTCTGTAAAGTGCTTCGAGAAGTTATGCTGGATAAAAGATACTTGAATAATAATAATCCTTCCATTTGATATAGTACCTTATCACATCATTGATGAGATGTCTCCAAGCCCTTCACACAATATACTGTAAAGTGAATTGACTATATTTTGTGGGCGAAATGCAGCAGCCAATTGCACACAGCAGAGTCTAACAAACAGTCATGGATTTAGTGACCAAATTTAAAAAAAAACGGAATTATTACCCCTGGAAAGCCATCTGCTAATTGACTGACAACTGGGTTCCTAATTCTGCTAGGTAAACAACGGAGTAAAGAAATTTGCCTAAGGTTTTGCCCTGCCAGGGCAAGTGCTCTAGCCAATATGCTACACAGGACTCCACGTCCTTTATGACCCTCATTTGCAAAACATTAAAAAGAAGTTTTGTCATACTTATCTGCAGGATTTCTGCTCCCATGTGGTCTACTTCTAGAGCACAGTTCAATCCCATGAAAATATATCTCAAATGAGATCTTATTACCCAAAACCAAAGTGGTTATCTGTGGTATTTAACTAAAACATACATTTGATGTAGCCTCAAACTCTTAATTAAAACAGCATTTCCAAAACAAATACCTGTTACCTCTACCACTTTTTTCCCCCACCACATAATTTACAACCTCTTGCCAAGTATGAATGTTGTGAACAACTCTGCTGTTTTTAAAAAGTCTCCTAACCACAAAACTTTTGGGAGGTTTTGGAGCACCAAGGAAAGGGGTTTCACTCATACAAATCAAAACAGTACAGCCACTATTTTAGCCTATGGGGCTGCTCCCATTTTGATTTTCCTCCAATATCCACAGCACTGCTGAATAATAACAATAATCCTTGCATTTGGTATAGCGCTTTTAGACGTCTCAAAGCACTTCACAGAATATGCTGTAAAGTGAATTGACCGTATATTTGTGGACGAAACGAGGCAGCCAATTGTGCACAGCAGTGTCCCACACACAATCATGGATTGAAAATGACCAATTCATTATTGGTTTTTTTTGGAGGGATTATTATTAGGCGTGAGGAGTAAGGAACCTTGCCCAAGGTTTCGCCCTGCCTGGAATTGAACCCAGGTCTCTTGCTTGCAAGGCGAGTGCTCTAACCACTGAGCTACAGGACTCCACAACAACAACAAAATTACATTGAAAGAGCACCTTTCACGTTGGGAGGACGTCTCAAAGCGCTGAACAGTCAGATGTCAGGGCCCGAGCATGGGGGAGGGGTGGTGTAGAGGTGAGGGAAGGCACAGAGCTGGGAGGGAGACCAAAGGCACGGTTGAAGAGAAGGGTCTTGAGACCGGCCTTGAAGGAGGCAAGGGAGGAAGCGACGCGAAGGGACCGTGGGATGGAGTTGGGCAGAGAGGCTGAAAGCCCGGCCACCGATGGTTGGGCGGGAGACATGGAGCAGGCTGGAGCCTGATGAGCGGAGGGAGCGGGCAGGTTGTCAGCACAGAGAGGTAGGAGGGGGCAAGGCCACGGATCTTGAACTCGATCCTCTGGGGGATGGGGATCTAGTGGAGTTGGGCGAGGGTGGGAATAATGGAGTCGCGGAGCCTGGTGTGTGAGAATACACGAGCTGCAGAGTTTGTGATGATCTTCAGCTTGTGAAGGGAAGAGTTGGGAAGGCCGATGAGGAGGGCGTTCCCATAATCAAGCCTTGAGGTGACAAATGCGTGGGTGAGGGTTTCGGCAGCCTGAGGGGTGAGGCAGTGGCGGAGTCTGGCAATGTTGCGGAGGTGGTGGTGGTGCCGGTCATGGCACGGATGTGGGGGAGAAAGAACAGTTCAGGGTAAATAACATTGCAGCAAGCATGATTGATGTGTGCGTATGAGTATAGCAGGAATGCTGTCTTTCTATCTTTATGTTGTTCTTCAAAGTGTAAATAACGCAATAATCTTAAAGGTAATCTTTTTTTGTGAAATAAATCACTTGTGGTAATTCGTTCTTTTAAAATGGACTAGTTTTAATACGATTTTAAATACAATGCTCATGATATTTGATCCCATTCCCCTGATTTCCCCCACGTTTTTAAATGACAAAATTGACAATGGCAATTTTCTTTATATTTTATAGGGGTTGTGATATTTCTGCTAGGAATGGCCATCAACATCCACAGTGATCACGTGCTGCGGAACTTGAGAAAACCTGGAGAGATAAATTACAAAATCCCAAAAGGTAACTTCTTCCCTGATTTTTAACACACCTGAGATTCACCACCACAAGATTATGTGCACTCTGCTGAAATCCTCAAATCAATGCGAACTGTAGATGTCTTAAACTGACACATTTTGGTCCTTATAATAATAGTCATTTGGATCGGGAGGTCCTAGGTTGAATCCTGAAGTAAGTTCAACCAAGGCAGTAGTCGGGGTGTCTTAAAATTTAAGGTTGTACAGAATTTTGGAATGCTCTCAAAATCAGTCAAATTGGAAACTGTTTATTCAGGCCTCAAAAGTAGGCTAAAAGCATAAGATATTTCAGTGCCTCAGTTGAGGACATGATTGTGCCCAAATCTAAGCCCCCACCCACAAAATGGCTATTTAAAAATGGAAACAGGAACAATTATTGATATACAACACACACACAGCACTACAGCACTCCACACCAACCCCTCATGTGACACATGCCCCACACACACACATACATATGCACACAATATCCAACACGCAACACCATGCACCTACCACCCCACCCCCAAATACACAACAGCCAAAGCACAGTACTCATCCTATACACATCACACTACAGCCAACACATAGCGCTCCACATCTACCCCCACACATACACACACACACGATAGCCAAAATATAGCACTCAACCCTCCTCTTCCACCGTCCACACACACATCACACTACAGTCAACACACAAGCCTTCAACACTCCTCACATCTCCTGTTGTCACATCTATACACACACTACACCACAGACAAAGGGCAGCAAATGCAGTAGCAATTGGCCTTGGGGTCCATGGGATGGGGAGATTAGAATCAGCCAAGGCTTCTGTTACTCATTGTTATTCAGAGGCTCCTGCAGGAAAGTACCACATACAAATGGTGAGAGAGAACAGAAGAGGAGAAGAGAAAAAAATTGATCGGAAGATCCTCTTTGCCCTTCCTCACACTTCTTTAAAAAAATCACAAAGTCTGTGTTTTGCAGGTGGATTATTCAAATACATCTCTGGAGCAAATTTCTTTGGTGAGATAATAGAGTGGTTTGGTTATGCCATAGCAACCTGGAATGCGTCAGCCTTCTCATTTGCTGTACTTACATTCTGCTCTATAGGACCTCGAGCTTATCACCACCACAGGTAATGAAGGAGACAAATCAGCTTTTCATTTTAGTTTCTTCTTTCACTGGGAATGTGCTCCTGTGTCTAAACCTGCTCAGACTGAGGAAATGTGCACTGAATAGTGTGTATGTGTGTGTGAACAGGCAATATATAGGTGCTGTATTTGCTGAGCTCTTAATTCCACAACTTTAGATGTCAGCCTGGCTCAGCTGATAGCACTCTCGGCTTTGAGTCGGAAAGTTGTGGGTTCACACTCCACCGTGGGACTTTGAACTCACAGTGCAGGCTGACACTGCAGTGCTGGGGGAGCGTAAGTCTTTAGGTGGGCCTTAAAAGTGTAAAAGGATGGGGTGAAATGGAGGGAATGATGTTCTAGAGAGTGGGAGCATAATGGCTGAAAAGTATATCAGAGGTGGGCAATAATATTGTGCAGGTGAGGGAAAGCTGAGGAAGTCAGAGCTCAGATGTAACCCAGATTGAGATTACAAAGTTATTTTAACTATCCTAGTGTGTATGTGTGGAAGTTCAATGTTTAAAGGTTTACGTAGATGCCTATTTTGCAAAATTAATCTAGTTGTATTGTGATAAAAGTACGTTGGTGGATTATTTGTATCGGGTTGTTATTAATCCTCTTCTTCTTTTTCAGGTTTTATCAGAAGAAGTTTCAGGACTACCCAAAATCAAGAAGAGCTCTCATACCTTTTTTGTTTTGAAATGTATCGCTCAAAAGAATGTATTCATGTTCAAACGATGCTGGATGTTTGTATTTTACCAATGAGCCTAATCAGACATATTCCAACATGAAGTGAGGATGAAATTGAAGCTCCTACCTCTTCACCCCCACCCACCTCTGTTCAATGGTTTATTTGAAACACAAAGAGATTGCATTTCATAGACCTAAAACATCTTCACTTCTGTTCTGTTAGTGCGTATCCACTGCATCTTCTGACTTCCCAATCCGAATTGTGTTTATTTTATATTGATCCTTTCTTCATGTCTTTCTTCTAGAATATACTCCTCCTAGTGTCATTTATTCAGCTATCTGTCAGGCAAATAAAATCTGAAATAAAATATTTTGCCTCCAGCTTTTGTGCTGGGGGGCAGGAAGAGAGAGAATTAAGCAGCGCGGATTGCAGTGAGAATCCGATTTTGCTGACATGGAAGTGCAAAATCAATGAACGTGTCTCAGTCAGTAGTTGGAATTTATAACTCTGCTAATAATCCCTTCAATTTGTAAAGTGGATTTAAGGAAAGAAGTGCTTAATTTTGATTTCTTTTTGCGTTACCAAATTGGCTGGAAAAGTCTAACAACTCCTTCTTTCTCTTATCCCCACCCCGAGCCTCCAGCCCAAAAATTACATTTGTAAAGCAAGTTGTGAAACACACATTGTACAAACTATGAGTGTGAAAGAGAACCAAGAATCAATATAAACCTAAAGCTACATGTTTTCATTTCTGAATTAATAAAAATATTAATCCTTGAATTTGATATAATCCTTTCATGGTAATAGCATAGTTATGTCTAGGCTTAAACAAACTGTGCAGTTTGTCGTAAACCCATATTTCTGTCTGCACCACTGGGTTTATCACTTACTGTCAAAGTTTTGCATTTGTGAAATTCTTGTGTGTGAAATGCATGCACATGCATGCATTGGAAGGTATTCAGCATGTAATTTACAACAAAATATAAATCCAGCAGCAACCACAATAACAAAATAATATTTGAATAGCAATTTTCACATCGGGAGGACATCCCAAGTGGCTGGACAGTCAGTTTCGGACCCGAGCTGGGGGTTGGGATGGGGGAGGGAGGAGAGTAATGAGGGAAGCAGAGTGATCGAAAGCATGGTCAAAGAGGAGGGTCTTAAGATGGGTCTTGAAAGAGGCAAGAGAGGGGCCGAGGCGGAGGGACTGCAGGATGGAGTTCCAGAGAGTGAGGGCAGAGTGGCAGACGGTCCGCTCGCCAATGGGGCGAGCGATGTGGGGGACGTGAAGCAGGCCAGAGCCCGCTGAGCGGAGGGGGCGAGCAGGATATTAGGGGGTTAAGAGGTTGCAGAGGTAGCGGGGAGCAAGACCATGGAGGGCTTTGAAGGTGAGGACCAGGATCTTGAATTTAGCGCTTTGGGACGTCCTCCCGACGTGAAGGGCGCTCTATAAATTTAATTTTGTTGTTGAACTATATCCTCTGAGTGATGGAAAGCCATTGGAGTCGGGCAAGGATGGGGGTGATAGTGTCAAGGAGCCTGGTGAGGGAGAGGACATGGGCTACAGAATTCTGGATGATCTGCAGCCTGTGGAGAGAGGAGGGGGGTAGGCTGACAAGCAAGGAGTTTGCATAGTCAAGCCTCGATGTAACAAAAACATATATGAGGGTTTCGTTGGCCTGCGGTGTGAGACAGAGTTGGAGTCGGGCGATGTTGTGGTGATGGAGGAAGGCAGAGAGCTCATGTCACAGATATGCGGAGGAAAGGATAGTTGAGGGTCAAACAAGATGCCAAGATTCCAGACTGGCTTGGTAAGATGGAGTGTGCATCATTGGATGGTGATGCTGTCAGTGCCTGAGGTGTGGAGGAACTGGGAGCCAATCAGGAGATCCTCGGTCTTGTTGACGTTCAACTAAAGAAAGTTAGTTCTCATCCAGGACTTTATGTGTGACAGACATTCTGTCAGGATAGATTCACAAAGGATAGAGTCCTGAGGAATGGCACGCGATGGTGCGGGGGCTAGAGAAGAAACTGTTTGTGGAGGTGAAGTGGAGGCAGTGTGAGAGGAACAATCTGAACCAGTCAAGGACAGAGCCGTGAAGGTTGAGATGAGAGGAGAGGCGGTGGATCAGGATAGAGTGGTCAATAGTGTTGAAGGCAGCAGAGAGGTCAAGGAGGATGAGGAGGCAGAGGGAGCCCTGGTCGCAGATAGACAGAACGTCATTTGTCACTTTGACCAGGGTTGTTTCTGTGTTGTGGGCAGCACGGAAACCCGATTGAAGGGGCTTGTGGAGAGAGTGGCGGGAGAGGAAGGAGCGAAGCTGGGAAGCAACAACTCGTTCCAGGACCTTGGAGAGGAAAGGGGGGTTGGAGATGGAATGGTAGTTTAGGAGTAGAGATGGGTCCAGGGAGGGTTTTTTTAAGGATAGAAGTGATGATGGCCATTTGTACAGGGATGGGAACAGTACCAGTGGACAGGGAGTGGTTTATGATGTCTGTGAATAGAGGGGCAAGGAGGTGGAGTGGGAAGGTAAGGAGAGGGGTAGGGATGGGGTCGAAGGAGCAGGTGGTTGGGTTATAGTGGTGGTGAGAGAGGAGTGGGAGACAGATTCGAAGGTGTGGAGGGAGGGATGGGTAGGAGCTGGGGTGAGATGGGGAGGGGGTAGGAGATGGAATGGCAGAGGCAGCTGAGTGGATCCCCTTGACTTTGGATTCAAGGAATTCCAGCATTGCCTTGCAGTTGGCAATGGAGGCGAGAATGGGTGAGGCATGAGAGGATGGGCGGAGGAGCCGGTTGGTGATGGAGAAGAGGAGCCTGGGGTTGTCCTTGGCCTCCAAGATTGTCTTGGAGAACGATGATTTAGCAGAGGTGGGGGCGGAGTGGTAAGATTTGAGGCTGAGGATCCGTTCTGCTGGTTCTGCCCTTACCCTTACTCTGAGAGTCAAACAGGACATTGAGGTTTGACACTGGCTGCTTGAAGTGGATTGGCAGGTAGTGAGGGCAGAGCCGGAGTAAGATTTGATAAGGTCCAGGCAGATCTGCCGATGGAACGTTAAGTTCGATTTAAAAAAATGTTTTGTTTGCTGTTAAAAAAATTTGTTATTGTCTTTATATAATGGAATTTCATGTTGCAGAGATTTAATAGAAAAGATTACTACTTTAACATTCACTATTGTGTTACGTTGTCCACGATGGGTATTGGTTTAACACTCTGAAAAGCCTATCCACCATGACAATATCCACTTCACAGCTCAACTTTGCACCTATATTGTAGTCATTGAATTCCTCACAAACAAATGTTGACTCTGTCAGAACGTATATCTCTATGTTATCTCCTTTTTTACTCCAAATTTTTAAAAGCCCAAGAAAATTTTGAAGACTTGTATTCTATTCAAGATGGTCTACTAACACGGCACTTTACAGCAAATCCTGTGAAGCACTTTGAGACCCTTTCTGCTACATAATAAGCAACTATAACAAATCTAAGGACGATTCTTATTGTTATGGAATCACTGTCTAAGGTTGAAGAATACCTATTTCCATGCTTTTCTACCTAGCAATTACTGATCTGGGCTGGCAATAAACCACTAAAGTACTGCAATATTTCAATCCTGTTTGCAAGCTCCCCAGTGCAAATCCCTTTGGTTGGCTTGTATTCCTTTAGCTTAATCTGTATAATCATCAATTGTACCAATGCAGAAAAGAAAATGCCACATCATACAGTAGACAATATGACACTATAAATCATGACCCCAGTGGCCTAACAGAAACAATTTCTGTACCTCTCTAGGCATCTAGGTTTGAAATCGGTGTCTTGCACATCATTTACAACTTGCTGTCACTTACAAATCCCACAGGAACATTCGCCCCGCAGTTATCCCTGTTTTTGATGTCTTCTTGCAGCATCTGAAACCCTCTAATGCTCTGTACCCCAAGCAGACTCATAGATGGCTTTGTACTGCCCCATCCACTAATGGTTCTCACCTTACTCAGGTATTAACCAACATGGACTCTCAAGTTCTCAACAGCAGTTGGCTTCTCCACAATAGCACTAAGTCAGTCCAACATACACTGAGGTTGATGAGAATAGAAACACAGAGAGCACAGTGGAGTGATTGCCTGAGCGAGTGTGTTCAAGATTAGATTCAGATAAAATGAAAGCTCCTACAGACAGTTAAGATAGCCAGTGTCTCAAACTAGTATTTGATGATAGGCTACTAATAAAGAGGGAAGCTGCCAAATGATTTCACACCTCAAACATACTCATTGTCCTGAGCATTGCTGGCGCTTGAGTCAAGTGCTGGAGGCACTTAGCAGGAGGAAGGTCTTGTTAAAGAGAACAGGGCTGGTTACTGATGGAGAAGGAGTGGCTTGGGACATTGAATCACAGTACTTACTTAGCCTATCCTCCCTTTGTAACGGGCTCAAAGGCAAGAGAGGCTGCTTAGGAGTTGAAGACAGATGCAGTCAGCCTAAATAATTTTTTAACAAGCGCTTTATCATCCCGATAAATCTATCATCCGAGGACATCCCGAGGCGCTGGACAGTCAGGGATTTGGACCCGAGCAGGGGATTAGGATCAAGAGGGACAGAGGCAGGGAGGGTAGGTGTAGGAGGGTGGCTGAAGATGCAGACGAAGAGGAGCATCTTCAGACATGCCTTGAAGGAGGCAAGGAAAGGGAGCAACGCAAAGTAACTGTGGGATGAAGTTCCAAAGAGCAGCAAAATGAAGTAGTATTGAGCGAGCACAAATGGCTGTTAATATCTTGCTCATGGAGTCCTGTAGCTCAGTGTTTAGAACACTCGCCTCGCAAGCAGTTGGGTTCAATTCCCGGCAGGACAAAATCTTGGGCAAGTTTTCTAACTCCACACGCCTGATAATAATCCCTCAAGAAAAAAACCAATAATAAATTGGTCACTTCAATCCACGACTGTTTGTGGGACACTGCTGTGCTCGATTGGCTGCCACGTTTCGCCCACAAGTGTACAGTCAATTCACTTTACACTCTATTCTGTGAAGCGCTTTGAGACGTCGAGAAGACGTGAAAAGCGCTATATCAAATGCAAGGATTATTATTATTATAGGGCTAAAGCCTCAGATATCCTTTGATCCCTTTGATGCACTGGGAAAAGGACTCTCCTTCCCTGCTTTCCCAGATGGAAAAGAGTGAGAATAGATCCATTTGATGCTTTTGTATCCCTCAGTTTCACGCTCTTCTCAGATACTAAGTATCCACATCTTTATCAGGCTTCCACACCAGGCTTCTCTCGCTCCCGTCTCTGAACATTTAAAGATCCTCACCTTCAAAAATACAAACTGAGGCCATGCACCTCCCTTCCTACAACTGGACTTGTAGAATGACTGCAGTTGTTCAGTAGCAATTTAGGAATTTTAGCATTAATATTTCATGTCTTCATTAATATTTCTGATGTGTCTGTGTGTGTATCACTCTCTGTGTATCTGTCTGGCTTAGATGCAACCTGAGTCTCTCACCAGCTTGTACCCCACTCCATTGGTTCCCCCCTTCACTCAGCTAACACAGGCTTGTTGGGAATCCTTCAACTCCTCTGCACCAGTTGGTAACCAAGCCTTCAACAACTTGCATTTATATAGCGCCCTTCACGCAGGCTAGCATCCCGGAGCACTTGACAGTGGCGAAATCTGACAACGAGCCCACGGGGCGAGGGAGGTGACCATAAGCACAATCAAAAAGGAAGGTCTTTAGGTAGATTTTGAAAGTTGGAAAGGAACGGGCAAGGCGGAGGGATTGAGGGAGAGAGTTCCAGAGTTTTGGTGTATAGTGGCTGAAGGTATAGCCACCGAAGGTGGAACAGAGGGGACGAGGGATAAACCGGTCAGAGTCAGCCGAGCAGAGGCAGTGGGTGGTGGAGTGAGGGGTAAGCAGATCGGATAGGTAGGGAGGTGCAAGGACATGAAAGGATTTGAAAATGAGGGAGAGGATGTAACTATTACAATGTAACTATCGTTTTACACAGGGTAACCAACAGCTGCAAAGGCTTCCCAGGAAAGGTGTTTAGGCCAAAACATTGGGTTCATTATTAAAAGTGCTTGATTCTGTAATAGGGAGATGGTACAGTTGATATTCTGATGAGATCAAAATGAGTCGAACAGCCTTCTTCATCCAAATCTCTCATGTTACCAAAACGGACATTCTGTGACGCTAAACACAGCTGGCTTCTGTGTCTACAAAACAGACTTGATAATGTGGTAGATGTTTCAGGTCTTAGCTTGTGTGCTTGCTATGCACTCATTAGCTATCACCTCTATTGCAATATTTGCTCAATAAGTGATTTTCAAAAAACATGTTCCCGAGGCACAGGAAGAGCTCAGTTTGTACACAGTTTGTTGTTGAGCACAGGAATGAACAATCAGAACTGGATTTGTTGTAGAATGACTGCAGTTCTTCAATAACAACTTAATTTTATCATTAATATTTCTCGTCTTCATTAATATTTCTGATGCGTCTGCGTGTATCACTCTCTTGTGTATCTGTCCGGCTCAGATGCAATGTAATGGTCCACCACCAGATCTGGCTGGCTGGACCACACCAAGGCTGATACTCCGCCATCTTCTCAGCCAAATCATCCCCAGGCTCCACCAACAAACTAGCTCCTTCCTAATGTCCTAACGTCGCTCGCCTCAAACTCCAAACGTTAGGAGATGAACTTCCTCGGGTCCAAAATCAAAAAGGATCTGTTCTGCTGGCTCTGCCCTTCCTACTGCCACTTGGCCTCCGGCAGCCAGCGTCGAACCTCGGTGTCCTGTTCGACTCTCAAACTGCCCTTTGAAACCCACATCCACACCTTGACCGGTTCGGCCTTCCTCCCCCTCCTTATCCACGCTTTCGTCACGACCGGGTCTGACTACGCTGAGGTTCTGCTCGCCGGACTTGCCGACTCTTCCCTCCACGGGCTGCGTGCGACCCAGAGCTCTGCAGCTCGCGCCCTCCCCCCCCCCCCCCCCACACCAAGCACCGCGAGCCCTATCGCTCCCGTCCGCCCGGGTCCCCCCACTGGTTTCCCGTCCTCAGGAGGATTGGTTCAAGATCATCGTCCTCACTCCTAAAGCCCTCCACACCCCTACCTCTGGTGACCTGCTAAAACCTGACCCCTTCGGGATGTGCTCCCGGTGCTGCTGCTGCTGTGGGCGCCCCTCCCCCCTCCCTGTCAATCAGCCGCCTCTCCCTGTCAATCAGCCGCCCCTCCCCCCTCCCTGTCAATCAGCCGCCCCTCCCCCCCTCCCTGTCAATCAGCCGCTGGTGTTGCTGGAGTGACGGCAGTGACGGCAGTGACGGAGGGCGGGGGGGGGCGGGGCCAACGTTTGAAACCAACTTTTCCCGCTCGACCGACCGACCGACCTCTCGCGAGAGCCGCCGCCGCTGGACGAGGCCGGGAAGCAAATGGCGCTCAGAGCGGAGTGAAGGCGAGACGCGCGCACACACCGCACACACACACGCACCGGGGGACTCGCTGCCTCCCACACCCCCCACCCCCCGCCATTGCCATCGCCATCGCCCGAGAGACGGGGAGAAAAAAAAAGAAAGAAGCAAAATCACCGACGAGAGGGGCCCCCCCCAGGCCCCGGGGCAGTGACCACCAGCCGCGGGCAGCACAGGACTCGGGGCCCCGCGCCGCCTCGAGCTCAGGTACGGTCTCCGCCAGTCCGCAGGGCCGGGAGCCCCCGCCCACCCCCTCCTCCCGCACCCCGGGGCCCGGGGCGGGGCCCGCCCCACAGCGCGGCCGCCATCGGCCAGGAGTTATGGGGGGGAGTGCGGCCTCGGGTAGGCCCTGAGCTGCTGCTGCTGCTGCTGTGCCGGGGGTGGGGGGGGGGGGCGTGACCCGCTGAAGGAAAGGGCCGCGCGCTCGGCGCTGTTTAAAGCAAGTGGGTGGGTGGGAGATCCCGTCTCTCCCCCCCCCTCCTCTTCACCCCCCTCCTCCTCCTCTTCACAACCCCCCCTCCTCTTCAACCCCCCCTCCTCTTCAACCCCCCCTCCTCTTCAACCCCCCCCTCCTCTTCAACCCCCCCCTCCTCTTCAACCCCCCCTCCTCTTCAACCCCCCCCCCCTCTCACCCCCCCCCTCTTCACACCCCCCCTCCTCTTCAACCCCCCCTCCTCTTCAACCCCCCCTCCTCTTCAACCCCCCCCTCCTCTTCAACCCCCCCTTCCTCTTCAACCCCCCTCCTCTTCAACCCCCCCCTCCTCTTCACAACCCCCTCCTCCTCTTCAACCCCCCCTCCTCTTCAACCCCCCCCTCCTCTTCACAACCCCCCCTCCTCTTCAACCCCCCTCCTCTTCAACCCCCCCCTCCTCTTCACAACCCCCCCTCCTCTTCAACCCCCCCTCCTCTTCACCCCCCTCCTCTTCAACCCCCCTCCTCCTCTTCACCCCCCCTCCCTCTTCAACCCCCCCTCCTCTTCACCCCCCCCCCTCCTCTTCACCCCCCCCCTCTTCACCCCCCTCCCTCTTCAACCCCCCCCTCCTCTTCACCCCCCCCCTCCTCTTCACCCCCCCTCCTCTTCAACCCCCCTCCTCTTCAACCCCCCCTCCTCTTCAACCCCCCCTCCTCTTCCAACCCCCCTCCTCTTCAACCCCCCTCCTCTTCAACCCCCCCCTCCTCTTCAACCCCCCCCTCCTCTTCACCCCCCCCTCCTCTTCACCCCCCCTCCTCTTCAACCCCCCCTCCTCTTCAACCCCCCCCTCCCCCCTCCTCTTCAACCCCCCCTCTTCAACCCCCCTCCTCTTCAACCCCCCCTCCTCTTCAACCCCCCCTCCTCTTCAACCCCCCCTCCTCTTCACCCCCCTCCTCTTCACCCCCCCTCCTCTTCAACCCCCCTCCTCTTCAACCCCCCCTCCTCTTCACCCCCCCTCCTCTTCACCCCCCCCTCTTCACCCCCCCTCCTCTTCACCCCCCCTCCTCTTCACCCCCCCCTCTTCAACCCCCCCCCTCTTCAACCCCCCCTCTTCAACCCCCCCCCTTCCCCCCCCTCCTCTTCAACCCCCCTCCTCTTCAACCCCCCCTCCTCTTCAACCCCCCCTCCTCTTCACCCCCCCCTCCTCTTCAACCCCCTCCTCCTCTTCAACCCCCCCCTCCTCTTCAACCCCCCCTCCTCTTCACCCCCCCTCCTCTTCAACCCCCCTCCTCTTCACCCCCCCTCCTCTTCAACCCCCCCTCCTCTTCACAACCCCCCTCCTCTTCACAACCCCCTCCTCTTCAACCCCCCCCTCCTCTTCACACCCCCCCTCCTCTTCACCACCCCCTCCTCTTCACCACCCCCCTCCTCTTCACCCCCCCCTCCTCTGCACCCCCCCTCCTCTGCACCCCCCCCCTCCTCTGCACCCCCCCCTCCTCTTCACCCCCCCTTCACTAAACTCGGTGGGAGAGTAAGCTCTGAGGATGATGCGAAAAGATTGCAATGGGATATAGATAGGCGAGGGGAGTGGGCGAGTAGGTGGCAGATGGAATTTAATGTGGGGAAGTGTGTAGAAAAAATAGAAAAACAGATTATTTTCTAGAGGGGGAGAGATTAGATAGTGTTAGTGTTCAGAGGGATTTGGGTGTCCTTCTACACCAGTCTCAAAAAGTTAGTTTGCAGGTGCAGCAGCAACTAAGAAGGTGAATCGCATGTTAGCGTTCATTGCAAAAGGTTTAGAGTACAAGAGTAGGGAAGTCTTGCTGCAACTGTATAGGGCCTTGAGACTGCACCTAGAGTATTGTGTGCAGTTTTGGTCTCCTTATTTAAAAAAGGACATACTTACTTGAGGGGGTGCAGCGTAGATTCACTCGGTTAGTTCCTGGGATGAGGGGATGACCTATGAGGATAGGCTGAATAAACTAGGGCTATATTCTCTAGAGTACAGAAGAATTAGGGGAGATCGTATTGAAACATATAAGATTCTTAAAGAGCTGATAAAGTAGACACTGAGGGTCTGTTTCCCCTGGTAGGAGAATCTGTAACCAGGGGTCACAGTCTTAAAATTAAGAATCAGCCTTTTAGAACAGAGTTGAGGAAACATTTCTTCACTCAGAGCGTAGTAAATTTATGGAATTCACTACCCCAGAAGGCTGTAGATGCTCAGTCTTTGAACATCTTCAAGGCTGAGACTGATAGATTTTTAAAAAAACAGAGGGATTAGGGGATATGGGGATTGGGCAGGTAATTAGAGTTAGGTCAGAAGATCAGCCATGATCTTATCGAATGGCGGGGCAGGCTCGAGGGGCCGAATGGCCTATTCCTGCTCCTGAGAGGAGCTCTCTTATGTCACAATGTTTCTTAACTGACTTATTAGTGTAGAGTTTGGGTTGCAAATGTTTAGCATTAAGCAGTAGTGAAATGTGACATTGTATCTGTTTCACTTCCAGTTTTTCTAAATTACCCTTTTGTTTATTAAGGTATTTGTTTATTTAAACCCACTTGTCATCTCTCCATATTCCTTAATATTTGTATTAAATTGTGCAAATCCGGTTCCTTATTGAACAATTCTATTGAAATGTAATTTTAATAGTCACTTGTGGAAATTAATTCCAAGCCCTAACAACCCTCTCGAATGGAGCAATTCCTCCTTACTTTGCCCCTTATTTTTTTCTGTGAACAATCCCCCACCAATTCCATAAGAAAGGAAATTATTTGCCCAACAAAAGGAATCCATTATTCACTATCTTTTGCCCCTTCAGAGCCTTAAACACCTTTATCATATATGCTCTCGGCTTCCTCTGATCCAGTGGGGGAGAAAAAATTGATTTAACCAGCCTCTCTTCATTTATACTGTGTGTATATTGACTCATAGCTGATGTTATCTCACTGAGTCTGCGATGTATCTTTAGTGCTTAATGTATCCTTATTTAATAGATGGGAGTGAAGCAGTTAATGAAATGTTGATTAATTAAATTTCTAGAGCAAGATTTATCCTCTTCTGTTCTCTCCTTTCTCTTCTCACAATCCCAGTTATATGCCACTTATTAGATGCTTTTTAATCATTTTTACTGCCCTAAAAATGAGTGTGGGATTATTTTTACCCATTATCCCTCCAAAAAAAAAATAGTTAGCAAGGTTACTTTTTCCTAGGCTGGATTAACTGTTATCCTTATTTCATTCAAATATTTGCATAATTTTTATTACTGTTTATAATTTATTCTGGGTACGAATTTTAGGATCAGTTATGACAGTAATTTGGTGAGGTTCACCTTACGAAAATCTATTTAAGAAATTTAGAACTTCTAATTGCATCTTTTATCTGCTCAGAAGTGATTTCATAGGATTGCAACAGTTTGTCTCTGGATAAACACGCTCTTAAACAATTTGAATATTATGGTGTACTGCAAGTAAACTCAACAGTGTGTAAAAGACTAGTTAATTATTTATGGCATAATTTAAACAAACACTAGGGTATTAATGTTGATTAAAGCAGAACAGCCACGGAGTAGAATTATGGTTTTGATTATACAGGATTGGGGTTTTATAATTATAAGATGGAGATGCATGATTTTCTTTAAGAAATGTGTCATTGAAGTCGCTTTGTGTGCTTTCACTTACCACGGAGTGGTGAGGCTTAAATTTGTAAATCATAATTTGTTAAATTTGACTAATCTGAAACTTCTTTGAGCAGATTGTACTTAACCTGACATTAATAACATTGTTTTCAAACCATGACCTCATCTGTCCAAAGTGTAATAGTCATACTTATATAAAACCCATGAATTTGATAATAATAATCCTTGCATTTGATTTAGCACATCATTGAGACGGCTCAAACCGCTTCACAGAATATACTGTAAAGTGAATTGACTTTATATTTTGTGGATGAATAACAGCAGCCAATTGCGCACAGCGGTGTCCCACAAAAGGTCATGGATTGACTGAGGAAATTATTATTACAGTGTTATTATTTTTGTTAAGGGCTTATTACCCCTGGAATACGATCTGCCAATCGATTTATCAAACTGGTACCTACTTACGGCAAGGTAAACAGAGGCGTATGGATAAGGAAACATGCTGATGGTTTCACCCAGCCTGGGAATCAACCCGGATCCTCTTGGTTGCGTGGCGGTGCTCTGAGCAATATGCTACATATAAATGCAATTTGTAATATTTTTAGCAGAGCATTTTTCAGAACAGTAAACATGAATTTAAAATGTTGAAATTGATGTATTCTCCAGCAAATCTCATGTTTGTGTTCTATTTCAGGGTGAAGCATGTGTGAGCTAGCAGCACAGGTCACCAGTAGTCTGCTGCAATTTCCAGAGGTGACTCTACAGGCTCTAGTGGATGATGAGTCAATGCAGGATGAAGCGCTCCAAGGCAAAGTTGCCATAGGTATGTTACGACAGGAATATGATCAAAATTTGAACTTGTTTATTGTTTTTATTTCAGACCTGTAACCTGAATTCACTTTTAAAGAAACTTGAATAGAATTATAACTTTTGTCAGAATTCTGTTGATCTATTGATTAATTCGGTTGATTCAGAAAGCAATTGGCACTTACAATTATTTTGGGAAAGCTGCATCTGATGTGATACTGAGCTCTACATTCCTGCGTTCACTTTACTGATTGTTAGTTGAACTTGGCTTTGGGAGTAAAATCAGCCATGCTTTTAAATTCTGTATTCTGTTTCTGGTGCATGCATCCAATCTCCACAGCTTGTGTAACTAACTGACTGTACTTGAAGGCATTGTTGCACATTTCAGTAACTCAAGTGAGGAATAGTTGGTTTATTTTACCATAACCTAAATTTGTATACAATTGGAATTGTATACATGTTTGTTTGCACTAAAGTAAAACCGATATCCCCAAGGATACTTGAAGCTAATAGAGAGAAAATGTGCATCCTGTTAGATGAGTTTAAATCCGAACCCTTGCTCTGCAGATTAAAGTATGTTTAACCACTATACCATCGAGGTCCCTTGAAATGAAAATGTTGAAGGAATGTGTCCTGTTTACCACTGTGAGCAAGAAAGTAGGCCACAACTTTGATGCGTTTTTCTTTGCAACTTCTCTTTATTTGATATAGCACTTATATATTCTGATATTCTGATCACATCAGAATATCTTAAATGCTTCACGGGAGTTACTGTAAAGTGTTGGCACTGCATTTGCAGGGGAACATGCCAGCCAATTTGTGTACGGTCCAGCAATTTTAGTTTGTGCTTTCATGTGCATGTATAGAGAAATTCTGCAATAATATGAATTGTAAAATGTACAGAGTGAAATTTGTAACTGTAGGAGTCCGATGTGGAAGAGGTAGCTTTTGTGTGTGTTTGTATTGTGACATTTTTCTTTTTATTGTGTCCTGACTTGATATTACACACCAATGATTTTTTTTAAAAAAAATGGTAATTTATTTTGAACCTCCTTTTTTGAGGAGGTGAAGCATGCCCAACTCTAGACTATGTTGCTGAAGCAGTTTGGACAAATGCTTCCCCGTCTCTGAGGATGGGAATGTTGGCCCTGAGCCACACCAATACACAGTTTGTGGCTGGTTCAGAATCAAAAAGTGGCAGTCCTGTGAGCAACTCTCATGGTTATTTTTAGTGCATTTCCTAGACCTGTACAACACAAGGAAGCCATGAACACTCTTGTTTGTTATAGTTTAAAGGTGATTTTACTTTTAAAAATATCATAAAATGTCAAATGGCTTTGACAAAATTTGACTATTTTAAGCTTCAAATTGAAGGAAGGCTAAAATTTCTCCATTGAGTTCTTTGTTCTCTTTCCAAGTCTTCAATTTTATGGAATTCATTCATATGACACTAAACTAGTAGGGAGAGTAAACACTGAGGATGACATTTAAAAAAGGCAATGAGATATAGACAGGCTAGGTGAGTGGGCAAATAGGTGGTAGATGAAGTATAATGTAGGGAAGTGTGAAGTCATCCATCTAGGTGGCAAAAACAATAGAGTAGATTATTTTTTAGAAGGGGAGCGACTAGATAATGTTAGCGTTCAGAGGGACTTGGGGTTTCTTGTACACCAGTCACAAAAAGTTAGTTTGCAGGTACAACAAGCAATTTGGAAGGCTAACGGTATGTTGGCATTTGTTACAAAAGGGTTAGACTATAAGAGTAGGGAAGTCTTGCTGCAACTGTATATGGAATTCTCTACCCCAAAGGGCTGTAGATGTTCAGTCCTTGAACATATTCAAGACTGAGATTGATCGATTTCTTGTGGATAAAGGGATTAAGGGATATGGAGATAAGGCGGGTAGGTGGAGTTAGAATAGATCAGCCATGATCTTATTGAATGGCAGGACAGGCTAGAGGGGCTGAATGGCCTACTTCTGCTCCTAATTCTTATGTTTTACCTTGTCTATATTGTCTTTTTGACTAGTTTTTCCCAATTTGTTAGACATCTTAAAGTCTGTTCTAACTTAGAGCATTAATGGAATGACTTGGAGGTTGACCAATCCATATTCAGAAATGTGCAGCATTAGTTGATTTGCAACCACATGTTGCACAGTATTGTGTATGTACCTTATAAACATTCTTAGAGAAATTTACTTCCAGCTTATTCTCTTCCACGTATCATTGTTGTCGTGTGAAGATTTACAAACATTAAAAGCCAGCCAAGTGTCAGCAGTACATGACCAAGAACTGGAAAGGATCATTGTACTCTATCCCCTCATTTCCAAAGTTTGAATAATATCTTATGATACTTATCTCTCATACCCTCAACTGTTTTTCCTCTAAAAATCAGTTTGTCAGTGCTGACCACCATCATTGCCTCCAAGACAATTTTTGTGAAGTATCCCTGGAAACATTTTGATCCTTTGGCTGGAACGGGGAACAGAGAGCTCACAAGAGTGAGCGAAACATATTGACTTGCATAAGTAGTACTTTGAATAATGATGGGATGTTCGAATGCCTCATTTCAGGTATGGTTATCTACATCTTGTAGTAGCAAGTCTTATCAGCTCATGTATGGGTGAATTCACTGTGTATTGTGACACATTAGAGTTTACGCAGTTGTCAGCTCCAGCTGTTAAACTGCTGTGCTATGTTCCACTTGTTGGAGTGCCATTTTGGATGGGTATCTGTGCACATTTTGCAGCTGTTTGGGATTTGGTATTCTCTTCTACGATTTGCATTAATTTTATACTGTAGCTTTATGTACTGTGTGAAATGTGGAGTATGAAAGGCACATGTTGGGCAGTTAAGCACTTGAGCATTCAGCTACTAAGCCACCACCTGTGTAGTACGAAGTGTAATGGATTGAAAACCTCTCTTGAAAATAACTTGCTGATGTTTATTTTGATAAATAAAAATATATCCACTGGCCAAGCACATAGTCAACTCATTTAACTTTGTGGCTTAAACAGATGCTGTTCGACATATTTATCTTATTTTAAAATTATTTAAACATATGTCTTCTCTTTCAGGGCGAAATGGACTGGCTTGGCTGGCATCTGGTGCGCATTTGGAATTAGTTAATTCAGTCACAGGGGAGCGTTTGTCTGCCTATCGGTTCCGTGGAATTGGAGAACAACCTCCCACTATTTTGGCGATAAAGGAGTTTTGTTGGCTGAAAAGAACTGGACTGTTGATAGGACTGAAAGAATCAGAAGGTAGCATCCTCTGTCTTTATGACCTTGGAGTATCCAGAGTGGTTAAAGCAGTCTTCCTTCCTGGAAAGGTACTTTCTCCATACGTATAGTAATAAAGTGGGGTATCAGTCTTCTGGTCTGTTTTCAGAGTGTATGTGATTGCTTGCGAGTTAAAGTGCGTACATCATTTATTTTTAAATGATGCTATGCTTGAAAGCTTAGGTTCATATTAAGATTGGGAAGATTTGGACTTCCAAATATGAGAAGAGAAAATGTATTGCGTTCTCCAGGTATATAAATATAAATGCCTGCGTAAGCGGCCACAAAATGAATATTTGCCATTTATAGATAGTGTCCAGGTTGATGCATGGTGAGACGCACTGTACATTGTACACTGAACATATGCCAAAAGAATATGTGGCTCAATCAAACCTCACCAATAATGAATGGTCGAGTCAAGGGCCTGAATAGAAACCAACGCTTTCTCAGAAAGACGCTGAGAGAATTTGGAACGCGAGTTTGCTACTCTTGTGAGCTTTGATTTCTAAACCGTTTGTAATCTGGAGTTTTGTCCCCAGAAACACAGTACTATTTGAGTAATGGTTACTTTCTGGCTAGTAGGAGGCTTCTAGGCTTCTGAATTGCTTTGGGGTAGATCAATTTGATGCCATTATTGAAATGTATGCAAGAATCCTTTGCCATACATTATGGCTGTGGAGACTAATTTACCTCAAATGGTGGTTATCGAATTTCAAATAATTGTTATTGGCTATCACTTATTTCTATGTTTAATGCTGTGTTGGAGGGAGGATGCATTTTGAACAGAGTGCCTCTTCTGACTTTTTGCCCCCTTTATAAGTCTGAGTATCATTTTCCAGGTTATATAGCAAAGGTTACTTAATTTAATCAGAGGATTCATATGACTTTAAAACAAAACATTTTCACATTTTCTATACTTTTCAATTTCTGATATTTGGCCATTATGTTGAAGCAGATTTATACATTAAATCCCCTTTTTAAACTCAGGTGACAGCCATTGAGCCAATAATTAACCATGGAGGTGCCAGTGCCAGCACACAACGTTTGTATCAGAGTCTACGGTGGTTCTTTGGCATAGCCGCTGTTGTAACCGATACAGGACATGTTCTGCTCGTTGACCTGTGCTTGGATTTCTCGTGCAGTCAGAGTGAGCAAGAGCCAGCAGGTATGTTGAACTGTTCAATTGGGACAGGGAATAACGCTTCTGACTTTCTTGGGGATTGCAGAGCTGGATTGTAAAGTTGTGCCTGTGAATCTTTTTGTTGCGGGCCAAGTCAGAGTGAGGAGTTAACTGCGATACCTGACCACTGAGTGCTGCACTTGCAATTTGTCTCTAATGTACAATTTCCAATTCCTTTCTCCATTTTCTCTCTTCCTCCCCCCCCCCCAACCCCCCTATACCCGCAGTGTCAGTTATCACCTGCCCTCTGGTGTGTTGCGCAAATGCTCATTCTTTATATAAAAACCCTATAAAAATTTTTTATATAAAAATGGGTCCCTCAAAATGTGTGGTTAAGTATGGATTTGAATATTTCCATTATTTCAATCATTTGTCAATAGGTTGATGTACACTTGAAGGAGAAGGGAATAGAGGAGAAATGAATTGGAACAGTGGGAGCTTATGTGGAGTATAAGTACCAGCAAGGATTCATCCAGCCAATTGGCCTGTTTCCGTGCTGTGCAACTCTAGGAATCAATTCAAAATTATAGGTTTTCAACAATAATATCTCAGATATATAGGCTTCCCACAGTAAAATATTATTGTGCAACAGATTTTTTGTGCTAAATTGTAGCTCATGCAAGAAACAATTTCTTTCCTGTTGAAACATGTAAAAGCCATAACTGATGTCTTTGCAGACCTTGAAGTGGTTAACCGATCCCCTGCAGAAATCCCTCGAATGAGAGAAAATGTGGTGAGGGAAGGACGACACCTCTGCTTCCAGTTGCAAAGTCCATCTGGGGTGGGAGCCACTGCTTTGAGTTACGTTGCAAGAACGAACCAGTTGGCAGTAGGCTTCTCTAATGGTTATGTTCAACTCTGGAATCTGAAAACTTTGAAAAAGGAGTAAGTATACAGTAATAGCAGAATATAGTGTTTTCTCTTAGCTTAATTTCATGGCTGTCTCATAAATATTACTGAAATCCTATGTTATTGTTTCAACTTATGAATTATTTTATATTTTCGAAACCATTACTCTTGGACTTAATTCATACACATGTAATACAAATTTATGTAGCGTGTTTCACGTCGGGTGGATGCCTCAAAGCATTCGGATAGCTTTTTTGGAGCAGAAAGTCTTGCCTGGTAATATGAGATACAACCTGAGCCAATAGAAAAGTGCGGTTGCAATTTTTCTGTGGAATCCACTATAAACCTAGTAAACAATGACATTTTTAGCGCCGGGGCTTCTGCCGGTTGTTTATCAGACGCAACTGTGGGTGGCTCTGGAGATGCGTGTGCGGCACAAGCGGGAAATGAGCTTCGCTCCACTCGGAGACCCTGCTGTTCAGATTGTCTGTGTTTTTCTCTATGTGAGTGTGTCTCTTTCCTATGTATGCGTTTGTGATTGTCTGTGCTGGTGTCTCCTCTCCTCCCCCCCCCCCCCCCCCCAAATGGGCCACCCACCCAGTTTAGTTAAAGAAGAAATTAATAAATCTTTTTTTGCAAAAATCTATTATGTGTTATTTCCTCATGTTTAGTTTTTAATCAATAAAGTGAAAAAATGTAGGTTGGCAGTAAAATGTACCTCAATAGCACCAATCAACCCCCACACAATTTTCTGCAAAATCCGTCAAATTCTCTGCTAATGGGAACTTGTATTTTTCTTGGCATAGATACTACTCTCAATTGGAAGGAGGGAAAGTCCCCGTCTTTGCATTCACCTTTCAAGAGCCTGAAAATGATCCTCGTAATTGTTGTTATCTTTGGGCTGTACAATCTGCCCAGGACAGGTGAGCAGCGTGCAACAGAAATGAGAAATTTTCCAATGTGAATATAATGGATTTTACTTCTATTCAAGAAGAAAATGCAATTGTGGGTCTTTAACTGCACTAACGTGTAGTGTATAAACCCTATTTATATTGTGTCCATGTTACCATCACCTTTTCGGTTGGGGGTGACTATCTGTTTATACTGTTCTTTTTTCCATCTGCAGTGAAGGTGATGTGGTTAGTCTGCACCTGCTTCAGTTGGCTTTTGGTGACCGGAAGAATCTTACTTCAGGACAAATCCTCTATGAGGTATAATATTTACTCCTGTTGAGCTGCTTCTATATTAACTTTAGTGATTTGGCACGTGCTTTTTTTAAACGCTCATTTGTTTATGAAGCAACTTGGAAATGTCTTTGTGAAGAAGGTTGATTGAAACTAATGGCATGTTTCAAATGAAAGATAGCATGTATGTTTAAAGTTTGATTTTTTTTTCTTTTAAAGGGTTTGGAGTATTGTGAAGAGCGCTACACTCAGGATCTTACTTTAGGAATGTTTTCTTCAAGAACGAGAAATACCAATGCTCGACTGCTCGGTTGTCAGACTGTGGAAAAGTTTCGGAATCATGCTGACCGAGACGAAAGTATGAATGAAGGTGAGTTTTAAATTCAATTTATGAATAAAAATTGGAACTCATTTTTCTTTTTTCTAAATGATTTTAAGAAAAACTGTAGGAAATTCAAGTTTCAGTGGCTTCCTACAGCCTGCTCTCATTGAGCGATAGCACTCGCGCCCCTGAATCAGAAGGCTGTGGGTTCAAGCCCCACGTCAGGATTTGGAATCATATACCAACAAACACCAATGCGGTGCTGGGGGCGTGGGATGTTGCATTGTTGGATGTGCTGTCCTTCAGATGAGAAGTTAAACCCAGTTCTGGTGGACATAAAAGAACTGATGGTGCTGTTCCAAAAAAGAAGGGAGTTTCATCCAAAATAAAATTTGTCACATACTCTGTGGCTGTTTGTGGGGCAGTACTGTATGCAGATTGGCTGCTGCGTTCGCTCGCAATATACAGTCAATGCACTTTACTGTATTGTTGAAGTGCATTCGATATCTCGACGACTTGATAAAATGCAAGGATTATTATTAAATTAATTAGCTGGGTGTGTGTTAAACTCTGGACATTTTTGACTTGCCAGTAGTATTCTAGTACTGAACTAACCAATTGGTATCACAGTGCAACTTCCCAAACTTTCTGTACTCCCAGCAATCACAATTTCCAAGTATTTCTGTATGTGTTACCATATGATGCATAGAAAGAACTAGGCAAGTTATTGGTTCTGAATGTTTATGTAATCTGAAGCCTCATTCAACCACCCGATCTGGCTGATCGCTTTGCTCAGTGAGTGCTGGCCTGCTTTATTTCCCAACCCTATCTCCCTCACCTTTTGGAGGGCGGCCTATCAGACATTCTGTCCCGTTCAATGAAATTCAATCCTCGCTCCTTCCCTCCCCTTATTCAAGGCACGTCTCAAAATGTGCCTCTGACCAACTGTGCTTTCAGTTACCTCCCTGTCCCCAGCTCAGGTGCCCATCGTCAAACGCTTCAAGATGTCCTGATCTGAAAGATGTTATATAAAAACAAAAAGTATATTGTATTGATTTTCAATGAAGTGATTTGTGGGTTTTTTTTTTCATTTAAACTTTCAGCCACGTCGCCAGACACCAGTGTGTCAATTTTTAGTTGGCAAGTGAATACCTACGGGCAGCGTAAACCTTCAAGTTATTTAGGCATTTTTGATATCAATCGGTGGTATCATGCACAAATGCCTGACTCACTGAGGTAAGAGATTTGTGTTTTATTCCTTAACACAAAATACAGTATTAGCTGTACCTGTTGCAGCTACGCTTGCAACCATAGGATCCAGTATGGAATGTAGATTGACACACAGACACACTTACTTATCCTTGAAAGGTTTGATTTTTCGCTCAGGCATCTTCATAATGATAAATATAAATGTATAATTTATAATCACTGGGACTACCTCCCGATGTGAAAAGCGCTATACAAATGTAATTTGTTGTTGAATAACTGAGTGAACTATCTTTGTGAGTGGTACTATAATACATGTAGTGTTCTGAGTGGAAACATTGTACAGTGGGATTGCATCATTTAGATGTTTTTTAAAGAAAAATTTAGATGTAGTTGTGTGATGGCTGTTTTGAATATGGCAGTAGAAATTGGATGAAAGTGCATTGATAGCCCAGTGGATAAATGCAGTTCTCTAGTTCTGAGACTCAGCAGCTCTGAACTGGAGAGGCAAAAACTGACTAGGGTTGCCAATTGATTAACAACCGGGTTCCTACTTACTGCTAGGTAAACGGGTGTGTAGAGTAAGGAAACATGCCCAACATTTCGCCCTGACGGAAATAGAACCCAGGTCTCTGAGAGGCGAGTGTGCTAACCACTCAGCTATTAGGTCTCCAAGATGCCCTGCTTTTAAATGGTTCGCAATAAAATATCGAGCCAAAAGGTTTATAAATAATTTGACTAAAAGTTATGATATTTTATGTTGAATTTGGATAGGGGGAGAGAGGGATTCAGGAGTTGTGGTTCTGAAACCTGATCTGTATGCTGTGTATCTTTCATGTGTTAACATACAGAAAGAATACCTTGTTTATACTCGGGGCACTTGCTATGTTGCAAATTGAGATTAAAAAGCTATAATGTATAACAGTATCTAAGTAAATTGTGTAAACTGCTACCTATCTTTTCTGTGTCCTGAGTGGGGGAGGATCTTAACTCTAAGGAGTGCTGTGTATCTAAATTTACTGAATAAGTTGGGGGGGGGGGTATTGAAAAAGCAAGATGCATACAATAAGGGTTGCAATTCAGAGGCAGAATAATTTTATTGCTATTGAATATTGCCCTCCAGTATGATGTATGGACTTTTTACAGCCTTCAGTAGATAAATAAGCTACTGGCTAGAGGCTTTGTATTGCATCAAATCGTCTTTCAGAACTCATCTTTACCTTGTGGAACAGTCAATTCTGAATAACTGTTGATATTAAATCATGACAAAAATTATGTATTTGGTTCAGTTTGTCAGATTTTGAAAGCAAGGATGCGTGTGCCTTATCCAATGGTTTGCAAAATAGTTGAAAATTACAGAAGGCTTTGAAGGCAGAATGTTTTCCTGTGAATTGATTCAAAATTCCTCAGTTTACTAATTGTACTACTTACCCTTATTGCTGGTTTCAAGTGCTCCGGGAAGCTAACCTGTGTGAGGGGCGCTATAAAATTTGGTGGCATTAGATTTTATATATTCATTAAAAAAAAGAAATGTGTAGAAATTATGTGGTGAAGTAGGTTCACAAGCAGGCCTTCCACCTCATCCAGACTTGTAAGGAGAATAGGATAAATACTTAATGAAAAAAGGGCCAGAAAGAAGGAATTCCTCTTGCAAGGTTGATTATAAATTTGGGGGATGGAGAAACTGCTCCATATCTGTTTTGACTGATGTTGTTGAAGATTGATGATGAAGAAATTTGAGACATTCCACTTCCACTTAAGCACTTTGAGATGTCTTCCCAATGCGAAAGACACACTATAAATGTATATTGTATTTCTCAGCACCCTAGTTTGAACATAAAAAAATCACTCAAATTAACAGATCAGGCCTTTTAAGGGTCATATGACCAAACCTTGTGTAGGAAGCCATTGGCCCTCCAATTGTGACCTGACAATAAGGTCAGTGTGGACTGTTGTGTGGGGCTTATGTGATTTGGGACAGTTTATAGCACTGTCGGGGGTAGAGAGGTAGGGACCGAGGGTTTTCCTGAGTAGCTGGCATTCCACTGCAGGAGGGAGAAATTCCTCACCAAAACTAGGTTTGCAGAGGTGAGAAACCGTATGTAGCTTCACCAAAATAGCTGAAACCAATTTGCTTTTGTGGAAGGGACAGAGACTGACTAAAACTTGCCTGTAAAATGGGGAACTTGCAAAAAAAAAAAAAAGTCCTGAGAACGGACTGCACAGAGGACCATAGTCTCATCATTTTAAAAAAATTATTATTTTTCCAAGAAATCGAGAAATTTTAGATGCATCTACCAGGTAGATTTGTCAGAATAATCAATTACCATAAATTAGTTTTCAAATTTGCCTTTCTATGTTAAGATTAAATGTAAACAACAGTGCAAAACAGTTTTATAAAATGAAAAGTAATTGTTGTGGTATAACTATTTATTGTATGTTCATACTACCTAGCAGTAAGTGAGAACCCGGTTGTTAGTCGATTGGCGGATCACTTTTCCGGGGTAATAGTTCCTTCAAAAAAGAATAATAAATTGGTCACTTCAATCTACGACTGTTTGTGGGAACACTGCTGTGCACAATTGGCCGCCAGCTTTTGCCCACAAAATAACACTTTACAGTATATTCTGTGAAGCGCTTAGAGACGTCTCGAAGATGTGATAAAGCGCTATATCAGATGCAAGTATTATTATTATTACCAGGGGAGGTTTTAAATCTACAGTAGTTTCTAAATATATTTATGACCAGTTCAAGATTTCTGATTTTACAGAGCTGGAGAACAACTTCATAACTGCCCTTACTTTGCATTGTGGTCTCTTGATGCTGTGGTGGGGATGACCTTTCCCCATTATTTACTGGATGTCCTAGTTCATGAAAGAAATCTTAGCCGTGGAGTTGCTCCCTCTTACCCACCTCCAGAACAATTCTTTAATCCTAGCACATATAATTTTGGTGAGTATTCATTTAAAAGATTAAAATCTCTCTTTGTGTGATGAAATGTGAAATACCTGTGGAAACGTATTGTTATTATGCAGTAGAAACCAGTATTTCTGATTTACATATTGAATCTTTCTCACTGTTGATGATTTGATTAGTATTGAAATATGAGCCATGTATCCAATTGTGAGGTTGTTTCACAAGCATTTGAAACATTGCTTTAGATATTATCTTACCAGCCTCCGTTTTATTGTGTGTTGCTGGCCATGACTCACTCAATTTATACATGTTTAACAAGAGGGCCAAGTACTTTAGTTTCAGCCAGAAAAAATAATTGCTGTCACTTTCTTTGAGATGTGCCAGAAAAAAAATCAATTTTCATGAATGTCTTAAGAATGCATCAGTATGTTTTCTGGTCAGGATTTCTGTATCAGGAACTTGTGCAAATCGCTTTTTTCTAGAATATGTTGAATGTAAGAACCAGTTAAAGGCTGATGTTGCTGAGATTTGATATTTGATAGCTGAATTGCTGCTTTTAAATCACTTACAATTTCAGCAAACGAGATTTCTAAGATTCCTACAACTTCTGGGATTATAATTCTTCTTGAATAATTGCTTTCTCTTATTGGCTGTGTTATCTCCTGAGTCCACTTTCTGCACCAGACAATGCATTTTATTCATTGTTACCAAAAAGTGTTGAGAGAAAATATTTAGTTAAGTGTGGTTAAAAGTTCCAAACCTTCTGGGTTCCTAAAGGATGTTTTCTATTTGTTTCAGATGCAACTTGTTTGTTAAATTCGGGACTTGTCCATATAACCTGTCCTGGCTTTCAAAAAGAGGTATGTTGTGAACTTGGGGAAATGATTGTACAAAAAATGTAATTCTGTTGCTGTGGTGGTATATAGAGCGGTAGTTTAATTTTTTCAATGAATATTTTGTTTTGATTACATAAACTCATGTTGTATGAAGAGTTGTAAGTCTTGGCAGGGAATCGAACAGACAAATGCCCAGATTTGGATATTAGCTAAATAGTACTTTAGGCACATAATGTGTTTGCCCTTCGGAGCTACAGTATAAGCCAGTATCTGCGAGGTGGTAATGTTTTATTTTTTTCGTCTTGCAACCTTTGTGATTTATACTGTGTTATCAGCAAGGCACTATACTGCTTTTTTTGTCGAACACTGTTAATTATGTGGTAATAAGGTGGCCGATGTTGGTTGCCAGTTACTTGTAAAATGATGGAATATTTTGTAGAATTCATGTGTCTAAATTTTATGAGCATTGTGTTTCTCCTGGGAAAGGAGAGATTGAATTGTGATGGATAAGTTCATTCCTCTCTTCAATGTTTGGCTCCCGATGATCGACGGGCCTGTAAACAACTGTAAGCTGGAGAGTATTTGCGTGGTTGGGAATGTAAATATAAAACATTTTTAGAGGTTTTTTAATGTTAGTCATTATTATTTGAACTCTTCCATGAGAAACTCTGTGCTCTTACATTGTAGCTGATTCTAGTGTTAATTTGTATTCGGGTCTAACTAAAATATTTTCTTTGATCATTACTTTTTTAGATGCTGCTTGGCTTCCTGCAATATATTTTCATCTTGTATCAATTTTTTTTGTTGTGTGGGACTGTGTCTCTGTCCTAAGTATGATGTAGTAGTCCTTTGGTTGACCACCATCTGTCCAAAAGTGATATTGTTGCAACTTCTGAAACTGCTGCTTTCTAAGGAATGAATTTTAGATCCTGTTTCTGTTTACTAATGTAAACAGGCCCTGAGCTAGTGAAAACGCGTAATAGTTTTGACTAATATTGAACTACTAATCAATGTACTACTTTCTCTTACAAGAAAATTGTCTGCTGCCAAAATTTAGTTGCTGACTATAACTAATTTTAACTTGGTTCTGCAAACACTTTTATTGGATGGGACAGAGAAGTATTGACCATTGTACTTTATAATGTTTTTGTTTTCTAGACTTTGAATTACTTGAAGAAAACGGGCCCTTGTCTCAGTAAAGCTATCCCTGATGGTTACAGTCGGTGTCTGATGGCTGGCTTACTTTCTCCAAGACTTGCAGATGTACACCCTTCCAGTCTCACACAAGTAGGTTTCTAACTATTTGAAATATGTATTGAACCTTGATCAGATTTCTCCACATGTTAGTTTTTGTAGTTGAGTACAAAACTTGAGGAACAGGGATTCTAAGTGAACTCTTCTAGTTTTCATTCCCCAGAAACTGGACAAATCTGAATTGTGAATGAATTCCTATCAGAAGAACTTAGGGTTTTGTTTCTTTAAAGCAAATGCGAAAGTGCTCAAGTCCTCTCCAGTTTCCCTGGTAGCCTCATATCTGCTGCCCTTTTCTGTATTTTTTGTTTTGTAGAGCTTTTGTTTTTAAACATGTTACAAACCACCCCTCCCCTCAAGGCACTTCAGTGATGTAGATTATGGGGGTAATTAACTACCGATCGTGTAATTTTGGTCTCATTCTCCCCTTACTCCCAATTAAATAACTGTAGCTTTTTGTCCAGATTGTGATCATAGGGCATGTTCTATCTGCCTAATTTCAAAAACAGGCCACTATACTGCACTTAATAAGGGATACTTTAGGGTTGATATAGTTCTGTTAAAATTAGAGTAGAGAGCAGGTTGCCTGTGCCAAATGAAGAAAATCCTTCAAACAAACAAGGGTACTTGGGACCTACTTTAAAACAATCTCCATATTGTTTGCAATTTTTGACTATTATTTGAGTATTTCATATTTTTAACTTTTAGGAAGAGCAACTAGAAGCTATTTTATCAGCAGCTGTGGAATCTAGCTCCTTAGGATTGATAACTGGGTGCATCAAACAGTGGACAGCGGAAGGTGAGTGCCTCACACCACACACCAGTCTGGCTTTTAAAAAAAAGTTTATTCTTAGCTTGCTTCCAAATATCATAAAACCTCCTATATTGATCTCTGATTGTATGGTATGAAAATAATATTTCATTTCGAACCAAATCATGGTGTAAATTTTTAAAAATGTTTAACCATGAAATATCCCTATTACACTGGCCTTGCTGATACTAGATTAGCTGTCTTCTATTGTTGTCTCACAAGTGGGAAGTGCCAAATTATTCTAGTCATTTGTGGATTTGAGACAATTAAGCTTTGTGGCACATACTAGACTAATTTATAGTGCCTTTTTATTGAAAATGAGATAGTTGGATCTTTTTAGTCTGAAGAAATTAAATTCCAAGTAACTGTTATGTTTTTGAAGCGTTTCTTCACAGTTGGAACAAAAGTTATAAAACTAACTTATAGAGGTAGTTTAATTCTGGTCAGTAGTCTCGTGAAATCTGAAGTCTCATCAGAGGCCATATGCAGATCATAATGTGTATATGGCAACTATTTCTTCCAATTTTTCTTTCCTCCTCGGAAAGAAATGACTTTTTCGATGTTATTAATCTCTAGTATCAAATGCCATTCTTGCATGAGCCTAGAGAGCGAGCATAGCAGGATTCTTTTCATTACTCCATGAGTCTTACTGTTCCTCCCTTTTTCATGCCCTAGCTAGTTTTTTTTTTGAGTGTTGATTTACAAAACTAAGTGTATGATGGCACAAAGTTGCTGTCATCCTGATGAGGTTCCATGCTAGCAAATATTATTGTTCCACTTCTTTTCACCCACGTTTTACATCGAGTACCTTCTGTTTTCTGGGTTTTTCAAAAGTTCTTCAGACTATTAACATTTTAAGATCATCCAGCATTAGAGAAATTCTTAAATTTATTTGGGTTAGAAGGTGTTTTTTCTCAATTCTTTAAAAAATATTTAAAGCTAAAACCATGAGTAGGAATTTTGTTTCTCTTGTCTTGTTGTAGTATGTTAATCTATGGCGCCACCTAATGTCAGACTTTGTCTTATCGTAGAATATTACAGCACAGAAGGAGGGCATTCGGCCCTCCATGCGGGCTCTTTGGAAGAGCTACCCAATCAGTCCCAGTCCCCCGCTCTTTCCCCATATCCTTGAAAACTTTCCTTTTAAAATATTTATCCAATTCCCTTTTGACAGTTGTTATTGAATCTTTTTCAACCACCCTTTCAGGCAGTGCATTCCAGACTAACAACTATGAGTGTGTGTAAATTTTCTTTTTAAAAATTCTCATCTCCCCACTGGTTCTTTTGCCAATCATCTTGAATCTTTTGTCCCCTGGTTACCGGCCCACCTGTCAGTGGAAACAGTTTCTCCCTATCGACTCGCTATCAAAACCCCTCATAATTTTGACACCTCTATTAAATCTCCCATTAACCTTCTCTGCTCGAAGGAGAACAGTCCCAGCTAAAGGTATCGCAAATCATGCAAGTAAATTAAGGTCATTCCAACTCAATAAAATGTTGGTGTGAAAGTGCTTCATGTAGCTTATTTTTATTAATAGGGTGAATTTTTTTAACAATGTTTGAATCTTTTCCTTTTTTTTAGTGTGCACCATTGATATAAAAAAAGGCAGCATAGGTTATGAAATGCTGAATTTCTGCATTGTTTTAAAAAAATCCAAAAATTCAATAAGTTGGGTTATTGGTCTGACCTTATCCATCACGAGCAGAAAACCTTGTGGAGGAAGGAACAAATTGATTATTTTTGTCTTACAGTGTACATCATTTTAATTTGTCTTTACCAAACTGAGCGCCAGTAAAATATTGCAAACTATATTGACCAAAATTAAGTGTTGCATGTTGAGAATATTCAAAAATCAAATGCTTACAATCTTGCACTAAACGATTAACCTTCTTTTTGTGGGGTGGGGGTTTATAAAGAACAACCTAGATCAGCTGCCAGCCTGCGTTTTGTACTTGAATGGACGTGGAAAAAGATTACTCGTACCAAAGAGGAACTGGACAACATCTGTAAGTCTGCAACATGTGTACTTTGTCTTATTGTTTGGAGCTTCATTTTAATTTTATTTGTTCACCTGCACAAAAATGACTTATTTTGGTCCTTAACTTGTTTCGTAATGATTCCTCTTACATTTTTATTTCCTCGGTGCCTCTGTACATTGAACATTGTAATATGGAGTTATAATAATATAATAATAATAATAATCCTTTCATTTGATATAGCGCTTTTCACGTCAGGAGGACGTCCCACAGCGCTTCACAGAACACACTGTAAAGTGAATTGACTGTATATTTGTGGGCGAACGCAGCAGCCAATTGCGCACAGCAATGTCCCACAAACAGTCGTAGATTGAAAATGACCAATTTATTATTGTTTTTGGTTTTGGAGGGATTATTATTAGGCTCTGTGTGGAGTAAGGAAACTTGCCCAAGGTTTCGCCCTCTGCCTGGAATTGAACTCAGGTCTCTCGCTTGCAAAGCGAGTGCTCTAACCACTGAGCTACAGGACTCCACGTTATGGAGAGAACCATGCTATATCATTGAACCATCCTTTCATAAACCCTCTGGCTGATGAGAGGGTGGGCCAATGATACTTTATGGGATTAATAGCTTGGAGCCTCAGGGTGAAGTAATAATAATAATCCTTGCATTTTAATATAGAGCCTCATCATGTCTTTGAGAAGTCTCAAAGCGCTTCACAGAATATACAGTAAAGTGAAGTGACTGTATATTTTTGTGGGCGAAACGTAGCAGCCAATTGCGTATAGCAGTGTCCCACAAACAGTCGTGGATTGAGTAACCAATTTATTTTTTAAGGAATTATTACCCCCGGAAAAGTGATCCACCAATTGGTTATAATAATATATAATAATACAGTAAACCCCTGATAATAATCACTCAGAAAAAAACAATAATAAATTGGTCATTGCAATCCACGACTGTTTGTGGGAACTGCTGTGCGCAATTTGCTGCTGCATTTCATCCACAAATATACAGTCAATTCACTTTACAGTCTATTCTGTGAAGCGCTTTAACACATCTAGAAGGCATGAAAAGTGCTGTATCAAATGCAAGGATTATTATTATTATTAACAACCAGGTTCCTACTTACTGCTTGGTAAACAGAGGCATATGGAGTAAGGAAACTTACCCAACGTTTCGCCCTGCTGGGAGTCAAACCCTGGTCTCTCGCTTGCGAGGCAAGTGCTCTAACGACTGAGCTATAGGACTCCCCTTGTTACCTTTTTGGAGGAACACGGCTTCACCTGTTTGTGAAGTGGATTGTTTCTGCTTGGCTCCTTGCTCTGTGGCTTATAGAAATAAGCCAATGAAGTGCAGATTTGCAGGTCCTGTAATAAGCATTCATATATGAAAACATATTCCAGATTGCCTTCCACTAGTAGCATGATAAATCGTCATTAAGATCATTATTACAATAAACTCCTGATAACTCGACCCTGGCTTAATTTGTCATTACCGCTTAAGTCATTATCCTGTCAACATCCTGACTGCATGTATTTACGTATGTATAGATATCCCTAACTTGCCATTCTGGATAACTCATCACTGAGCCCTTTTCTGTTGGAGAGACGATTTATTACGGGGTTTACTGTATTATTATTACATATGCTAGCATTGGTCTCATGGTGATTGAATCAGCTGTGAAAAATATTTTAAGGCTATTTTTAAAACGTTGACGACTGCTAACTCGAGTTTGTTTCACTTTATTCTTTAAATACTAGGTGTTCCACTCTTTGATGGATCATGCAACTTCATTGACTCACACACACTCCAATCCCTTCAGCACTGTCAGATGTTACTGAGCAACCTCACCACCATTGTTAACTGTTTCCTTACTGAGGCCCAGGAGTTGACTGAGAGAGGTGTGTGTTTTGGTGTTTCACCTGCCTTTCATTCTTTCACTAACGTGGCTACTAGATTCCATTGTATTTTGTGTGCAGCAATCATTTTAAAGACTATGCTAGCTTTTTCCCACCCCTTAATTTTATTAATGAATAATTTAATTGCATGGTGTAGAAATTGTGTGGCATTCTTGAGGCAATGTTTCAAGACACCTCTTCATGTCATTATTAATGTCAAAGGAATGTACATGGAAGCTTTTATTAACCAAATATTTAGTGGTGTAACATTTTGATTACATTAAACCTAATACTATGTAGCAATCAACCATCTTTCAGAGTGAAGCTATTTTATTTATTTGAAATCTTCTTGCAGGATTGGTTGATTTAATGAACAAACGCACTGTAGGCAGTCTGATTGCTCAGTATGCCCAGGTTGTACTGTGGTTCTGTCGTGCAGGCCTACTCCCAGAGGGTTCAGGTAAGATTAAAATGATTTAATGTTGCATTAATTCAGTAAGACTCTTACTTTAACTTGTAAATCTGTATGTTTAAAAAAACACTTTGCTTTTTCCCTCAGATGATGTTGATGTATTGCAGTTATCGAGGCCTGTCTACAATTACCCTGTTATACAAAATTATTATACAAACCGGCGGCAAAAGCTAGAACGCTTATCAAGGTATGTGGTAACTAGTATCTTCTTTGCTCACACATCCTCCAAACACTAGAACTGAGGCCACCAAGATCCAGACTATTGGGAATTTCAAGGGGCTACATCTCATTTACAGTATTCCTTTTGTCACTGTGATGGACCACATGACCTTCAGATTGGGTTTACAAGGTAGGTCTTCTGCCCACTAGGAGATCAGGGTGGGCTACTGTTTTCAGGTAGTTAGTTGTTTGTGATCTTCAAGACTGAGGCTGATGTAGTGGTTGGTCTTAATGCCATCTTTAAGACCACCAGTGGAGTTCTGTAGCTTAGTGGTTAGAGCAGGGCGAAACGTTAGGCAAGTTTCCTTACTCGATACGCCTCTGTTTACCTAGCAGTAACCCAGTTGTTAGTTGATTGGCGGATAGCTTTTCCGGAGTTAATATCCCTAAAATAAGAATAATTTGGTCACTCAATCCACGACTGTTTGTGAGACACTGCTGTGCACAATTGGCTACCGCATTTCGCCCACAAATCAGTCAATTCACTTTGCCGTATTCTGTGAAGCGCTTTGAGATGTCTCTATGGGGTGATGAGGTGCTATATCAACAGCAAGGATGATTATTATCATTATCTTTTCATATTCTTTGTTTATAATTCCCAATTTTCAAATTAATCTTATGAATCTAGTGTTTGCCTGGAGAAAATCTTAACATAGCTCTCTCCGAACCACTCACTTATATTCTCCTTCACATCATGTAACTATTGGCATAATTTAACACTGGGGGATTAGCTAAATTACCTCTGTAAATTGCCTCTGGAGATTGGGTGCGGGGAAACTTTGGTAGCAAGTAACCCTTGGTACTAGTTTACATTCATGCTGTAACTGATTCCTTTACCCAGAGGCAGATGGTGTTCGGATTGCCTGATGATTGATGGGGTGGTGTCAGAAATTGGGGATCATTTAGAGCAGTTATGGAGACAGGATGAAGGAGGAACAGGAAAATATCCACCATCCACGCTTCACGTAAGGTTTTTGATTTGTAGGTGCTCATTTCTGTTCAGTGGAATTTTACAAATGCTGAGCTTATTTTTTTCTTTGATTTCAGGCTCTTCTTGATGTATATTTACTGGAAAATGTTAATGAAACAACAAAACACACCATTGTATCCTTCATTTCTTATTCAAACTGAACTGTCAGCCTAAGATTACCATCCTTAGAGGAGGTGGTTTCATCTTATCCTGCTAATGACCTTTTTGGCAGTGCTGTTATTTTAAACACTGGCAATAGATTTTTTGAATTTTTATTTCTAATGTTCCAATTTATTTGGACTGCAATTCTGTTAAAATTTTCTTTTAATAGTTAGTGCCTTGTGTTCATTACAAAGAGTAAACTAACTTCAGTCAGCCTAATTCCAAATATGTGCTGCTGTTCTGGTTTTTACTGATCTCTATGTCTTTATTGGGCTTGTGTTTTGAAACCTTAACCTAAGGACTCTAGGCTATCTATCTGATATTGGACATTCTTTCCTCTGTTTCCAATAAAAACGAGTCTTCAATTGAATCCTTCCCACCGGCTTTTGCTGTACCTGTGGGTTTGGTGAATCTCATTCAAGGCTTTTGGCTGTTGGATCACAATGACCATGAAGTAAGTATAGGCGTCGGGGAAAGTCTATACTATTCTGAAATTCATAAGATGTAAACGTTTGGAATCACAAGAATAAAAGATACTTGCTGCACAATTTAATTCAGAACCCCATTCATAAGAAATCCAACATTTTTGCATTACTTTGCATTTTGAAAGAGAAAGAAATTCAACATTGATGCTAAACTGAATGCTGAACAATATGTCTGGTTATGTGCTGTGAGAAAAATCTTAAGTATTGAAGATACCCATGTGGCGTGTTACTTGCTGCATTTCTATGGGTGTTATCCAATACTTTACCTAAATCACAAGATAAGCTTTGCTGAAAGGGTCAATGATTCATATTATAAGATGCTTCTGTGGCATATTCTGAGAGTAAACTTGGGTAACTTCCCTAAATTTGCTAGATAGAAGATATCTTGTGTTGATAAAGAGTTACTCAGTCTTCATTTTTTNCTCCTTTTATTTTTGTTCTCTCTTCTAAGAATGCTCTTGATCGGATTCTTCATCCAGCCACAAGCAGGTCAATTTCTTCATGGCAGCACATCCGCATCATACAAGCGTTGATGTGCCAAGGGGAGCATAGCAAAGCCCTCCGATACCTGCAGGCAATGAAACCTTCGATGTCTAGTATCAGCGAGCTTAAGCTTCACCTTACTGTACTGCTCTTCAACAGGTAACTGAGCAGTTATCAGACTAATTTATTTTATAGTTAATTGATTAAAGGAGACTTGGATATTGGCAGCAGACTTGGTTTTCGATTATATCGCTGTAATGTAGCGGCTGGGTGACAATACACAAAAACTTCACTCTGATTTGAGAAACCAGGAATGCATGTAACTGAAGCCTAACTTGAACTGTAGACTGAAAGACTTGAGGGTATGAGGGAGAAGCTTATTAATACAGAAGGTGGGGATTGGAGGTTTTCGCAGGCTAGAAAAAAAGCAAATGTGATTACTATGTTCAAGAAGGATATTTGTCATAGCTGCCACTTATAGAGATTTATTATCCTGGCCTCTCAATTAGGTTAAAAACAAAAGGAATCCATAATCAAAGTGGAAAGAGTGGAAAAGTACCTATTGGAAGTCACTTCACAAATGATAGCCAGTCTTCTCTGTAAACCGCTCCTGACTACCCAATGAACTCCTCAGTTCCATTTCAGCAATCTGTCCCTAGTTTCTGAAATCATTCGCCCTTTCCAATCCAACCTTGATCCCTAAACTCTCTCTATACTCTCTCACCTAACTATTGCCCCAACCGCCAAGGATATAATACGCAAATCAAATAGGATGTTGGGCTACATTGCAAAATTAAATTATTTAAAAATCCACTGAAATTGTCTTGTAAGCTGTACAATGTTTGATTGGGCTATACCTGGAATGTTGTATGCAGTTTTGGTTGCTGTGGTAAAGCAACTGCCCCAACTCCAAAAATAATGCAGAGGAGAGTAACTAGGCTGATTTCCCTGGTGTTTAGATGAATGAGATATGGGGAAGGAGCGGATGACTTAGAGCTCTTCAACCCCCGAGTGTTCTTGAAGGGATCCATGTTAATATGCGTAACTGATTAAATTATGTAAACCAAGAGCAACACTTAAAGATACACCAATGTCTTTTCTTTGGTTTCCAATCAAGGTTCTAACGTTGAAGATTATTATAATTTTAATACTGCATTTTATTTATACATTTGGAGGCTTCTGGATAAGTCAGTGCTGTGTTTGGATATTTAACTACCCCAACTACTAGCTTTGGAATGTATACCAATGTCTTGCTTTGCTTTGGAGGTGTAAATGGAGGTAAAGATTCAGCAGATTTATATAACTCCTATTCAGGTGCGTGGTAGAGGCTTGGAATCTACTCCAACAGAATGCCAGCAGAATAAACCTGGAGGGGCTGCTCATGCACATGTATGAGTTGTGTCAAGAGATGGGACTAATGGAGGACCTCTTTAAACTACCTTTCAATACTACTGAGCAGGTATTATGTAGTAATTTTCCTTTGAACATTTGCAATAAAGAAAATAACCCCAAAACCTTTGACATAATGTGAGGACAGAACGCATTGACAGTTTTTGTTACATTCTCAGACCTGTAGGTCACAATTCTAGCAAGAATATGTAAAGTTAACAATCTAACAATTTTGGTATTGTTTTCTACATCTACACCGTCAATGTACATTATTTTTGTAAGGGTCAGCTACATAACTTAATCTGTTGTTTACAATGTAAAAAATGTAACCATGCCCAATATGAGAAGAAATGTTGGTGTTTTGTGACGAGGCCTTGACTTTTTCTTTCCTTAGGAATGCTTAGAGAAGTTCTTGACCACCAGTGGTAGTCTGCAAAATTATGAATTTCTTCTAGTTCATCACCTTCAACGTGCCAATTACGTACCTGCAATACAGCTTAATCAGTCACTGAAAATGAACTTGGTAAGTGGAAGACTGCTCAAAACTGCATATGTCTGTTAATGAAGCATTTTGGAGATGTTGGTCAGTTAGGGGGTCTACCTGGGTAGTATTGGCTTTGAGGCATTGATTCAATAGTATTGAATTCAAAGTCAATAGAAATCAATAGTTTTGGCTTCTCAGATCTGATTTAACTCTTCTTATGTGAGAATCAAAGAATTATACAGCACAGAAGGAGGCCATTTGGCCCATCAAGAAGCCTGAACACAAGCTTGTTGGAGCATTGTCTCTGCAATGCATTATATTGAAACATTTAAATAGCAATCCTTATGAGTTTTGGTAGCTGGTCGAGTTTATTTCAATCAAATCGTTGTTGGGATACACCCAGATCACAAGGATCGAAAATAATGGAGAAGGAAGGCTGGAATAGGCAGAAGGCATGAGGATGAGAGAGACGGTTTGATGTAAACCTTTTTATGAATGTTTGCAGAATGATCATGATCCTCAAGTTCGAGAGAGAACCGCTGCTAGGAATTCCATTCTGGAACAGTATGGGAAAGTTCTTCCAAAAGTCCAGAGGAAGCTGGCAACCGAACGTGCAAATCCTTATCGTTCAGCAGTGTTCCGGGAAGGTGAGATCATGTTTCAGTTTTTTTTTTTACTTTCAGGCGCTGTAGTTTGCAGCCATTTTCTTTTCAATTGGCATCATTAAAAAGAATTTTGTTTTTGCACACAGTGAAACGGCCCAAACCATTATCTACCATGGCTAAACGGACTACATCGGGGAATGTGCTTACTCGTGCTACATTCATCAACACTGTACTTTCCAAAGTCAATGAGGTGTGGCAAGGGAATGAGAAAGGAAATCATTCTCCCATCAACAGGTAAAACAGTTGCATGTAAATGCTCTGTATTTGTAACTTTTTTCTTTCAATGGACTGGATTCAAATCAACTTAATAACCTTTGTTTAATTACACACATCCTGAATCTCCTGTCTTTCCCTCACAAGCTTATTTTTGTGTTTGTCAATCTAGACAGTGTATATTGACTGCCTGTATAATTTCAGAACTATTATTAATCCTGCTACTTTAAATAAATTACATATCTTTTTGACCTTGCTTTTCGTTATTCTGTCCCTCCACACCCTATTTGGCTCTCACTCTCACTTAGCTGCCTAGTCTGCAGGTCAAGTGCTTGAAGACATCCTGACATGAGAGGTGCTATATAAATGTAATTTGTAATCTATAAATATCCTTGAGGATTCCTGTGTGAAATGTTCAGAGTTGTAGGGCATCGATACAGATGCACGTATACTTTTAGATATAATTTAAAATGATTTGTTCTGAATCGACTAGCATAATTTGTTCTGTTAGCTTTACTGTTGTAAAGTCTTTGTAATATCGGATGGAAAATCCCATTAAAGACTATTAAATGCTTTATATTTGAATGAAAAGTAGGCACTAAAATTTCATTTTTTTCTTTAAAACTCCAGTCCCGGGAATAATGGAGCACCTTCAGCAAACCGATCTACAGAATTATGTGATCCCTTTGTTGGCACACCAATTAGCAAGTCCGTTGGAAAATTTTCAAGGTAATGCATTTTTGTTTTCAAATTAATTATTTGATCAACTCAAAGAAGATTCTCAAACAGCTTTTGTGGCCTCTATTCGATTTTCACTTTAAAATGTTCAAACCCATCAATTATCTGTTCTGAAGCTGCTGATCAGATTTAGCAACGATTGATCAGCCTGAGCAGAGTGCTCTTCTGTGTGTTAGGCTGGCTCAGTGGTAGCGCTCTCGCCTCTTAGTTCCATGTGATGGAGAATAAATGATCATGTACATTATACAAACTTTAATTGTCATTATCCATTCTGGAAAATGGGAAATCAATTGTGGGTAAATTGTTACCTCGGGATCACCTATCAAGTGTGCTGAGTTTTGTGTTGTCCAGGATTTGTTTGGAAATTTCAATTGAATGGGAGTGCTTTTTCATCTTTCCTTGTCCCATGTGCCACTTCCCCCACAAGTCATCTTTGGACCTTTTTAAAGCATTCACACATCAGGACAGAACATTTACTTAATTATAGTCTAGAAAAAAGTGGTTTGTTTGCCAAGTTTCTGACATAAACAAAAAATGTACTCCTGCAGTCTGCAATGTAAGTTCATGTTTTAGATTTGTTCCAAACGTTTTTGGAATTCACCTTTTGTACTGGGGGCAGCACTACATTGTAGGAGGTGAGATCCGTCTAATGAGACACACAGCAAGCTAGTCTTGACTTTTCAAGCCCCCGGTATCCTGACTAATAATCCTGCAGATAAACTAGTCATTCACTTACAGGCTGTTTGTGGGTCCTTTTGCACAATCCAAGTGTTTTGAAGCATTTGTCACACTTTATTTAAGGATTTATTCTCAATATAATAATCCTTATATTTGAAATAGTGCCTTTTCATGCCAGGAGGAAGTCTATTATTTATTTATTCTATCATTTTATATGTGAACGTGGCAGCCGATTTGCACGGTGTCCCGTAAATGGTTATAATGTAATTTTACATTGCTCAAGAAATGAAAAATATTGGCTCTCTAAGTTCAATTTCTTCAAATTTTGAACAGGTAACTTGCTGGTAAGGTAGGTAAGTTGTAGACTTTTGTTGAGACAGAGTTGCATTTCTTTTATTTAGGTTATTGGATTCTTTGGTGGAACTGAAGACCCAGTCACTTCTGACAACAGAGAGCACTCTGTTTACACAAAGTAAGGCTTCTCCTTCTTGGATGACCACTAGCCCGCTTCAATCATACACCGTCAATACTGGCTACCTTACAGCAATAACCAAGGCATCAGAGCTAAAGCTTTTGCAAACACCTCCTGTAGTAAAGGTATGGAATGTACTTAACTATTTATTTTGCTGAACTTATTGTATGAAGCTATGTTACAGAAGCTAATTTACAGGTATAAACAGCTGTAATAAGTGTTTATGCATTTGACCTAGATGGAAGAGTATAATATTCAGAGAAAAGGGTTTTCAACTATATGTTTCCTAATTTGGTTTTGGTTCTTGACATACTAAGAATTATAAATGGGAACATAACTGAAAAATGTGTTGAACGTCTCTTTATAATTTAATCAGAGTGTAAGAGACCTAGCTTTAAGGAAAATACTTAAAAAACTTCTAATTCATAGTGATGCCAACTAGATACCTGGGACATGTGGCTACATATCAGGAGCTTCATCTATTTTGGAAGTTGGAGGAACTGCCATTTAGAATACATGAAAAAATGTCATTTCTTGACATAGGATGTCAGCTATTTAAAATTATAGCACTTTCTACCTTTTTGGCAGAAGATTGTCTGTCAGCCTGGCTTAGTTCATAGCAACCTTACCTCTGAGTCAGAAAGTTGTGGGTTCAAGTGCCTTGTCAGGACTTGAACTCACATCATCTAAGCTGAGTGCTAAACTAATGCAGTGCTGAGTGGGTGATTCTTGGAGGTGCTATCCTTCAGATGAGATGTTAAACCGAGGTCAGGTGAAAGTTAAAAATCCCATGGCACTATTCAAAAAAAGAGAAGGGAGCTTTTCCTGGTCCCCCTAGCCAACAATCCCCCAGGATTGAGATATCCTTCCAATATGATAAGGCGCGATGCAAGGTTTATTTATATATTAAAAGTTATTTGACTAGAATTTGGACTCCCAGATAGTAGAGATATTCTGTTATGTACTGCAAAATCCCATTTTAAATTTTGTTCTTCACAAAGATAGTTTTCTCTTCCTCATATTGTGGTAGGCTAACTTTGTCCTTTTTTTTTGAAAAAGAGGACAAGAGCTTTTACAACTTCAGAATCTGCTTTTGCCAGTTTTACCCCTCAGTCCATCTTGAGATCCAGCCTCCGCCCTACGCCTTTGGGATCACCATCTGCGTCACCGAGCCGATCTCTAACTCCTCCACTGCGTGCTAAAGAGACCAAAATTTCTTTCTTGGAGGAGAAGTTAACTGTTCGATGGACTAATGGGGTATGTGTTTTATAATTATGAGCTTTTGTCTCTGGCACGTATTGTAACTGTATCAGTTGTTTGTCCACATGTTTAGCTGTTAACATGGGTATGACATGCAATTTGAAGTTTGAAAAAAAAAGTCTTTAAGTGTTGGATATGAATTATCCCGATCTCCTGGGCACCAATTCCCCAGATAAAATTAATCATTCACTTCTTGGGTATTTGTGGGACATTTCTGTGCACAAATTGCCTGCTGCCTTTTACACAGTGCTGCCCTTTACAATATACTGTATCCTTTGAGATGTTTTGATGACGTAAAGGTGTATCAAATGTAAGTATTACAATTAAATTGCGTTCTTGCCAAGAATTCTGCAGACTTAAACACATTTTGTAACACTATGAATAGAGGTTGCAAAGCTGCCTTTCATAACTCTTGGCAATCGTTTCACAAAACTTCAGATCATGGTTCTCTGTTTATATTCCAATGCAAATACCAGGTACAACATTCACAGCATACATCTCCCCACCACCCCAAAAAAATGAAAGTCAACAAATTTATATACAATTAAAACTGATTTACTTATAACTTATAGAAGGAGGAAGTTCAATTTTATAAAGGGGCACTCAGTCTCCCTGGAGAAGAATTCATGCTCTTAAAAATATTCTACCCATATAAGCTATACTTGTTTCAAATGCTCTCAGGAATGATTTCCCAAACTGTCTCCCTCACTAAGGCAAAAACATTGCCATATTCATTGGAAGATTACCCAAGATCCAGCCCTACAGGCAAACATTGCTTTGTTTTTTTTTTGGTCAGCCGGGTGTCTGACATATGCGGAAACACAAACTGAGCTCCGTGTATCCCACCAATATACTTTGCTGTGGGAAAACAAGTGTAGATTAAAGCACTATGCAAGAAAATCATTTAGTCACTTATCCTGAATCAGGAGACTTTGGCATTGGGTTCCAAATGTTAACCTGCCAAAGGCTAGCCAGCATATTGGGGACACTATATTTGTAAAGCTATACCAGTGCAACATGCCTATTCAAAACTAAATCATAACTGACCACAATAAAGAAATCCCATAATTTGGCTGCCGATTGCAACAATGGTACACTTCACCTGACTCAATTACTAGAGATGTCTGCTAGCTACTTGTTAACTTTGCACTTAATATTGTGTACATATTGACTGTAAAATATATAAACTGTATCTTTACAATATGACTTGTAACTAAAGAACAATTGAAATAAAAATAAGCATGCATGGATAGACAGTTATTGGGGTCTTAGTTTACATTCAGTTTTTTGGGAATTTTGAGGTAGTTTGCTTTCGTATTTTGGTATTACCAACAAATATTAGAATTGCTGTCCAAGTCAGTGACCCCTGTGAATAGAAGTTAGTGGAACTTTGCTTGTCTTCTATCCTGGTTTTATTTATTTGCAGACTGAGATTTTGATGTATAAAAAAACCCCCACCTCAAAAAAACTACCCTCAACCCATCTCAGTTCTCTTAACTGCCATCCCATCTCCAACCTCCCTTTTCTTTGCAAGGTTCTGGAATAGGTTGTTGCTTCCCAGCTTCACTCTTTCTTCTCCTGGCACTCCTGCATGAACTCCTTCAATCTGGTTTCCATGTTGCTCACAGTACAGAGACTGTCCTAGTCAAAGTCACGTATAACATTCTGTCCAACTGGGACTAGCGCTCTGCCTCCTCACCCTTCTTGATTTCTCTGCCATCTTTGACACTGTAAACCACTCTTCGTCTCTACTGCCTTTCCTCTCAGCTCCATCTTCGCAGTCTGTGCTGGCCTGGATTCACTCTTATCTTTCCCATTGTCTCCACTTTGTATCTGCTAACAGCTTCTCCTCCAGCCCTCGCACCATCGTCTGCAGCATTCCTCGGGGCTCTTTCCTTCGTCCTTTTTATTATTTACATGCTCCTGCTTGGTTATATCAACCCTTGGTTAGACCAATGAGGTTAACTTCCACGTATGGCGATGATACCCAACTCTTATCTATCTGCCTCCACCCTCGATTCCAGCTCTGCTACGTGTCATCAAGTCCTGGGTGAGATAACTTTCTCCAGTTGAATGTCAACAAGACAGAGGCCCTCCTGCTTGGTTCTTGTCAGCACCTTCTCATCTCAGGTGCTGACAGCATAACTATTCTTGAATACACTCTACACCTCACTCAGTCAGTACGGTGTCTTGTTCGACTTTCAACTGTCGTTTAAACCTCATCCATTCCTTGATCCGTTCAGCCTTCCCGCACCTTCGCAACATTGCCTGCCTCCGCCGTTACCTCTCCCCTCGAACTGCCGAGACCCTTATCCATACTTTCATCACGTCCAGGCTTGAGTATGCCAACTCTCTTCTGGCCGGACTTCGCAACTCTTCCCTCCACAACCTACAGATTATTCAGCGCTCTGCAGCTTGTGTCCTCTCCCGCACCAGGCTCCATGAGCATATCACGCCCCATCCTCGCTTGAGAGGGCGAATGGCCTGCTCCTGTTTCTTAAGTCCGCCCCACCATCGGTGGTCAGACCTTCAGTCTTTCTGCTGCCATCCTCTAGAACTCCATCCCAGAGTCCCTTCCCTTCACTCCTTTCCTTGCCTCCTCAAGGTCCATCTCAAGACCTTTCTGTTTGACTGTGCCTTTGGTCATCTTCCTATTCTCAATTTCCTTGCCCTCAACTGTTGAATCCAACCCCCAGCTCAGGTGCAAACCCTAGACTGTCTAGTAGCTTGGGACGATCTCCCAACATGAAAGGTGCTATATAAATGCAATTTGTTGCTGTTATTTATTATCGCTAAGCCATTTATCAATCCAGGCACCTAATTTTCTAGGATGGGAACATTTCTATGCAATGCGTCATTGGGACATGCAGTGCAAAAAGCTGTCTGGCAGCTCTCATGCAATGTACCCACTGTTCACACTTGTATTTTTACAATGTAATCTACCAGCACAAGCGGGTTAGGTCGTGCATTCTTGCAATGTGCAATCTCTATGCTTGCATTAATCATATTTTCATGCTTTGCACAAAATGTCAGGGTCCATTACTTATCTGCCATATATGTAAGCTTGAGTGAAGAACTGGGTACATTAAATTTCTGCTTCTTTTATTGAAGGTTGCAGCTGCTGATGAGATAAAGCTTCTGTCTTCAGCATCACATATTCCGCGAACTCCATCTATTGAATCATGGCCTTCAACTACAGACAACCAGCCCGCTTATGACCAAAGTCCAGACAGAGACATTGTATCAGAACAAGTGGAGATGTTTAATATTTCTAGTGCTGATAAAGAAGATGAGAAAATTGAAATCAGAAAAGAGCATGTTGATAGTTCTGCAAGAACAGAAGAGTGGTCTCTGGAGGAATATGAAGATGCTGCCGAGGATCTAGACCGGGGGGACGCTCCAGAAGAATTGATGCAAATTGAAGAAAAGATCTTGAGCGGTGCTCCAATGGAGGTGGAGGGGCCCGCTGCGGAGGTGGAGGGGCCCGCTGCGGAGGTGGAGGGGCCCGCTGCGGAGGTGGAGGGGCCCGCTGCGGAGGTGGAGGGGCCCGCTGCGGAGGTGGAGGGGCCCGCTGCGGAGGTGGAGGGGCCCGCTGCGGAGGTGGAGGGGCCCGCTGCGGAGGTGGAGGGGCCCGCTGCGGAGGTGGAGGGGCCCGCTGCGGAGGTGGAGGGGCCCGCTGCGGAGGTGGAGGGGCCCGCTGCGGAGGTGGAGGGGCCCGCTGCGGAGGTGGAGGGGCCCGCTGCGGAGGTGGAGGGGCCCGCTGCGGAGGTGGAGGGGCCCGCTGCGGAGGTGGAGGGGCACTCTAGAGATGAGCAACAAGTTGAGATTTTTGAGAGGATGAAAGAAAAGGAAAATCTGTCTGAAGATTGGGCCCCTGGTGATGAAGGTGAAGGTAGGTTTGACTTTTTTTTCACACAGTAATTGGGAAATTGAACCAATCATACAAAATATTTGTCCTGGCTTACACAAAAACCCTCAAGTAATGCATCTTGACAATCTCAGACAGATAGTAGCATCACTGGGTTCCTTGCAAATACTATTTGATCACATCCTTCCAGAATACCAACTTTATTATCCTCCCATTGCTGATTAAGCTGCTTATTGGATGAATCTAAAAGCCTGGACTACCCTACCTGGTTATCCTGTTCCATCCACCAATAAATACTTTGTGGTGTCTATCCAGAAATTGCCCTTCACAAACCTGATCCTATGCCCTTTTGACATGTTGACTTAGTGTGTCTAAAAATATTGTGCTGGGTTTAGTTTCTCAGCATATCTAGCTGTTCCTGATAATGAATCCCTCTAACATTATGGTTCACCCTTGTTGCTCTCCTCTGCATTGCCTCTAGGGCCTGGGCAGTCCCCGTTTGTCGTGGCTACAAGAACTATGGGTATTACTCCAGATGTGGCCTCACCAGAGCACTTCTGGCCATCTGAACTCAACTGATTTGCAAAGTAGCCCATCATTCTGGTTGTCTTATTTATTGCTGCCTCATGCTGTTTGCACATGGTGAGCAACGAGTAACCCCTAGGTCTATTTTAACTTCCCACCTGATGAGTTCTATTTCATCCACTGAGTTCATGTGCATCCTATTTACTTCCTGCCTGCATGCCTTGCATTTCATTTATATTGAACTCCATTTGCCAGTGGTCAACCTCGCTGCATAACCTGTTGAGCCCGAAACTTGATGTCAGTTTATCGACCTTGCACTGAGTCTGTTAATCCAGGTCATTTATGTGGAAAGTGAGGATCCCAATTTGGACTCTAGGCACACACCCACTCTGACCCACATCAGCAACCTTATTTCTTTCTCTTTGCCCTGTATCTAATCAACATCCATGTCTTAATCTTACCTAGTGATTATTAAATATATGGGTTTTGTTTACAGCGCCTTTCATGTTGGGAGGCCTTCACAGAGCTTCAGATATTTTAAAGTGTAGTGACTGCATATTTTGTAGGCAAACGCAGTTGCCAATTTGTGCACAATTGTGTATTTTTGACACATGCTGAAATCATTCATCATGCTTGAGAGTATCCAAACAACAGGTCATGCATGGAAATTCCTGTGTTTGGAATGGAATGCACACTCTCTCCCCAGAGGGATGCATCATGCTTACCTAATTCCAGGGTGTGTTAGGCACAAGAGCCAAAGATTGTGGACCCCCTAGTGTACATTGCGGAACTGCTGGAACTTAAAACTTCAGTCCATCATCAGCAGTGACCTAGAGTACTGCAGATCTGCCTGGCATAGGAACCAGATTATCAAGACAGCTGAGCTACAATAATATTCCCACAAAAAGAAAGAACGGCTAATTTTATTTGGGATTATTGTCCAGGACACTGGGAGAAACTTCTCTCTTTGAATAGTGCCATGGGATCTTTATTGTCCACTTTAACAAGCAGATGGATCCTTGATTTAACATCTCTTTTCCAAAGGAAAACAATTCCTACAGTGCAGCTATCCCTAAGCAGTGCATTGGAGGATTAGCCTAGACTATGAATTCAAAGTGCTGACATGGGGTTGAAACCACAACCTCCTAACCCAGAATGTTGTCAACTGAGCCAGCCTGATGCACAATTGTAAAGGGGTCTCATGTGGTATCAAAGGAGTTTTCAAAGTTTAGATGTACTCTCGGATACGCTCTCCATTAGTCCAATATCAAATTGGGATGGCACCCTTTTTTAAAAAAAAATCAAGCCTGAGGTTAGGCAGACATATTTTACACCTTATGAAGCCATGTTCACTATCATTTTATGGAGGTTCTTTCATTTGCCTTCTGAATCCTATTTTTATTTCTCACGAGGTTTTAATTTTCATCTTTGGTAACACTGGTAACCAATTTTTGTGTTTTCCTTTCACAGCAATGGACACTGTTGACAATCTGTACACTTCAGAAGAATTAATCCTACCTACAGAAGAGAAGAGCTTCAGCTGTAGTCCTACTCAATTGGAAGAGCAGGATAGAGTTGAAGTTGAGGACTTCAAGATTACGGATATTATTACCTCAGCATTGACTAGTTCAACTTCTTTTCACGAAACTGTGCTATCAAGCCATAACTTTGCTTATACCAATGAAAGGTAAGTCAACTTTGTTTAACCCCCATTTATTATCAACGTTTTCATCTGCTCCACTAGGAATTGTAATATGTTGGGAGTCAGCGGCAGGTGTTTTCCGTAGACTTGTGTGGATACTATAGCATGTGGATAAATGCATTTCAATTCTTGTCCATAGCTGGCTTGGTACATGATGTTTGTGTGGAGGCTCTCCTTGCTCTTTGCCCCTGAGTTATGTTGCAGCCATCTATATAATCCTGGATCTGTTATCATGTCTGGCCTGAAATAAGGATAACAAATTGCAACTCACGTGGGGATGTGTCTCGGTGGTCTTGGTCACACTCTCTGGCCCTTGGTTTGATGCTTTCATAACCCTAGAATCTGATATGTAAGTCTTGCATTATGCTGTGCCACATTGTTTGTGGTTCAGTATTTGGCACCCATTTAAAAAGGATTCAATTTTTTTCATATAGATAGATCTTCTTTGTAGTTCCAAAATGCTTAATTGTGTCTGCAACCTGTTTCTTTTGGCTTTTCAGATGACTTTCACCAATAAATGTAGTCCCGAATCTCTTGCTGTGTGGTTTTGGATTTTTTTTCTTTTACAGTGATTTGGGCTACTACCATAACTTGGTACTGCTTTGTTCCTCGAGTCCAATGTCTGATTTTTCCTTTGTAGTTTCCCTTACTTGTATTTCAGATGTAGGTTCTATTTCGGGAGTCTTAGCTTCATCGATATGATATCAGCCTGGGCTGCCATGTCAAGTTTGTATTGAGATACTGTTTCCTATCAGTCAGCCCTAGGAGTTCATAGAATTTTCATAGAATCATAGAGTTATGCAGCCAGAAGGAGGCCATTTGGCCCATCGTGTCTGCACTGGCTCTTTGAAAAGAGCTATCCAGATCAATTCTATTCAGTCCAACCCGCCATGGTTTTATCTGTCTTATCTATAGCCCGAGTGCACTTGCCTGGAGATGCATGCTATACTAAGTCCACTGCTTCAATGTTGTCTCCTTGCAGACTGGCTGAGGCGACATCCTGTTCACAGAGTGCACCGTGTGTCTGCTCTGGACCATCCAATTTGCCTCGTCCATCCTGGTTGTGTCCTGTACTCTGTTGTAATTAGATTTTTTTCTGCCTTGGTTTCCTCTGTTTATTGGTCTGCATACTCTTGTAAAATGGTTGCAACCACGGAATGTGTAACTTCAGCTTGGCACAATCTTCCACTGTGCGTAAAAGCTACGGTTTCTGAATTTGCTTGCTGGGTTTCTGTGTGTGCTCCGGGAGTACTTGATCTGCCCTGCAAGCCAATATCTTCTCTGAATCTTATTTCCGCTGTTTCCTCAAATGGTACATCAAGTTGCTGGAAATTGTATTTCAGTAGTCCCTCTGCTTGTGTTAGCACTCATTTCAATAGTCCCTCTGCTTGTGTTTCCTCTCTCAGCAGTTTACTAAATTTAGAGGACTAATCTATCTCTGATCAACTGATCTTGGAACGCTCTATATTCACATGTTTTAGTAAACTTCAGTAAAATGTTGTGTTTGGTGGACATTTCCTTGGTTCCCTTACCTTCTTGGCCCTGTTGAAATTTCGATTATGATATTGGTTCTACCACTAGTGTTCTAGCTATGCCATCACGGTTGCTGTTGTAGTGGTCTTCTGCAGTGCAGTTGTTTCAGCATAAAGCTGAAATGCCCTTGTAAGTGTCCTCCCAGTTTTCGTGGTAGTTTCCACAGCATCTGAGTGGACCTGGATAGTCTAGGTTAGACTACTGCATCAATACTCATTTGTACTCTATTGTTTTCAGTACATGTAGCAACTGGAGAAGTTGATCTGCTAACTCTGTGGTAATATGGTATAAATTGCCTACTCATTTTGTACTCGAGTTCTACTCACAGTTTGTAGTCTTTCTTTTTCTTGCAGTTCAAAACTTCAGGTAATATGTTGCATTCAGAGGCAGATGTTTTGAGTAGGTTCTCTATATTGAGCTGGAGGTCAAGGAATATGCATCCATCAGTATCCACATCAGTTCTCCCTGTCTCTCTGCTCGGGGGACTTTTAAACTGTGTCCCAGAACCTTTTTGATGACTTTATTTTTGCCTGCTTGTAACTAAGTATAAGAGAAGTTATTGACTTGTTATGGTGTCATCTAACTTAAGTGCTCCGCATGAAGGGCATTATATAAATTGTTGTTTTTGTTTCCACTTGATTTGTTTTGAAAATATTTGTGCTATGCAAATCCATGCATAATTTTCTGTATTTTAACTGCTGTTTAAACAATTCTCTCCAATTTTCTTTCACTTCAGTATTTATTAGCTTGTTACTATTTTGTGTCTGGGTTTGCCTAAGACCTCAGTGTGCAGTTGCTGACAGACCCATAATCAGCGAGATAAAAGTTTCTAGCTGTCAGAATCGAACATGAAACTTTAGCCAGTCTTTCCAGTAGACATAATTATATAACTGGTCTGATTTAACCCTGAATGGGATTAAAGTTGGTGAGAGTTTGAGGGGTAACTGTTGTGGGAAATGTAAATATTGCACTGATACTAGGGGATATTTTGAATCTGGAGCGAAAAATAGTAGTAAATAGTAAATAAACAGGGAAAAATAACAGAAGCAATCCTATAGTGCTTGATATCTATTCTGGGTACTTGGGGGGGGGGGGGGGACGAGAGGAGAGGAAGAGCAATGTCCATTTCTCAGCTGCTGGTTATTTTTATTGTTTGGTTATGAAATAAAGTAGAAATAAGATAAACTGATAACTCGTCACTCCAAGGGAAACTGGCTAAGTGATGAGTTATCTGGAATGGCAAGTTAGACCCTGTGACCAGGGCTCCCTCTGCCTCCTCGTCCTCCTCGACCTATCGGCAGCATTCGATACGGTCGACCACGCTATCCTACTCCACCGCTTGTCCTCCCACCTCAACCTTCAAGGCACTGTCCTTGAATGGTTTAGGTCGTACCTCTCCCACCGTCTTCACTTTGTCTCGACAAATGGCTTCTCCTCCACCCCTCGTACTGTCTCATGTGGTGTCCCTCAGGGCTCTGTCCTCGGTCCCCTCCTCTTCACCCTCTATATGCTCCCCCTCGGTGACATCATCCGCAGACGTGGGGTTAACTTCCACATGTATGCGGATGACACCCAACTCTACCTTTCCTCCTCTACTCTCAACTCCACGACCACCGATGTCCTGACAGCTGCCTGTCCGACATCGAGTCCTGGACGAGAGACAACTTTCTTCAGCTCAACGTGCGAAAAACCGAGGCCCTCCTGATTGGCTCACGTCAGCGCCTCCGCACCTCAGGCGCTGACACCATCAGCATCCAAGGCTGCACTCTCCACCTCTCAAAGCCAGTCAGGAACCTCGGGGTTTTGTTCGACCCTGAGCTGTCCTTTCTCCCTCACATCCGCACCACAACTGGCACCGCCTTCCATCACCTCCGGAACATCGCCAGATTACGGCACTACCTCACCCCTCACGCTGCTGAAACCCTGGTCCACGCCTTTGTCACCTCAAGGCTGGACTATGGGAACTCTCTCCTCGCCGGCCTTCCCGGCACCTCCCTCCACAAGCTGCAGGTCATTCAGAACTCTGCAGCTCGTGTACTGTCCCGCACCAGGCTTCGGGACCACATCACTCCCACCCTCGCTCGCCTCCACTGGCTCCCCATCCCCCAGAGGATTGATTTCAAGATCCTCATCCTCACCTACAAGGCCATTCACGGCCTTGCTCCCTCCTACCTCTCCAACCTACTATCCCCCTACCTACCTGCCCGTACCCTCCGTTCCTCCGGCTCCGGTCTGCTCCACGTCCCCCGCCCCAACCGCCCTACCATCGGTGGCCGGGCCTTCAGCCTCTCAGCCCCGAGGCTCTGGAACTCTATCCCCCAGTGCCTTCGCCGCTTCCTCCCTTTCCTCCTTCAAGGCCGGTCTCAAAACCTTTCTCTTTGACCGTGCCTTCAGCTTCCCTCTCGACTCTCTTCTCCCTCCCTTCCCTCCCCTCACCCTGACCATTTCCCCCCTGCTCGGGTCCTGACCCAACTGTGCAGCGCCTTGGGACGTCCTCCTGACGTGAAAGGCGCTTTATAAATGGAATCTTGTTGTTGTTGTTGTAGACATGGTTAAATACATAAATAAATGTGGCTGGGATATTGACAACATGATGATGATAATCCTTGCACTTGTTATAGCGCCTTATCGCGTCTTCGAGACGTTTCAAAGAGCTTCATAGAATATACTGTAAAGCGAATTGACTGCATTTTTTGTGGGCGAAACGCGGCAGCCAATTGCGCACAGCAGTGACCCACAAACAGTTATGGATTGAGTGACCACATTTTTTTTGAAGGGATTATTATGCGGGAAAGCGAGGCATGTGGAATAAGGAGACTTGCTCAATGATGTTTTTGATGATTTAAGTGGTAGTGACACGTTGAGTTATCAGGAGTTTACTGTATATTTTTCAGATGATTATAATGTGTCGATTTGTGGGAAAATCCAATAAACCAAAGAAGGATAACATTCAGTTGTGCTCGGACTTTACACCAATGATTTAATAATAATTTTTCTTGTTTTGTTTGTCCTCGTTTCAATTTTTAGTGAGGATGTATTTCTAGGAATGGCTCAACAACCGCTGCCCATAACACCACAGGAGAGTGAAGGAATGTTGGAGAGTGAGGGCATTTTGAAACCAGCCACAGCGGACATTGAGCGTATGTATTCCTTCTACTATTTCTGTATAAAATTATCCTCTGGTTTAGTAATACAGCTTACTAAAGCAGGTAAGCTTTTTTTGTAATCTTTTTCAATGCAGCATCTACAGTCTCCAGTTTTATTTGTCAAGAAGTTGACGAAAGCAGGAACTGGAGTGAATTTTTCTGTGAGGTTCAAGTCAGCGAGGTACATTCTAAGCGGAAATGTGCAATGTAAACCTGGCTCTCCAATAAACAAAACCTGTCAGATTCACCGCTTTTAAGCCTATTTGTACAATACTAGGATAACATGTTTTAAAAATAGATTATCCCTGTTGCAACCACGAATTGGTTTGGGAGATCATGGCATTTGGAAGTTTAATGGTTGGGTTATGGACTTCTTCATCAATCCTTATTCTTTTCTAATTTCCTTGTTTCATCTACTTTTAAAAATAAGCAGAAAGGGATTAAGCATGCTTGGTTATTTCACTGTAAAGTTGTTCGTTCATTAAAAGTCGCCTCAAAAAAAAAAGCCTGGATTTTGCTATTTCGCTGTCAGTCATTTTTGCTTTTTTCTAAGGACCAAGTGGGGAAAGCATTCTCATCCCAGGAGCTCCAAGGAAGAGTGATGCCCTAGATCACCTTTTAAAGAGCATTGGACCCACATTGTCTTATATCTGAATTCTATATGTTGTTGATAGCATAGTTCAGTGCTTTGATGCATGATTTGAGAAAAACGCAAATAACAAAGTTACATTTGTATAGTGCCTTTCACATTGGGAGGACATCCCAAGGGGTTGTAGTTTACATGGCAAGACTCTCAAAAGTGAAAATAACGAGGTGTTTACCATCTTATTCAAAATGCGTCTCCTTGTTTAAAGTTGGAAGGGCTTGTTGCAAGATGTGTAAAGTCTGCTGGAATATGACTGGAAATGGAACAGTGATGAACGAATTGAAGAATCTTTTTCATTGGGTATAATAAAGGGACTTGGATTTCCCTCTGCACATGCAGTGTGCCCATGTTTAGCACAAACCACAAATAAGATCACTTCAGTGAATTGAAGTTCAGTTTGCTAAAGTCATTAAATGGGGAAAAAAAAGGAGACCTTAGGATTCAACTGGACAGAAAAGCAGTGGGGAATTTCAGAAAACAAAATATGTGCACACAAGTTTGGATTTTTTTTGTGTGTGTATACACTTAAGCATATTTCCACATGTATCGGATACCAAGCTGACTAAAAGGTTAACATTTGAATCAAGGCTAATGTCCTGTAAAGCCAATTAAAATTCTCATGTTTGTGCATTTTTAGCTCACAGAAGAATTCTGAAACACTGGGTATCAATTAAGTATTCTTACTGTAATACAAATCTATAGAAATGTCTAATTCTATTTGCCCCATTGTTCCCACTCATCCTTCTCCCTTTTTTCTTATTCTATTCCTTGTGTGTAGTTGTCTTGCTCTCCTTGTTGCTCCCTTTTGTATATGAGGATGAACTTTGTAAAGCTGAATTTTCATTAGCAAATTTCATAAGTCTGTTTCTCAGCCTAGACATGGAAAATTGATCTGATCTCATCTTGCATGTTTTTATGCATTACAGTGAGGCCCAGCATAGCAGGTGGAATGTACTTTGCAGGTTATTGGTTCGTAGCCCAAGCTTAATAGACTATAGAGGCATCTTTGCTTAGACTTATTTCTTTGTACTTCTCAATTGAGGTTTGTCAAAAAGTCTTGCAACCTTTTTTTCATTTCAGCTGTGGTGATTGTAGATGACTTTGAGGATATGCCCAGCACACAGCCAAAAGATGAAGAAAATGAGTCGATGCTGTCCAAAGATGATGATAGTGATGTTGAAATAATGGAGGACAATGCTGTGTGTTCACCGAATGAGCCACTTGCTACTTTGCTTCCTGTAAACACTCAGCAGTTGCAGGTAAACCGAGCAGGTCTTATTAGAATGTAAATTGCATTTTTGTACTTGCATTTTATTTCTTGTACAAACCTCTGCATTCAGTCAGCCTCCCCTACAGATGAAATATCAGCAAAATACCATAATGCCATCAAGAGGAGCATCTTGCAATAGCCATGAGAAGAGTGTTTCTTCAATTGTCGGAGCAGTTTCTGCAACCCATTGCTTACTGTTCATAACAAATTCTTTTCGGTGGCGAACATTTGATGTTATGAATGGGAACGTGTGATGACAGTTTCCCCCTCTTCCCCTTAGTGCCTAGTTAAGAAAACATCTTCATAATCTGACCAATTTATACTTTAATATAATTTGTATCTGAAGTTTAAATGAATGAAGTATGTTAAGTTTCTTGTCTTTTTGTCACAAAATGAAGTTCCCTTGCGTTACAAAAGACTACCAAGATGTAAACCTGTGGTCTGAGTTTCTCATTTTGTTCAAGTTACTGTGAGAAATACCCCTTGCCCCCCCACCCATTATTGACGTCCATTTCTCCAAATGGGGGAAAGAAAATTCCTGTACCTTTTTGAGTATGAAAATAACTTGGTGGACTTGTTTGTGTGTATGTGACTCACAATTGGTGCTATCTGATTGCAGGATGTTGAGGATGGATTTGAAACAGAATCACCAAAGGAGGAGCTTTGTGTTGTAGAGCTGAGCCAGCCTGACCCAGTTGAATTTGCTGGGGAGTGTGCTTTTGAATTTGAAGAACAGCATTCTAATGGAGTAGAAGCTGTGCAAGAGCCTGAAGGTTACGACGTTGATCTCATTGGAGAACATCACGTTGAGGAAAACTTCACTTTAATCTTAGATGGTGCGGATGAGGCTGAGCCTGTGTTAACTTTAGATGCAAATCACCAGCCAGCTTTCTCAGAGAATGAAAATGTTATTTTGTCTCAATCTTCTGAAACTAAAACTGGAAATCCTGACAGAGAGAATTCAGAGGTTAGCAGTGCTGAAGCTGAAACTGAAGAGGAGCCACCAATAAAGAGTATTTCTCTGGTACTTGGTGACCAAGGTCCATTGGAGGACCAGCATAATCTATCTGAGGCATTGCCTTACTTACCAACACCAATCAAAGAAGCTACAACGGAAAACTTGATTGATGTCCTCGAAGATACTAAACAAGTTGGTGAATCGGAAATGGAAGAACTGTCAGAACTGATCTCTCTGCCTGATCAGGCAGACACCCCGATGACAGGCAGAATACTGCGGAGTGGTTCGTTTAAGAGTAAGCCAGTAAAGAAATCACAGACTGATGAAGCTAGAGAGGTGTTCAGTGAGGACTTAAAACCTAACCAAATAGAGGCTGTAGCTACACCCACAAGTGTAAGAGGACAAAGTATCAAAGTTACTGAAGTCAAAGGTCAGGATGATGAGCAGAATGTACTTATGGAAATGCAGGATGATAAACTGGAAAAGACAGCAGTTATGACCCCTAGGAGAAGTACAAGGAAAACAGCGGCTGCTGCTGGCGAGATTTTGGGAACTACTTTGTTTCCGAAGGATGCAGTGGCAGATCAGAACATTGCAGTCATCCTTCCTACTTCAAAGATGACAAGGAGAACTATTGCAAGCAGAAAAGATATCCAGGAAAGAACTTTTGCTGTTGGGGAATTGGCACTCGAACAACAAGGGGAAGCTGTTTCAACTGTGAGATCCACAAGGAGAACTATGGCTGGTAGAGCAGATGCCTTGCTTGGTCCTGAGGAAGTGGACATTGGACAGCAAACTGAAGCTATTTTTACTTCTACTAGAAAGAAAAATAGGAAATCTACAATTGAGACACCATGCAAATTGCCTTCAACATTAGAAATGAGTCAACAGGACTCTGCATTGTCTACTCCTAGCAGACGGACAAGAAGTAGAGCCCATCTGGTGACTGTAAAAGATATTTCTGAAGTGACTCCAAATGTAGAGAGAAACTCTAGGACAAGTAGAAGGCGAGGAGCCAGTGCTGTGGAAAGCACAGAACCACCAATCCCTGTTGATAATGTGGACGATCAACCAGAGGAACAACTTACAGTGACTTTTACTCACATGCCCACGAGGAGGAGACCTGGTGAAACCCCTGTATCACAGGCAATCGGTTTAACAGAAAAGAATTATGGTTTCTCATCACCTCACACAAGATCGACTAGAAAGTTGAAAGGTATACTTTTTTGTGTAGCCAATTGCTTCCCTTAATCCACTTTTAACTTTTCATTGTGGACCCTAAATTAGTGTCCAATTTTAAGTGTTTTAATCCACCAGTGATTGCCTGAAAGTTGGTAAATGAAACATGCTGCCAAGAATGAAATTAAGCTTCTCTCCATTCAGGGCTTTACCAGTGTAAAACGAGCCTAGGTTCTTAGGATGCATAGCTCCTTAGGGCCCTTGATGAACGTTCACTTGTAGATGACAGGTGAGCCCGTTAATATATCCTCGAATTGAATAGTCTGCTGCCCATCACTAGATTTTGCATGTGAAAATAATCTCTTGGTTATGGTACCAGAGCTCGTAATCATAACTGAGCCTGTGTTACCTGCCATGAATTGCTGCCTACATGGAAGAAAGAAAAATTTTAACAAGATGCTGTAGACCCAGCCAGGATTTGGCAGATGAGTTAAACCTTTTTCTTTTCAGATAACTGAATGAAGAAGACCATTAGAGGCTAATTATTGCTATTCGAAATGAGTACCCCATTAACACTTGGTCCTATAAATAAATATGATTGAAGTAAACAAATGAAGCTGTATTACGCCTGATGGCCCACTGATACTGCACAAGTTTGCTTTATATTAAATGTAAAAAAAAATCACTTCCCACTTGAACCACAAGGTTTCAGAACAGCTAATAGCCATTCCGTAGGAATTGAAAGAAATTCTGATTGTCACTCTCTTCTTCCTCACAACTGAACTCTATTATAAAACTGAGGTTTCCCAGAAATAGATGTCATGGAAACCATTAAACATTACTATGATTCTGTTTAAAGACATCCAAATAGTATCTGGGAAGCTTTTCAGTCTCCAAGAATGATAAGTTTACATTCCCCACCATTTCAGTTGTATCCAGAATTGTTCACCTGGTCCATGTGGAGGAAATTGGAAACTCTCTATTGGCTTAGGAAAGCCTGATATCTGATTTCAGGGTCAGCTGTCTAAAATACAGAATAGTGAGTTCTACCATATTTTAACATATCAGCCCTCGAAAGCCTTCATTCTTCCCCACACACCACCACCACATACACAATTGTATTGTTAACGATATTCTAATCATACTGTGCTACTTCAAGCTCCAAGTATCTTCCCCACATTTAGGAAAGCACTCCGGGATGCTACCCCGCGTGAAGTGTGCAATATAAATGCAAATTGTTGTTAGTAAAGTATTTGCAGCTAAATAGGCAAATTTAGTTTAGGGGAATTATCACAGTTGAGATTCCTACAGTAGCAAAAGTTTCAATAATCCTATCATTAAGCAGAGTATCAGCCTGGCTCAGTTGGCTCGCCGGTCTCCCATCCACTACCATCCATAAAATCCAAATCATTCAAAACTCTGCCACCCACAAACACAAAAGCACAAAACAAACACAATTCCATATTATTCATCCTTCCTCATTCATCGCTATATCCTCTGCTGTTGTCAAAGGAATACCTTTTTTAAGGAATTAATTTACTTGCCTGCCTCTGATTGTCTTCTCCATATCCCCTTCTGTGCACTGTGCGTGTATGTGTTTGGGAGGAGGAGGGAGAAAGGATATCTAATCATGTTTGAAGTTTTTAATTTCCATTGCAAACTCTAGTTCTGTTCTAATAGACTTGTCCAAGCCTGCTTACATTTCCATCATCAGATGTCAGCCTGGTTCAATTAGTAGCACTCGAGGCCCTTGTTGGGATTTTGGGCTCATAGTCCAAGCTGGTACTTAAGTGCAGTACTGGAAGAGTATATATTTGAATATAGCTCAAACTCCTTGTCAAAATTGCACCTAATTTGGAATGTTACGTAGGCAAAACGTGACCGATCCAAAGCAGCAACTTCTCACAACAGTGAGTGAAATTAAAATTGAGGAATTAAGTTTAAGCGGCTCAGTGCTAAACGCAATGATATAATCTAACTGGGTTCAGTGTTTCTCAATCTTTCTATTAACAGGGACTGGCTCAGTTTTGTAAAACATGTAAGACGGTTAGTGAATGAGCCTGTTCGATCAGTCAATCTGAAGGCATTTCTGCTATGGACTGGCCGTGAAGTTTTCCTGTACTGGTGCCGAACCTCAGACTGGTTGTTAAAAATATACTCCTCCAGTTGATTCTCATTGAATATCCAGTTGCAAACTTTTTTTTTCCCAAGCAACATTAATTGTACCAATGATCTCTCTAACAGATTCTCCTTTTTGTTTAGCTGAGAAAACTCCATTGAGTGAGACTCCTGAACAACAACCACCAGAGTTTGTATTCGCAACTCCTTTAACTAGGTCCAGTCGAAGAATTGGTAAAACAACTTTGAAGAGTGTGCAAGAACAGGTAAGAGAACTGCAACATTTTTAGGATCTGCTACGATTTAAAATTTTGAATGAATGTATTAAACTTGTTAAAATCTGTATTAACTATCTATCACTGTATTAAATGACACAGTAAAAGGAAAAGAAAAACTGAATCCAACTCAATGGACTGAATGAAGTCTGACAAACACAAATATCAGTTTGAGACTGCAATTCATACTTGAAACCTTGAGTTGAGAATCCAAATCCATAGATGACCTAGACCACTTTTAATTGAAGCCAAAGGTCTTTGCTTCTAAAACAAAAAACAGAAGTTGCTGGGAACACACAGCAGGTCAGGCAGCATCTATGGAGAAAGGAAAGTGAGTCAACGTTTCAGGTCCACGACCCTTCATCAGAACTGGGGCATGTTGAGAGGGAGAGATTTTTAAGGGCTAACAGAGAGGGGGGAGGCAGGGCAAGGAAAACAAAGGAGAAAATGGTATAGAGGACAGGGGACGATGGGTTAAAGAGGTGGTGTTAATGATGCAAAACGGGGGGGCAGGGGGATTTGCAACAAAACAGGAATGGAGGTGTTAATAATGCAAAACAAGGGGGTGGGGGGAAATTGCAACAAAATAGGTAGACCAGAGAGAGAAAACAACAAGATTACATTTGTATAGCGCCTCTCACATCGGGAGGACATCCCAAGGCCTCCCGACGTAAAAGAAAAGGTGCGTCTGGGACCCATAGATGCTGCCTGACCTGCTGAGTGTTCCCAGCGATTTCTATTTTTGTTTCAGATTTCCAGCATTTGCAGTATTTTGTATTTTGTCTGCTTCTATCATGCTTTCAGCCATTTTGCCCTTGCTCTGGGACTCTATCCCAGAGTCCCACTGACCTATCTCTTCCCTCCCCACTTTCAAAGCCTAACTAAAACCTGCCTCTTTGACCTTGCTTTTGATTAATCTTCAGCTATCACCCCCCACCCGAGGCTCGAGTGGCCAGTCAGCTGTGAAAAGCTCTTTGAGACATCCTCATGATGCAAGTGGTGCAATATAATGTAACTTATATCTCCGAAAAGAACAAAGTGGTTCTTGACGTTGGTTACTGTACCTTTCAACCTCTAAATCGTCATTCTACTCCAAGACAATCTTGGAGGCTAAGGACAACCCCAGGCTCCTCTTCTCCATCACGAACCGGCTCCTCTGCCCATTCTTTCACGCCTCACCCATCCTCACCTCAAATACCAACTGCAAGGCAAAGCTGGAATTCCTCGAATCCAAAGTCAAGGGAATCTGCTCAGCTGCGTCTGCCATTCCATCTGCTACCCCCTCCCCATCTCCCCCTTTCACCCCAGCTCCTACCCATCCCTCCCTCCACATCTTCGAACCCATCTCCCACTCCTCTCTCATCACCACTATAACCCGCATGAAACCGACCACCTGCTCCATCGATCCCAATCCTATCCCTCTCCTTACCTCCCAACTCCATCTCCTTGCCCCTGTACTCACTGACATCGTAAACCTCTCCCTGTCCACTGGTACTGTTCCCACCCCATTAAAAAAACTGTAATCACTCCTATACTTTAAAAATAAACCTTCCTTGGGCCCTTCTCTACTCCCAAGCTACCACCGCATCTCCAACCTCCATTTTCTCTCCAAGGTCCTGGAACGAGTTGTTGCTTCTTAGCTTCACACCTTCCTCTCCCACCACTCCCTTCTCGAACCCCTCCAATTGGGTTTCCGTGCTGCCCACAGCACAGAAACAATCCTGGTCAAAATGACAAATGACATTCTGTCCATCTGCGACCAGGGCTCCCTCTGCCTCCTCGTCCTCCTTGACCTCTCTGCTGCCTTCAACACCATTGACCACTCTATCCTGATCCACCGCCTCGCCTCTCGCCTTTATCTGTGCCATGACCCGCTCTGCCTTCCCTCACCTCCGCAACATTGCACGCCTCCGCCACTGTCTCACACTGCAGCACACCGAGACCCTCATACATTGAGGCTCGACTATGCAAAATCCTCCCTCCACAGGCTGCAGATCATCCAGAACTCTGCAGCCCGTGTCCTCTCCTGCACTAGGTTCTGCGGCCCTATCACCCCCATCCTCGCCCAACTCCACTGGCTTCTCATCACAAAGAGGATACAGTTCAAGATCCTGGTTCTCACCTTCAAAGCCCTCCATGGTCTTGCTCCCCCTACCTCTGCGGCCTCCTAACCCTCTACCATCCTGTTCGCTGCCTCTGTTCAGCAGGCTCCGGCTTGTTTCACGTCCCGCCTCGCTCACCACACTATTGGCGGGCGGGCCTTCTGCCACTCTGCCCCCACCCTCTGGATTTCCATCCCACAGTCCCTCTGTCTCGCCCCCACCCTTGCTTCCTTCAAGACTCATCTCAAGACCCTCCTCTTCAACCATGCTTTCGATCTTCCTCCTTCACCCCCATCCCCCCCTCCTCCCCCTGACCCCCAGCTTGGGTCTGAAACTCGTTTGTCCTTTGCCTTCGGACGTCTTTCTGACATGAAAGGCGCTGTACAAATGTAATTTTGTTGTTTGTTGTTGTTTTCAATCGTGATGATGCACGCAGTGATTGCTATCTATGTCTGGGTAGATTAGGTAGTTGTCTTTGTGGAAACAATTGAGTGCATTTCTACTTTGTTCAGGACTTGCGTGACATGGAGGAAAATGTGCCCAAAGTAACTGACGTTCAACAATTAGAAGATATAAAGAATAAAAAGCCTGAGTCGAAGCCAGGGGCCAGAGGTAAAACAACCAGGTTACGAGTGAAGAAGAGCTCCAGGTATGGTTAAAAGTAACAAAGGCAGCCAAGTAAGATGTCGATTGTAACTCACAATTTTCCATGCAGTAGGTTCTCTATCTTAGCCATAGGGAAGAATTGGAGGTCAGATCATCTAAATAGATGCAGAGATTTGCACAAATCTCAGCATCCATTTAGATTGCTATGATCAACTTTAATCTTGACTGGAGAATGCCCAGAAGCCAGAAGGGATGAAAAATTCGGAGTCCTGTAGCTCAGTGGTTAGAGCACTCGCTTTGCAAGCGAGAGACCTGAGTTCAATTCCAGGCAGGACGAAACCTTGGGCAAGTTTCCTTACTCCACACAGAGCCTAATAATAATCCCTCCAAAAAACCCCAAACAATAATAAATTGGTCATTTTCAATCTACGACTGTTTGTGGGACATTGCTGTGCGCAATTGGCTACCGCGTTCGCCCACAAATATACAGTCAATTCACTTTACAGTATATTCTGTGAAGCGCTTTGGAACGTCCTCCCGACGTGAAAAGCGCTATATCAAATGCAAGGATTATTATTATTATTATCAAAACAAGTAATATTTTATTCCACCTTCAATACAGAACAGCCCTGATTACATTATAGCAGGAATGATTTGTATTGGAAGTGGACTCAACTGGAGGTTTAGCTGGTTGTTTTATGTCTTTAATAGTGGGTCTGAGTGGCAGGTTAGGTAAATAGCCCATGCGGGAAATTTGCAGGTTGGCCACTAGGTCAAAAGCCTTGTTGCAGAGGAAATAACGGGTGGCTTTATACTAATAAAACAACAATGTGTGTATATATCAGCCAAGATCTTGATAACCGATTGATGTAGAGACATGATTTATACCTCATCGAAAAGGTCTTGCAAGCGCGAGTGTCATGGGAATATTTTTCTCCGGTATCTCCTATCGTTAATGAGCTATATTTAAGAAATGACTAATTAACCCCCAAAATATGAGGTGTGCATGCGACAAAGTAGCAACAGAGGAAATCACATCTTTCTAGAGAGATACATCTGTACTAATATATTCTGTAACAAAGTAGTGACAGAGAAAACCATGGCCATTTTGGGGGATCTATCATTAAAGTATAATAATATAAAGTGTCATAATATAAAGTAATAATACAGTATAAAGTATAATATAATATAAAGTATAATAGTATGATACTGAAATCTACATTCCATATTGGATTCTTTGGTTGCAAGCATAGCTGCTATGGGTACAGCTAGTTATGTTATAACCAGCTAACAGCTGGATACCAGATTTTTGGTTAATTGTACTATTAAGAGCACTTGTATGTGCAAACAGTTAACTCAATGTGCAAATTAACTTATGCTGAGGTGCCATTTAAACAAGTGTTTGATTTGGACTCACTCGTGGTCATTTCTCCGTGTTTGCCAATCTTGCCTTCAGTGGATGTCCAGGGGCACTTTCCAGCACTCCGTATGAGTTGGTTGCCACAACCATGGCTACATTTCTTTATCCTTCCCAGGCAATGAGGAGAATTAGAGAATTATTGTTGCTTTCACTGTGATCAACTCAGTGCAGATTATCAATGGTAGCAATCAAACATGTAGGGTTGAAATTTTATTGAAAGCATTTATTAACATTGCAAGAATCTACTCTCCAGCAGTTTTTACCCATGTCTACGACTGAAAGCATATACACTACGTAAATGTGTAACCTGACATAAGATTTTCTTCTCTTTTTATAGAACTGCAGGAAATACGGTTTCATGGTCACCTCCACCAGTGGAAATCAAATTCCTTTCTCCTTTAGTAAGTCCTGTGGATGCACCAGTCAATAAAAGAGAAGCGTCAGAAGACGACTCTGGATCTATTAAACACAGGATGACACTTCGACATAAGAGGACAAAAGTGATCTCAGCATTTCGGAAACCAGTCACACGCAGAAAAATAATTCAACGCAAATAATGAGAGCTTTACTGTTTTATCAATTTAATACTTGGATACAGTTTTTATATATAAGAGTTTACAGTATACTGAACTGAGTGAATTTCTGATGTTCATCTAATTTTAGGAAAATAATTTATATAAATTATTTTAACATTTCATGAACAAAAGGTCTAAGGGGAACTGTAACTCCATATGGAGTATTGTAACTGCTTTATTGTTTAGGGAAATGTTTCATTTTGATTTTGTAATGGATCTTCATATTAACGTATATAAAGATGATTAAATGTAAATATTTTTAACATTTTAGGGAAGTTATAAATAAAACGTACATTTGGCAGTTTTTTTTTGCCTTTTGAGATGGAATTTGCTGCCTATGGGGTAAATGGTGCAGTGAATGCAGTTGTATATCTCTGAAATTTGATTTTAGGGCTAATGTGGAGACATGATAAGATGGCCAATTACCTGAGGCCCAATTTTCATTGGTATTTAGCTATCTTAAGTTGTCATACCTTATTTTGTTTTACTGAGATGCACCAATTTAAAGGAAAACTAAAGGCTGGTGTTAATGTAAAATACCTGTTAAAAATGCAATGGCAGAATTTTCTGCCTATTAGATACCCTCAAGTCTATTTTTTCTCCAATTGCTACTGCAATTTCAGGTCTTTGTACACATTTTTCCAGTGGTATGTGAAGTTAGCCCTATATGCCCTTATTAATTCAATTTTGTTGGCTTCAGAACGAGCCAGAGATGTAAAGCAGAAAAGGCAGTACCTATTCGATATTGCTGTCTGCCAGAACTGAACCTTTCTGGCCTGGAGGTTGATTCTGATATTCTGATTTACATGAGAACAAGAAATGGAGGTATTGCAGCTTGCACATTGGGCAACCCTGCTTTGCATGTCGCTGAGATGTAAGCAAAGACCCAAAATGGCAGATTTACATGGAAGAAGAAATAGGCATAATCTTTGGATATATAAAGCGTCAGCTTGGCTCAACTGGTAACTGACCTAGAGTACAATCTACGTCTGGAGTGTTGTATTGGGGGGCATTGTATTGTCTTTGCATTGGAGATCTTAAACTAGGTAGGCCATACCTGCTTATTCATGTGGATGTTAAGTATCCCATGACCCTAGTTGAAAAGAGTTTCTTCCGACATCCTTGCCAGAAATCCTCCAGATAAATTGATTGTTCACTTTGCAGCTGCTTTTGCGACTGGCTGTGCTAAACTGGATGCCTCGTGTCCTTTACAATTAATCACTACACTAAGCAATTACTTATGAAGCACTCTGAGACATTTCGAAGTAATAGATGCTATATGAAAGATGCAAGGAATATTGTAATTAAAGTATAGTATTTCTTGTCTTCCTTTAAGTTGGCCTTTTCTTCTCCTTTAAGTCAGCCAAGTACTGAAATGTAGTCCTGGTATCTCAATGAACTTTGTACGATGCTAGTTTTTACTATGTGATGCTGTATCACGTTATTTACTTTTGTCACAATATTTGTATCATGTTTTCGGTTTTCATCACGACGTGCTTGGCGTGCTGCTACAAATCACACCCAACAAACCAACAGCTCAGTAAATATCGGTAAGTCAGGCAAATTTTAAAATAAAAAAGCTGAATTTGTGCAATTCGTGAATTCCATTTATTGTCTCTCTTTGCTTACAATTGCTTCTGCAATCTCTTCAATCAATATTCATTCATTTTAGCTTTTATGGCTTTGTCTTAATTTTTAGACCTTAAAAAAAAGTGTGGGGGGTAAGGGAGTGTAAAATTCTGCACTCTTTTTTTCCTTCTTTTCTGCCTCCCCCCCCCATACCTGGAGGATCACACTGCCTGACAGGAACCATAGTTATAAGACAAGAAGAGAGCAAGGAGAGTTCGGGAGATTTTATTTTCAGTGAAGAGTTGCTGGGCTGTGCAATGCCCTGTCATGTAAGAGGTAGATGCAGGACCCACTTTAGGTTACAAGAGAGAAGTGGAGGTACACGTATATGAAAGAGAAGCTTGAAGGGACATGGAGATAAGGGGGGGGTGCTGTGGGATTGAGTGAGTACCTTGCTTTGTGAACAACAAAAACTTCATTTCTGGTAAATTTGATTGATTCTCTTGCAAACTGCTGTGAATTATTTCAAGTCAGGAACTTTATAAGTGGGAAATTGTATTGAAATCTCTATGAACTCCACTGGGATCTGCCCTGCATTGCAAAGCTGTTTACAGAGAAGTAGTTTAGTTTTCTCCTAGTGATAAAGGGTACTAACTGTGGATCTACGATATCTGAGCTTTATGGCATCTCGGAAGTCCTGTGTTAATTTGACTTGCAGGTCAATGTAGTCTCCAGCGAGATACAATTCTTTGGGTATCGGAAAATATCCCATCTAAATGGACAGGTGAGTTGGTGAACGTTGGCAGGCTACTTGGAGGGGGAAAGAATATAGTAGTGGTGGCCAATCTTTTTGGTTGGCCAAGAAAAACCTGGAAACACACTTTCAATCAAACTTGGACTTACCTAAACTCGTGTGAATGTTCAGAGGGGCCACTTCTTGGTGGCCCGGCAGACAGGAATCTGCTTGTGGGCTGTAGTTTGGCTGGTACTGGAATAGTCTCCATCAGAGATCACTGAATAAAAGTCAGCAGTAGGAATTTCATTTTTAAAATAGCATTAGGAAATGTGATAACTTCCAATGTTATCTACCCTGAAACTGCTAGTGGGTGTTTCAAAATATAAAGGATGTAAAATGTGACTTAATAGCCTGTCCTATGGAGTGAGTGAATGTCAGCGGTTAAATATTCTTCATATACCATTTTCAGCAATAGATAAATGAATTACTATACAACAAAAAAACTGTCTGGCATCCCTTAACCATTGCTTGTTGATTTATATTCTTAAATTCTTAGCACAATGTTATTTTGCTCTCAAGGCTGTAACCCTTTTTGGTTTCTATACACAGTATATAAAAATATAAATTTTTAATGATGCGGTTTTCATTCAGTGAAAGGAAAGGGGCTTGGAGAGTTGAACACAAAGGGAACAAAACTCTTTTCCTTCGGTTTTCAGTTTGATCTCTTTTTGTGTGTATTAATGCTGAGTTCATCCAAGCAACAATCTAACTATCTTTAGTCTCTTACTATCTTGTTTTGAAAGGAGCAAATAGTTGTATTTTATCAACTTGCTCTAAACTATCTATGTTGGGATTGAAAATGTAAATTGGAAATGGCCATTACTTAAGTTATCAGCATTATCCTGTGACTGAATCACTCTTGGTTTTGGAGTTGCTTTATTTCATATCATTTCAAAATGGTTAAATTCAACTACTCCGGCACAGGCACGATGGGCCGAATGGCCTTCTTCTGTGCTGTGATATTCTAGCTTACATTCTACTGGCGCTTTGCGATGTCCTCCTGACGTGCAAGGCGCTATACAAATGTAATTTTGTTGTTGTTGTTACTAGCTAAAGCCGTTGCAGCTTCGCTTGCAACCCAAGGATCCAATATGGAATGTAGATTGACACACAGACAGACATTTTGTTTAGACATTATATTCAACTGGGCGGACTCCTTTTAATATATTTTCTTTCTCTCTTAGTCTCTCTCTCAGTCTTTCCCATAGTTTCTCAGTGTCTCTCTGTCTCCCACAAAACACACAGTCACTACACTTTATAATATATTCTCTCTCACGGTCTCTCTGTCTCTCTCTCTTCCAGTCTCTCTGGCTTTCTCAGCCTCTCTCACTATCTCAGTCTCTCTCTCTCTCACATACTATCTCAGTTTCTCTCTCTCAAATACTATCTCAGTCTCTCACTATCTCAATCACTCTGTTTGTCCCACATGGGAGGACTCTAGCTCCCATAATACCCAAAAAAAAGTGCTATGCATTTGTTGCAGAAAATATATATGTATGTCTCTGAACAGTTTGCTTTCCTCTCGCTACGTAGTTGCAGAATACGATGCATACCTCATATTTTGGGTCTTAAGAAAAGCATTTTTTAATATAGCTCATCAACGATAGGAGATCCCCTCCAAAAAAAAATGCCCATGAAACTGACAGATGCAAGACCTTTCCGGTGAGGTATAAATCATGTCTCTTATATCAATCGGTTATTGCGTGATTGTCAGATACACTAACACACAAACAAACAGACACTTAGTCCTTATTAGTATAGATGATTTTACTTGCAATAACAAACAAAATGTTCACATTTTCACTGATCGCCTTGTACAATTTAAGCATGGTTACTTGCTTTTAAGAGGACACAGTGCATAGTGTTGGATGTGCTCCCTTTCTGATCATTGACTGGTGACAAACGTACCATAGTTTTTTCAGCTGTAATACTCAGCAAGGATACAGCACTGAGATATGCAAGATACATTTGATACTGCACTGGGCTGAAGTCACTTCACTTTGTCATGTAACCTGACACCAGTTTTTGTCACTAGCTTAGGTCAGGATCCAAGAGAGAGTAAAATAGAAAGAAGATCCAATGAACATTTTTCCTGTTTAGACAGTGTTGGGTACGAACTGCATTTCATGCTGGAGTAAAGTCGAGGTGCAGTGAGGAAGCTGCAGCATTTTGTCATTTTATTAAGTCATAATGTTTTGTTTCCACCGGGCGAAATGAAGCTGGGGTAAAAAATGCAGAGAACAGACAGTGTGAAGGTGGCAGTACGTGTGCGGGCCTTCAACCAGGTGAGTAAGAAATGCTACTTAAACCATTTAGAAACCGACAGCAAGTCATCACACAGGTCAATAAATACCAATTATTTGTACATGGAGACTGGAATATCTTACCACAAATGGCTGTTCATTCAAACCCTTAATAGCATTTAAAAGGGAATTGGGTAATTAATTGAGAGGAACACATATTAAAGGGAACAAGCAGAGGGATAGTGCCAGTGGGGAGTTAGACCAGCACAGATAATTGGCTGAATTGCCTTTATAAACTTCCTAAAAATACAAAAAAATCTACTGTTTTTGGAAAAAAAACAAGTTTAATAATAATAGTCCTTGCATTTGACATAGCGCTTTTCACCTCTTCTAGATGTCTCAAAGTGCTTCACAGAATATACTGTAAAGTGAACTGACTATATTTGTGGGTGAAACACAGCCGCCAATTGCGCGCAGAAATGTCCCACAAACAGTCGTGGATTGAAAATGACCATTTATTATTGTTTTTGTTTTGGAAGGATTATTATTATTAATGCTTTCAACACCCTTCACAGAAAGAACATAGAAGTTTAAATAGACAGGTTTCTAAGATCCTACTAGAGATGGAGTGACTGGGTAGTGGATTGGAAAGTGAGAAGGTCATAGGGAGGTGCCAGGGAATGAAGGGATTTGAACACGAGTGTGAGGATCTTGAAGTCGATATGTTTGGTGATGGGAAGCCAGTGGAGCCTGGGCAGAACTGGTGAGATGTGGGTACGGAGTTTGGTCCGGGTCAGTATGCACGCGGCAGAATTCTGAATGAGCTGGATTTTTTGAATAGTGGAGCTTCCTGTAGCTCAGTGATTAGATCACTCGCCTTGCAAGTGAGAGACCTGGGTTCAGTTCCCGGCAGGGCGAAACTTTGGGCAAATTTCCTTACTCCACACGCCTGATAATAATCCCTCAAGAAAAAAAACAAAAATAAATTGGTCACTTCAATCCATGAATGTTTGCAGGACACTACTGTGCGCAATTGGCTTCTGCGTTTCGCCCACAAAATATACAGTCAATTCACTTTACAGTATATTCTGTGAAGCTCTTTGAGACGTCTAGAAGACATGAAAAGCCCTGCATCAAATGCAAGGATAATAATAATAAGACAATCCAGAACTGATACTATCAATTCTTTTCACTTTCTTGGTTTTAATTTGACAGATGGAGAAGGATGCAGGAAGCCGATGTATAATCTCCATGACTTCAAACAGCACTACAATTTATAATCCCAAAAATCGTAAGAACACAAAAACATTTACCTTTGATATCACATACTGGTCACACAGTGGGTTTGTTCAGAACGATGAGGGAATGCTCGTGGCAGATGGACCTAATAGCAGATATGCAGATCAGGTAGGATTTTTTTTTATATTTGCAATTGATATAGAGCCTTATCACATCTTTGAGATGTCCCAAAGTGCTTCACAGAATAAACTGTAAGGTGAATTGATTGTATATTTTGTGGGCGAAACACGGCAGCCAATTGCACACAGCTGTCAAATTAATTGCAAGCTATCATTAATTTTATTTATGATGAAGTGCTCTCGCCAAGTTGTTGTTGTTGACCATGGGCTTAAGAGTGAGACCATGACAATAATTTGGGCCTATTTAGAGGGGGAATTCTATATCAGTGCCAATTTTGATCATTCATGCAATATAAATTTATATTTATATCGTGCCTTCACATCGGGAGGATGTCTCAAGGTGCTTCTGAATACTGCTTGGCGTGGGAGCTGGGGGAATGGGAGGGGAAAGTTGACTGGAAGTGTGGTCATGAATAGAACTTGCTAAGTTAAGATTAAACTTTGTTCAAATTGTGTTCTTTTTAGAGAAAGGTGTTCAGTGACTTTGGCCAGGAAATGTTGGACAATGTATGGCAGGGGTACAATGCCACATTGCTAGCCTACGGACAGACTGGTTCAGGGAAGAGCTATTCCATGATTGGTTATGGTCCCAATCAGGGGATCGTTCCGATTACTTGTGATGAATTGTTCAAAGCAATTAAACAAAACCAGGAAATCGATAAACAGTACCAGGTGCGTATTAACCTCCTTCAAATATTGTGAATTGAAAAGTCTCAAACATGCTTTTTCAATCCATGCATTTGATACACCGCCTTATCACGTCTTTGAGACGTCTCAAGCGCTTCATAGAATATACTGTAAAGTGAATTGACTGTATATTTTGTGGATGAAATGTGGGAACCAATTGCACACAGCAGTGTTCCACAGACAGTCATAGATTGAGTGACCAATTTTTTTAAAGGAATTATTACCCTGAAAAGTAATCCAGCAATCAACTAACAAACAGGTTCTGACTTACTGCTTGGTAAACAGATGCGTGTGGAGTAAGGAAACTTGCCAACATTTCACCCTACTGGGAATCAAACCCAGGTCCTCTCGCTTGCAAGGCAAGTGCTCTAACCACCTGGTGGCCGCCGAGCCATCCTGGCACTGTGCCATCATGCGTCACAGAGCACTTATGTATATACCCACGCACTGCAGTTACACCTGGTGGCCACGCTAGCTGTCCGTGGCACTGTGGCATCCTGCGTCACAGAGCACACACGGAGCCAAGCGGTGAGAACAAAGTAAAGAACACAGACGGAGCTAAGCCACAGAAACAACAACAAAATTACATTTTTAAAGCACCGAGTCCTCCCACAGGAGTATAGATAAAGATGAAATGTCTGCCTGTGTGTGTGTCTGTGTGTCAATCTACATTCCGTATTGGATCCTTTGGTTGCAAGCGAAGCTGCAATGGGTACAACTGGTATTCTATAAGGCACTTTGAGATGTTTACTTTTACATGAAAGACACTATATAAATGCAAGTTATTGTTATTGATGAAGCATGTTAATGAAACTCAGAAGCTAACTTATTACAAATATTGTGAAGTCCTTGAAGTTTTCAAGCCAAAATATGGCAAATGTATATAAGACTGATTTTCTTATCATTTGCTCTGAATCTTTCTTCTCTGACTTTCTCTCTCTCTCACTTGCTGTTCCTGACCCTACCATACACCTGTAGCAAACTACTGTTTAATTGATTCCCTTACCTCATGTTGCTGGTTCACAGTTCCCTGTATAACTGATGAGAGTTGTGTGCATACAGAGAATTTATATTGCTGGTATCTCATAGAGATAGTAGGCGATCGTGTTCTAATGTAATTCACTTTTGAGGTATCCATTATTAACCGTTTATAATACAGTGGAGTCCTGTAGCTTAATGGTTAGAGCACTTACTTCCCAAGCAAGAGGACCTGGGTTTGATTCGTGGGCAGGACGAAACTTTAGGCAAGTTTCCTTACTCCAAACACCTCTGTTTACCTAGCAGTAAGTAGGAACCAAATTATTAGTCAATTTAACAGATCGCTTTTCTGGGGGTAATAATTCCTTTAAAAAAAACAATAATCCACAACTGTATGTGGAACACTGTTGTGTGCAATTGACTGCCATGTTTGGCTCACAAAATATACAGTCAATTCACTTTACAGTATATTCTGTGAAGAGCTTTGAGACATCTCAAAGATGTGACAAGGCACTATATCAAAGGCAAGGATTATTATTATAATAATAATGCCAAAGTAAAGTTGTTAACAGTGATCAACACAAAGTATATTTCTGAAACTTCAATCTGTAGCACAAAGAAGTTAAATTAGTGAGGCAGAGATACTTATGACTGTGGAATTGTTCCATACAGTGTTACAATAAAGTACATGATTTGTCTGTCTTTTACAGGTTTGTTTCAGCATGTTAGAAATCTACAATGAAAAGGTAATTTTTCTTTTACTGATATATGCAGTAAATAAGTAATGTTTAAGTAAGATTTGACCACTGCTACCTTACGGTGTAAGTATTAAAGCAGTTATACAAGGTTCTAAGAAGGTATGATTGGAATTCTCCTGGTGTATTTGTTCGCCAGCAGGGCTATATTTCAGTAATTACACTAAATAATAATAATACAATACTGTATTCATTTATTTTACCTTGGAAGCAAGTAATACATTGGCAGTTTTGAAAAAAAACAAGACTGCTGAAGAATTTCTATTTCTCGCACATTGTCGACTTGCCAGAGTCTAGGAAGTTAGTCAACATGGAAATATCTACTCAGGTACTTCAATATTGAGACTGTACTGTAAAACTGCAGAGGGCATCTTCGTCACTGCTGTTGCTACTGGCAATTGACAGGTTCAGGCGTTGCTAATAAGATCAATATTTTCTGGTTAGCTGTATCACCTAATTATAATTCATTTATAGTTTACAGTTTCTTTACTGGGATGTTGTACAGCACCGCTTGCTGCACATAGCAAGGATGTGCAGCCTAGAGGAAGTGATGACAGCAGTTTGCTGATAACCTGAAAGTTGTTTTTTGCGAGGAGGCCCAGATTGTAAAATGGAAGTGTATCAAACCTGCCACCTACCAGGTCTATGCTGCTATTGTTTTCTAAACAGTAGTGTTTACTGGGTGAGCATGAAGGGAATTATGTTTGTAATCTGAGTGAGCTGTAGATCTGAAAAAAAATGACCTCACCAGAAAGACTGAAATTTCTCTTGACCTGCCATCAGTCTAATCTAAATTCAAGAACAAGTGAATAATGTTTGGTGCAAGAAGGTTATTTTACTACCTCTAAAATGCATCTGTTTCATAGGTAATTGATTTGTTATCTAAGACTAAGCAACTGGGGGGTCTGAAGGTGCGAGAAAACCATCAGAGAGGATATTACGTGGAGGGCCTGAAGTCAGTGCCATGTGAAAGCTATGAGAGGATTAAATTGCTGCTGGAGCAAGGAAACAGGAAGAGGAGCACTGCATCCACTAATATGAACACCATCAGCAGCCGTTCTCATATGATCATCACCATTCAATTCAAACAGGTACAGACGCAGACACTGTGGAATGGGGTTTCCCTGCGGTTCTTAAAAGAACTTACAGAAAACAGGCTTCAAATTAAAATTATTCAGCAATTTGCCAAATTCTAGATTTAACTGTTATGAAATATAAAGGGAACAGAGTAAATCAAGAGGCCCTGGTGGAATTTCTCCCTCCTTTATCCCATGAATGAATTATTTGACCTTATGGATATTTCTGTATTGCCAGCAGCCACAGATGAATGATTCTTTTATATTTGGCTCTTCATGCAGGTATTTCTGAAGGAGCACCTCACCAAACAATCTGACATAAGCCTGGTGGATCTGGCTGGAAGCGAGCGGCAGAAATCTTCTGGATCTGAGGGGGACCATCTGCGAGAGGGAGCAGCCATCAACCGGAGCTTATCCACTCTGGGCAATGTCATCAGGTAAAGGGAACTTTGAGAACACAGTTAAGGTCTTGACTGCTCTGTGACTCTCTTCTTTTAAGTAAGTTGTTTGTCCTGGAATATCAGAGAGCACCTTCTCTAAATGTTATACTTCCTTCTTAGATGTTGTAACTTCCAATCCAACACACCTATCTCTCCTGTACCTTCATCTGCACTGGCTTTTCCCTCATAAGATTAGGAGACTAATAGTGAGTGCACTTTTTACACTTGGTAGTAACATAACATAACATGTAGGAGCAGGAGTAGGCCATTCGGCCCTTCGAGCCTGCCCCGCCATTCAATCATGGCTGATCTTCTAATCTAACTCCAGCTAATAACCTGACCCTGCCTTATCCCCATATCCCTTAATCCCTTTTGCAATAAGAAATATATCTGTCTCAGTCTTGAATGTGTTCAAGGACTGAGTGTCAACAGCCCTTTGGGGGAGTGAGTTCCATACATTCACCACCCTTTGAGTGAAGGAGTTCTTCCTCAACTCAGTGCGAAAGAGCTGGCCTCTGATTTTAAGGTTGTGACCCCTGGTTTTAGTTTCTCCAACCAGGGGAAACAATCTCCCACTATCTACTCTATCATGCCCTTTGATGATCTTACAGGTTTTTATAAGATCCCCTCTAATTCTTCTGAGTAAAGTTACTCATCTTGGCATTTAGTGTTTAGAATGTCATTTCCCATGACATTAAAGATTCCATGACATTCTTTGAAAACAGAAGCGAGTTTCCCTCGGTGTCCTAGACAACAGTAACCCAAATAAAATTGGTCATTCACTTCATGGCCATTTGTGTGCTGTACACAAATTACCTGGGGTATTAACCTACAAAATACAGTCACTACTTTTTACAGTAAGCATTGTGAGACGTCATCCTGATGTGAAAGGCACTATAATCAAATGCAAATATTTTTATTATTTTGTGATATCATTTAAATTGAAGCCATGAATATGCACCATCTTTGTTTATTTACAGTTTTTAATAAATTAATAGGTCAGATACAATACTATACAAAATTTACATTTATAAAGTGCCTTTCATGTCAGGAGGATGTTCTGAAGTGCTTTTCAGTACTCGATGAGCTGGTGGGTGGGGAGGGGAAAAATGATCAAAGGTGTGGTCAAGGAGGAAAGTCTTGAGATGGGAAAGTGATGAGGGAGGGAACAAGTTAGAGGGACTTGGGGATGGAGTTCCAGAGAGGGGACAGATTTACTGAAAGCCAGCCTGCCGATGGTGGGGCAGGTAGGGCGAGGATAAAAAGCAGGCCGGTGTATGTTGAGTGAAGGGAGCAGCTGGATTGCTGTGGTTTGAGGAGGTTGCAGAGATAGGGGGGGTAAGACTACGGAAGGAACTGAAGGCGAAAACAAGGATCTTGAACTCGATCCCCTGGGGGTCTTTGAGAAAATAGTCTTTGGGGGTCCCTGTTGCCGGTTTTAGCTGTCTCTCCCCTATTTCACTGTAAATTGTGCTGAGATATTGTACTGATATCTTTGTTGAGTTTACATATTATACAGTGTTCATTTGTTCTGTGTTTCCTTCCAGTGCTTTGGCCGAAATAGCTGTGGGGAAGAAGGTAATGCATGTACCATACAGAGACTCCACAATTACTAAATTGCTGCAGTCAGCTCTGGGAGGAAACAGCAAGACAATCATGGTAAATGTACGCACTCTTCAGCTTCCATGTAACTCAGTGATAATGCGCACGTGGCCACTGCCACTGCAGGGGATTGGTTTAGGGGAGTTTCTTGATGTAGTTTCTATTCATAATTCTTGATTTGCCTTTCACGCGTCTGTAAGAGCCTGTATTTTTCTCACATCGTAACTTCAAGGCTTAATAGTTTTATTATCGAAAGGTGTAATAGAGTTTTATTATTATTTGAGCTATCAGAGTGGTTTGGGAAGATGTTAGGGTGGGTGATCTGGAAGGATGAGATCAAGTCGGCCAAAGCATCTTCTTCATCCGAATCTCGGTTGTGAACTTAACAAGCTTCAGAATATTGTAGGTAATAAGTAAAAGGGCAAAGATAGCCTCTCTCGGTCAGTATTTCTCTTTGTAAACCTATTAGGTTAAAATATTTTATTGTAATGATACTTTTTGTTCACTTGTGCTTTGTTTTGTTGAATAATTCTGTTTTATCTGGCAAATACTGACTGCATAAACAGGAAAAACTCTCTGGTTGCAGGAGATGAATTAGGTTATTAGCTGGAGCTAGATGAGAAGATCAGCCATGATTGAATGGCAGGGCAGGCTCGAAGGGCCGAATGGCCTACTCCTGCTCCAATATGTTAAACTTGCCATGGTATTTTTACATGACATTGGAAAAGAGAAGGGAGTTTCTCCCAGTGTCCGAGCTAACATTCCTCCAGACTAATTAGTCACTCATCTCATGGCATAAATGACCACCTTGCTAGTCTTTGCCTGGAAAACCAGTAGTTAACGTAGCTATAAAGTGGGTTGATAAAGTGTCAAGGTTAATAAGGCACCATTGGTGGGTGAATTTACAGCCATTCTGCCCTGCTCTCTGAAACTCCATCCTGGAGTATCTCTGACTTATCCTCCCTCTCCCCACTTTTAAAGCTCACCCTCAATACCCACCTCATTGATCACACTTTCGGTCATCTTCCCCCTGCTTAGCCCCCAGCCCCCCTCCCCTCACCCCCCCCCCCCCCCCCAGGCTCAGGAGACTAACCAGCTGTATAAAGTGCTTTGTTGCACCTCCAACGTGAAAAGCGCTCTATAAATGTAAATTGTAGAAAAATACATATTCTGTCTTTTAGTGATGAAAAGTATCAGGGCTTTTACTCCATTTGCTGTTTTCGCTAATCCCGCAGTCTTGCAAGGGGCAAATATTTTGAATATAAAATGTAATGATGTGACACCTGATTTTACAGATTGCCACAATCAGTCCTGCTGACATCTGCTATGAGGAAACGCTTTCCACATTACGTTATGCTGAAAGGTAAAGAACAACAATGTGTAATTTTCGCCCTCAAAATATATTCAATTCACTTCACTGTATATTCTGTGAAGTACTTTGAGACGTCTTGAAGACATGATAAGGTGGTATGTGAAGTGCACAGATTATTATTATTACTTTACACTCACTTTTATTTTCGGGGGAAGGGATTAGATTCTTTAAACACATAACTTTTTTATTTGCCTGTGTAGCTTTCAGCCATTTTGTCCCACTCTTTATAACTTTATCCTGGTATCCATCCACCTCGCTTGCTCCCTCCCACCACACTCTTAAAGCTCTCCTCCAGACTTGGGGGAGCTCCATGATAATGTAGCCATATATTGCCTGTGGAAGAAGTGGTTTAAATGGATCGTATGGTCTTTGCTCATTCCACACTTTCTTATATTGTTTATTCAGCAGTGCGTGCAATTGAACCTGTTTACTTCAACCACTGCCACCCCCACCCTAACACCATTTGTCTATCACTTTCTATCTTTAACTCTAAACTGTATAGTGTAAAAGCTTAGATACAGGTGTGCAATGCTGTTTGTGTGCATGTGAAAAGTTCCACGGATTAGCATGTAGGTGCTAGTTATCGCAATGTAGCCAGGACCAGTACATACATCCCTAGGAAATACTCGTAACTGCATACACGAATCTTAACAGTTTTTCTTGCATGTATCTCACAGCCTCATGCAGATAAATGGACATGTGAATAATTGGCATGAAGATAAATTATATTCTACTGTACAAATTGTGGCTTTAAGTAAAAATTGACAGTTGCTGGCCAATAATCACTCACTTCTATCATTAAAGGGCCAAGAATATCCAGAACAAAGCCATGATAAACCAAGGTCCTTCAGAGAGACTCATCCAGGAACTGGAGGCAGAAACCACCAAGTTGCTGTTAAAACTTTCAAAAATTGGGAACTCGGGCCAAAGGGTGGAAGAAGAAACAAGTGGGTGTCGGAACTGGTTACCAGTGAAAGGGCTGCACACTGTGATCTCAGTATTTGGGATTTCTTCTAAACAGATTTTATTTAAAAAAACAACGGCCGCTGCTGGAAAGATTCACTCCATGGATGTGGATGTCAGTCGAGGACAGGATAAGACTGTGATGCTGTCTCCCTCGGTCACACACAATCTCTGACATTCTGACACACATACTCTCTCTCTCCCTCACACACACACGCACACACACACACAGTGGAACTTTACCCCAGGATGAGGAGGTGTCTTTGAGACAGGAAAAGAATTGGAGGGGACATAAATTGAACATATTTTTCCTCTCATGTTTACAGTTAAACAATTAAACAATTGTTCTTTGAAAAATAACAACAAATGAAATAACACTAACCAAAACAATATTCGTTAAAATTAAAATAATAAGAGATGGTACTTTTGCTGAAGATTAATAGAGTGGGAAGTGCCCACTGTAAAGGGTGTGAGTGAAGCAATGAGGGAATGTGTTTGATGAGTTGAATGGGCGTTTGGTATTCTGTGACCTGCTAACCCCAAATCAACCTGTCCACTCCCTCCGCTCAGCAGACTCCGGTCTGTTCCATGTACCCCGCCCAACTTGCTCCCCAAAATTAGTGGTCGGGCCTTTAGGTTTTCTGCCCCATCCTTTGGAATTCCATTCCACAGTCTTTTTGCCTTGCTCCCTCCCTTGCCTCCTTCAAAGTATGTCTCAAGTCTCCTCTTCGATTGCGCATTCGGCCACCCTCCTGCCGCCTGCCCTCAACCCCCCCCCCCCAATCCCAATCCTCTTGGCTCGGGTCCAAATCCCTGACTTTCACATCAGGAGGACATCCTAAGGCATTACAAATGTAAATTGTTGTTGTGTTCCTTGTGTCTAATTCCAATCCAGAATATGAAGCAGATGGGAGAGTTTAACCTGTGTCGATGCAGATCTGTTTCTGCTACAACATTTGTATCTGTTCAGTGGGGAAGTGATGCAGTCAGCTACAGGTGTAAAAGGGGACCCTATAGGAGCTGGCTTTGTTTAATAGGTTTATTTGAAATCCTGCCTTCCCTCACCAGAGGAATTGCGACGTTTATTGGCTGACAACGAGCTTCAGATGCACGACATTCAGACTTCATGGGAGCAACGTCTTGAGAAGGCGCGGAAAGAATGGGAGCAGCAATACGTTGTGATATCGCAGGTGAGGACACATTACAACAACTTAGATCAAACTTCTCCAATAGTTTTATTGTCCATGAGTGGCCACAACTTAGGTACTGGAGGCCAAATCCTCTGCTATCGACCACAAAGTCTCAGCCTGTACTGCTGATAAGTGGTATATTATTATTATCATCAGTCGGCACTCACAGTTTGAGAAATTCCTGCCAGAATGCTTCCACTTGAGATACTGAGGTCAATGCCGCGGTATAACATAATGGGTTTCTAAATTAAGAAATCTGTTAACAAATACCGCAAAGTGAACTTGAATGTTCCCAAAGGAAGCCTGTTGTGCTGCAGAGCCACACTTTAGGGATAACTTGGCTTCTTCATATCTCTAGCTGAACATGACGTTAAATTAAAGTTTACCTTATTTTTGCCAAAAAGTGTTCTCCTGTGTCCTAATCACTAGAAAAGCACCCCCTGCTCCTGCTCACAGGAAGCAACAGTCACAGGATGCAAAGGTCACTTGGCTACATGTGCAGATTCATCCTGATGTCTGCAAATCTAAAGTTAAAACTCCTGAAAACTGAAAACAAACTGCTTGAAAGGCTCATTTAGTGAAGCCCCAGCCCAGTGTGTGGACTGCCATGCAGACCAGGAAGGTCCCAGATTCAATCACTGTTCTGTGGTGATCTCAGTCCAGGTATGGAAGGAGATGTGCTGGGAAGTGCACTGTGGATGTTCGGTGAGGATGATATTGAGCTTGGCTGAGTTGCATTTCACTGTCAAATAGCCAGCTGGCGTTCACTGTACATAAAGGGTGTCAGTTTATGTGAGATACTGGAGGGCAGCCTGCCCTTGTGGCGTCACTCCAAAGAGTAAGGCAGAAGTTTGGAAGGAATATTTCCTTCACACAAAAACTGCTAAACCCAACTACCATGGGCAACCTTCATTTTCCAGCAGGGGGAGTTTATCAACTGTGTGAACAATATGAGAAGTGAGCCTGAAATCTGATAGCTTAAGACAAGTTAAATGTTTCTAACAGAGCTACTCAGACTGTGGCGTGCGAACATCCATTTCAGTTGAACATGTATTTAATCTATAACATTTTAATGGTCATCACGAGCATCTTTTGTTATTGCCAATTTATTCCAGCTGTTTTCAATAGCGCACTTAATGGGAAATCTTAATGCATTCATAATCTGTTTCCTAGGAACAGGACATGATTCGGATCTTCCCTTATCTGTTGAATGTCAACGTGGACCCACAACTCTCTGGCATTGTCAAACACTTAATTCAAGATGGTATTGACCTATAACACTTTGTAGCTGTGAGTGTATCCAAACCCAAGCTTTTCCTTGATGCTGTCTACGATTGCTTCTATCTTGCCCAGTTCTGAACTGCTCAGTTTGCTGGAGACTTAAAAGTTGCATGATGTACTGTATTTCGCCAGCTGTAATATGTACTTTTTTTCTGGAATTTAAAAAAAAAGCCCTAGGTTTTCACTTTTCTTCTAGTACCCTAGCATTTCTCTGCCTCTCCCACCTGCATACCCCTCAATCTTCTGCCCACTCTCTTTGCTCAACTGGCTCAGACCTTCTGCACGTCTGTCCGCCCCTTCACTCCACAATCAGCGGCCATGCGTTCAGCAACTCTGCACCAGAACTCTAGAACTCCCTGCCTTAATCCTTCCACCTTGCTCCTTTCTTGCCTATCTTTAGATCGCACTTGAAAACCTTCCTCTTCCACCGTGCCTACAGTCACCTGCCCTCTCTCTCTGGTTCCATATCAAACTACGCTCTGAGACACCACCCATGTGAAAGGCACTGTCTAAATTCAAGTTGTTATAAATATTTCTTTCCAACTCAAGAATTCTTAACTCTTATAAAGTCCAATTGTGCCCAAGACTTGAACCTTGTTCCCGCTGCAAGGAGTGTTATCCAGCATATCTCTCACACTCTTTTACAATCTCCAGATTTTGTAAATCCAATTTTATCATTGCCTAATTGGAGTTCCTCATCCTCCTTCCTAATCCTCTCAGTGTTAGTGATGTCTTGCACTGTGAGGCACAGCCTGTCACTGTGTTTCTGAATGATAAATAAGATAAGCGTACTGTTTGATTTGTAGAGCAGGTTTTAGTGATGCAGTACTGTGTATCTGCACTCGTGCTTCATTATCCTATGTTGTGAGCTCATGAAGCACATTCCTCGAGATGGGTTAAACTCCATTCTCATCCAGAGAGTACTTTTCATGAAGTTGATTCTATGGGTTTATAAGCAACTCTAATCAGTAAGTATAAATGGGGCACTTCAGTCTTCACAGGAGAAGTCTAGGAAGGCAAATTTTAAACAGGGTTAATAACGTAACCTTATCCACATTACTTTTGGATACACCAAGACAACAGAACTAGAGGACATAGGTTTAGGGTTGCAAAGGGGAATTTCAGGACAGACACCGGAAAGTATTTGTTTATCCAATTGCCTTGAACTACGATGGATGTTTGAAGCAGGACACAGGACTCATTTACAAAAAAACTTGACGCTGTGATGGGAGGACAGTAGGGTGGGTGCCCTGGACGGATGAGATGAAATAGAGAAAGGCCCTTCGTCATTCAAATTGATCTTGTGATAACATGGTCTTCAGTGCACAGGACACACATGCAAAACTTATTGAATGGAGGAGAACAACCTTCAACTAATATGGATCGCACGGACCTGAATTTGGTTCCAAATAGAGAGAAAATTCCATTTTGGTTTATATCCTCTTGCTGAGTAAAATGTCATTCAGTAACTGGAGACGGGAACTTAGGTTGTCATGGTTTATTAAGCAACTGTATTTTTAGTGTTCACAATTTAGGAGGATGCAACAAGTAAGTTTGAATAACGGTTCCATTTAATGATATACTATCTGCCAAGAACATGCCTCTATCTTAAGAGTTGGTAGAATCTCGGCTGTTTTGAACTGCACTAAACATTTTATAATTTTTGTCTGTTTTATTCCAGGAGAAACTGTCATAGGTCATTCCAGCAGTTTCCCAAAGAGTATCACTATTAAAGGTTTGGGGTATGTGTAAGATTGCAACCAAATTAAAAGCCATTACTGTTTAATGTGCAGGTTGACATTTCAACAAACAAATGTATAAAGTAATTGTGAAATATGAAAGTATATAATTATTCCCTTTACATTTCACGTAGCTCCAACAACATCAAATGCAGTGACTTTGTATTTGGAAGCAAATGCAGTGGCCAATTTGTACACAGCAATGTCCCATAAACAGCTATGAGAAGATGGCCAATTTTATCTGACCAGGACTCTGGGAGAAACTCTTCTTTTTTCAAGTGGTGTCAGGGGATCTTTTATTTCCAAATGGATGAGATGAAATGGGGAAAGGGCTTTCGTCATTCAAAGTGATCTTTGAATGGACCTTGGTTTAACATTTCATCTGAAGGACTGTACCTATGACAATACAGCACTCCTCCAATACTGCAATGTCAGCCTAGCTTGAGTTTAAAGTCTCAACAATATAAATATAACTCTGAGTTAATGAATAATTAACACTTCAACCATGTCACCAAATGCATATAAATAATCCTGGTACTATATTACCCCCCATAGCTCAGTGAATAAGTGCTCTGGGACGCTACCCTGTGTGACGGGCACCATATAAATGCAAATTGTTATTGTTGTGAATACATTGTGTTACTGAGCTGTACAGGCCAGAAAGGTGACAGGTTCAATCAAGGCAGCAGATGTGCAACAATTGGACTCATTATGTCCATTCTCAAACAACAAAAAATTGTACTTATGTAGCGCCTTTCATGTCAGAGAACATCTCAAAGCATTTTACAAAGACAGAGCGGGAGCCCCAGTAGGTTGGGGGATAGGGGGTTGGCTATAGTTGACTGGAAAGGTAAGGAAGAACAATCAGCAAGGATTCTCTCCTATTTGCTATCCAGTCACTCCTGATGGAAGTACACGTGTGGACATTGGGTAAGGACAGGGTCAGTTTTGGTTGTGATACCTCCCACAGTCAAGAAACCAGCCATACCTCATTATCCTACACATGAAGGCTAGTTGATTTTAAGATTCTCACTCTCATGTACAACTTTCTTCATGCCCTGGTATCTCCCTACCTCTGTGACCTGCTTTACACCTCACTCCACTACCCATTCCCTTCACTCAGCTGTCTCCAGTCTCCTGCACGTCACTCCACCATCAGCAGATGTGCTTCAGCCACTAAGCCCTGAATCTGGATCCCTTCACTTTGCTCCCTTTTTGCCCATCTTCAGATCATACCTGAAGACCTTCCTCTTTGATTGTGCCCATAGTCACCTCCTCTCTCTCCCTGGCTCAGTGTCAAATTCCACCACTGGTATGCGCTCCAAGACACTACTCCAGTTAAAGCGTGCTATATAAATGCAAGTTGTCGTCGTCATTTTGTCCTGTATTTTAGTACAGCACCTTAAATTGTAACAGGAGTCACCACATTCAGGAGATTAAGAATAAAGGGAGAAAAGTAAAAGGGATTATAACTTATTATATTATTGAAGTTCAATCTCTTTAAAATAATTGAATCTTTTCCCCTGCTGTTGATGTATGTTTTTATACACTGAGGATTTTTTTAGTTATTTAACATAATGACTATTTTGCGGTCTTTATTTCTTGTATCAACTCATTCCTACACTATATAATTTGTACAGTATGTGTTTTTCCTACAGTATCTCAGATAAACACGCCACTATCACAAACCAGGACAGCACAGTAACTCTCGAATCATGTGGGCAAGCCAAAGTGACTGTAAATGGGATCCTTGTTCTTACTAAAGTTCACCTTAGACATTTGGTAAGTGTGTCCCACTGGAAAAACAGACTGCCCACGAGGTTGATATGATGCCTGATTAGACAGAATTTAATGTCTTGTCATGTGCTTATGATTAGGGTTTTTGAGGTATTTTAAGGGCAGTGATTTGGATGGAATGCTCTGTGCTGGAGATTTATCCGACCGAGAGACTAGAACCCTTAATACTAGCTCCTATGATAACAGCGCAGCTCAACGTGCTGTCGAAATGTAGCTCTTGTGTGAACATAATGTAATGTAGTGTAGTGTGCCTGGCCCGTGAGATCAAAAGGGGAGCTGGTTTGGACATTGCGTGGCCGACTCTCATGCGAGGAACCGTGCTCTGCAGCAACACAACCAGGATCAGAAGAAAAAGCCCGTCAACCTCGAAGTTGAGGTATTGGAGTTTTACCGGCTCTGGCTTTGAATACTTCTTCCACAACACGTCAGTATTCCCGACACTAAACATACAGGATTGCTTAGGCAAGCCACACATGAGCGAATGGTCAGTCTGGAGTGAAAAATGCTCTATGGAAATTGATATAGGATTCGGCTCCTGATGATGTCCCAGTGAACAACTGCTCAGATGAAGTTTCTGCCCACTCACCCAACTTTATTTGAATGTTTGGGCTCCTGAGTTGTCACACCACATTTTTCACCTCCATGTCTCTGTAATCATAAAACATGGGTAATTAAAATGCAATACAATTCACATTTATATCGCGCTTTTCACATTGGGAGGATGGCCCAAAGTGCATTCACAGTGCTGGTTGGGCACCCGAGCTGGGGGTGGGAGCTGAGGGGGCTGGGGAGGGGAAAGATGACTGAAAGCACAGTCAAAAGTTAAGTCTTGAGATGTGCCTTGAAAGAGGGGAAGGTGGGTGAGAATCAGAAGGACTCTGAGATAGAGTTCCAGAGAGTGGGGACAGAATAATAATAATAATCCTTGCATTTGATATAGCACCTTATCACATCTTCGAGATGTCTCAAAGCGCTTCACAGAATATACTGTAAAGTGAATTGTCTATATTGTGGCTGAAAAGACATTAATAATGGCTCACCTTTGTCACTGTTGGTACCAGGATCGAGTTATTTTGGGATCCAGCAGTACCTATCTCTACGTGGGGTTTCCCAGTGAGCGCAGCAGCGAGGACCTGACCAGATACGACTACGATTTCTTCCAGTGCGAGCTGGCAGCGGCGGAGGGGTTTGACAAGGATGTGCTTGGTAAGCAACTACTGACCCATTTAAACAGACTCTGCTCAACCAGAAAAGGTCCTGGTCCTCACTGAGTAGTGGCTTCAATAGAACCGGCAGGAAATGAGAAATGAGCGTGCGCATGTGTAGCTAGTGGAAAATCTTGCATAACAACCTCAGAAAGTTTCTGGGATGTGGGAATGCCCTGCCAAGCAAGGTGTAGAGGCAGAGCCCATTGTGGATTTCAACAGGGAGGTCCACAGATATATGAGACTAGAAAGTGTGGGGGATAATAATAAATAATAATCCTTGCATTTGATATAGCGCTTTTCACGTCGGGAGGACATCCCAAAGCGCTTCACAGAGCACACTGTAAAGTGAATTGACTGTATATTTGTGGGCGAACGTGGCAGCCAATTGCGCACAGCAATGTCCCACAAACAGTCATAGATTGAAAATGACCAATTTAATTATTGTTTTTGGTTTTTGGAGGGATTATTATTAGGCGTGTGGAGTAAGGAAACTTGCCCAAGATTTCGCCCTCTGCCTGGAATTGAATTCAGGTCTCTCACTTGCAAAGTGAGTGCTCTAACCACTGAGCTACAGGACTCCACGCAGACATAAGGCAGACAATGGGATTGAATGAGCACTTTGCTCTGAGAGCCGATGCAGAGCCAAATGGCCTCCAACTGGACTGCACATTACTCTGATTCTAGCCTGATTTGCTGGCTACCAGCCCTTCTCTATCTTGCCTTGGTTTCTTATTTCTATTTTCAATAGGAAAGATGTTTGCTTTGCAAGTACATATGTCACGTGATGTGTTGCATGTCACTGCTGAGGGAATGATTAGGGCTGCACCTTCAGTGTTGGTCTTGTCCTCCACTGATCAGGTGGTGTGAGCGGGAATCACAGGGAAGCAGACCCGAGCGTGCTGGCCGTGTTCCACGATTACATCAGAGTGAAACCCATGGTGATGGAGGCAAACCAGATCAGCCACGAGCTAAACAAGGTAACCTCAGCACTTTGGGATGTCCTCCCGAAGTGAAAGGCGCTCTACAAATGTAATTATGTTGTTTCGTTGTTAACCTCCATTTACTGCCAGGATCCTCGCCAACACTCCTCCTATCTGTCCAGGCAGGGAAGCAGTCTGTGTCTGACAGTTGCACCATGGTTCTCCTGTTTGATTATGTTTTTGTAATGCTTTCCAAGAACAAGGGGTCACAGAGAGAGGAAAGGAAAGGCAGTTTTTGCAAGTATCGGGGTGCATTGTGATGTATTGTTGCTCGTGTAGCATTTACAGGATAATAGATTGATTGGAGCTTGGAAGTTTGTTGGGAGAGTTGGACAGATGACCATCCATTTTGAGACCCTATTGAAAGTTAGCCAAGTGAAAGGGAGGAATGGTCTCTTGGGGGTTGGGTGGGGTCCTAAGTTGGGTTTGCTGCCTGACAGGATTTGATGCCATTGCTGACTCAGAGTCCTGCAAGTCACGTCCTCATCTTACGGTTTCTAGAAGGATTCACGGAAAGACGGGAACAAATGTGTGTGGGTGTCGGTTTATTCTGCTTTATGAGACAACGAGAGATGGTGCAGTTTAAGCGAAGAGAGACAATTGCTATTGCCAGTAACTGCCTCCTTTTATGAACTGCTGCTCACGATTATAAAATGCCTGGTTTATCCAGCTAGCCCTCCCTGAATAAACAAAACCATCCAAGTAACAGGCAGCTCCTGGACTCCACCTCAAGCATCTACTGAAAAGGTTCTGGTTTAAGGTCCTGCACCAGACGATGTGGACGTAAAATGAAAAGTGTTAGGCAAAGATATATCCTGATTGGCAGCTGATGATGGATAGCCGTGGTAGTTTAGATCCTTTCTAAGGAGTCAAAGCCAAGTTTTTCTGCTTTTCCTAGGGTCAAAAGGGCATGAATGAGGGAGAAGGAAATAGAGGGGTATGGTAGATGGAGTAGGAAATTGGGGATTCATGTGGAGTATAAACACTGGCTCAGACTAGTTGGGCTGAACTAGTCTGACTGTAAATCTGTTTGTAAGTTGAACATTCAGAGGGATTTTTCAATATATGTATGTGTTTTATTTTTATACTGCAAGGAACTGAAGTTTGAATTGGAAGTGAAGAATTTAGCGTTAACAGATTCCAGGGGCCGTGACCTGACCAAGGAAATTATTGTGAAGGTAACAAACAAGGTGGCAGATCAGGTAAGATGGAAAGGTCTCAGAGACGAGAGTGCTGGTGATGAAGCTCTTTTTGGTACCAGTTATATTCACCATTAGTAAAATCATTCAGACTTTGTGCTGCTACCAGCTAGCAGGAGGTGCACAAGATCGACATGGTCCAACACGTCTTCCAATTATTTATTCCCAGGTGTGGGTGTGGTCAAAGGCCAAGTTTGTGAACAGGAAGTTCATCATGGAAGACATGTATCAGCGTTTTGTGGATGGAGAGAGCATTGCTGTGGGAAGAGAGAATGATCCCTTTTGGGACCCTGTTGAACCTGTACATCTGGGCACTGCCCATGTCTGGCTCCAGTCACTTATCTATTGCATTGCACTAGAGGAACAAGTGGAGTTTCACAATTCCCAAGGCAAAGAGGAGGCCATTTTACAGATGAGTTTAGTGCCATGCACTCCAACTGGACAGTAAGTAATAATAATAATCCTTGCCTTTGATATAGTGCCTTATCATGTCAATGAGACGTCTCAAAGCGCTTCACAGAATATACTGTAAAGTTAATTGATTGTATATTTAATCACAACAGCCAATTGTGCACCAATTGACTAACAACCGGATACTTACTGCTAAGTTTTAGCCCGGTCGGGAATCAAATCCAGGTCCTCTCACTGCAAAGCGAGCGCTCTAATCAATATGCCACAGGACTACACAACTGACTGTCAGACTGAACTAGTTTGCACAACAAAGCCAATAGAAGTATATCAGTTCCAGGGATCATAAAATGAGCGACACTATTAATGAGCTCTTTGAAGAGTAAGGTTTTCTGTCCAGGTGGAAGCTTGCACTATTGCCCAGATGTACTATTCTATTACTAGCCAGGTGTACTTTCTCTAGGCCTCATGGAGAAGATGGGATCCTCATTGACCCCACAGAGTTAGTGGGCCAGAGAATGGATTTTCAGGTTCAGATCACAAATTGCCTGGGAGTGAAATGGTTAAAGCAGAACAGTAAGAGAGGAATTCAGATCAGGTAAGAAAGAACCTTCCCCACCCCCATTCCCATAGGCAACAAATTGCTTTGTTCATATATCCCTTTAGATTGGTTTACAAATCACTCAATAGGATTTCCCTGCAAACCAGACCATATCCCAGCCAACAGTGTGTGACCTCAACTCCTGGAGATGGGGTAAGAGTGGCCTGGGGTAATGAACCCTGTAGTTTGTCCTTGTACTGAACCTTTTGAGGTAAGTGTTTGCATCTCCTCAGTGCCTTTCCCATGACGTTGTTGAGAATTGGACACCACTGTGAATCTCAAGTACAAGACAATGTCCTACTATTCTGCATCACAATGCTTTAAACCACTGATCTGCTACATGATTATTCTGGCTAATCTTATTTAAAACTGAATTAAACCCCAGTTCATGACTGAGTCTCTGTGCTAGTTAGCCCAGTTACATGATTAACAAACCACAATTTTACACATTTCTTCATGTAACCTACCTACACATGGGAAATCCTATGTATTGGGATGGGGAGAGTACGCATTTCATTTTAATACATGGGAATTTCCCTTACAAATGTGTAACTATCAGTCTGGTTTGGAAACTTAAGTGTGCTGATGGATCTCCACATAATGTCCTGTGGGTTTGCTGATAGCCACAAGGATCAGCTGCACCTCGTTCATTTACTGGGGAGATCATTCAGCATCAATCTCCTGGTGCTTGACATTAGCAAATAGAACCTGTTGTCATTCCCTGGCAAGATTCACACTTGAAGAAAAGCCATTTGGGTGAGGCACCAGCTGATGCTCACATAAATCACCACTTTCAGGATCAAAGGGATGACGTTCTTACTAATAACAGGTGTGAGTGAATGACTGCATATCTTAAAACACCCCTTTTTTTTCTTTAGCAGAAATTGCAAAATGATTAATTCTATCTTAATTAAACTGGTTTTCTGCAGTTCTCAAAAGACAAAAATGGCTTCATAAGTAAGATTGAAGTTGGCAAATTAAATTCTGCATCCTTTGAAATGCTTAAAATAAAAAAAATCTAAACTCTGGTGGAATTTTGTTCTCAAAGTTCTCTGGAGTAATTGTGTAAGCTCACGACACAGTCCATAGCTGAGCTGAACAATAACGTAAGTTCTTTCCAGTTTGACACAGACACCAAAATTATGATGTTTAGTGAAGAAAGACCCTTGTCATAACGAAACAGCAGTGACTGCCAATTTTATGTATGTTTATTGTATATTTCCTGTAATATTCTGTTGGCTCAGATAATATTCACACAGTTTGTGAACCCAGTAAATGGGACAATAAACTAAGAATGACTAGCATTGTGATACTTCACAATAATTTGCTCACTGCAAGCTCATTCTTTCAGTTACCATGTCATCAACCATCAGCGCCCTTTCCCTACAAAATCAGTCTGGAACTCTGTGAATCCCAGGATAGATCACATGCTGCAGTTCACAGTGAAAAGTGTCTCACAGGAGCTGTTGAACTATCTACAAGACCATGCCATGGTTGTGGACCTGTGGGGTCTTCAAGGTAACAAAATAAAGTCCATGTACATAGTGGTGGCGTTCTTTAAATATTTATAATTCCATCTTACACTAAAGTATTTAAAAGTTGATGTTGCTGAGGTGAAGACATGATTGAGTGTTCAAATATAGTGTTAAAGAATAGTGGGCTTTAGATAATAGTGATTTAGATAATAGTGTCTTCTGTGATTATCTACCACCGAGTTTGCAACAGGGAAGATGTCAAAGGGAAGCAGGTTGCCTAGTCAGAATCATGAGAGAATATCAGCCAGGCAGCTCTGGCACATTACAAGGGGATTGAGTAGATGTCAAAAACATGTGACCTCAGGGCTGGGAAATGTTGCATTGCTTAAGAGAGGTAAAAAGTGATGGAGAAATTAAACTTTTAAAATAGGCTATTCTACAAAGGAAGAAACCTGTGGGGATAAATTCCACCCTTATTCTATTTGTAGAGCATTTTAGAGCGTGCAGAATTTGGCAAATTTAGTCTTGCCTTTAAAGCCATTTTTCTGTTTTTATTAAAACAATTTACAGAAAACGGGCATCAAGTTTGTCTGTATTTAAGAAACTCCCATGATCTGGACATTCTAAAATCCTGCATAAAGTAAATGTAGACCCAGGCAGAATTTCTCTCCAACGATGCATCACCTCTCAAAATGGTTCTAACTTTTTCTTTGTACTTTTGTTTCATGCTATGAAGATGGCTGTGCAGAGATGGCCTCCTCTCTAGAAGGTGCTGAGATCACTGAGGAAGGAAGTATCATTATCGACTATCCAACAGTAAACCCGCCTGGCAATAGCAGCTTGGTAAGGGCATGTTATGGTCTTTGCCACTTTTTGGTGAATATCCCTCTTTTGATGTCAGTCTGACTCACTTGTGTAAGATTCTTTAATTAATGTGTTAAGTAATATCTCAAATTATATTAGCAATGTTTATATATTTGAGACATATGGTCAATTTCATATGATGGGAGATGGTTTTGACTAGCTTCGCAGAAGAAACAAAAGACTCTTTATAAACAACAAATATATATATTATATTACATTTTTGTACAACATTTGTGTCAGTCCTTACTTCATCGCAGAATCACAAATTTAAATGAACCCTTACATTGACGCCCGAACAGGGACCTTGTTGTGTTGAAGTGGGATAAATACAAATGTTTAATATTGTTTAGAAATTAAGTACTTGTGTAAGTTGATGAGTTACGTTTAGTGAGTTGGAGACTGATTTATGGTGTATGGATTGGCGTCAATTATACTGAGACATGGCAGCTATATCGGCTAGCTAATATGTCCTGTATAATTGGATGCATTAACAGTTATTGTCTAATCCCATTTGGTGACTAACCATCCTAGGGGGGCTTCCTGGGCTCCATTCTCTTACTCCTTATTAACTCTGTGTTTAGAAAGGAAAGGAGAAAGAGGTGAGAGGCAGAAGTCAAAGTGAGAGAACTTAACCTTCGGGATGCCCTGGCTGAGAGAAATACGACATACCATCAGCGAGCTTAAGTATATTATGGGAAAAGAGCAGGAGTACAAACCTGAAGAAAAAAGTGCTAGTTTGGATCTAAAAAGTGTGGTAGGACAAATGAATGCAGAATTCGGAAAGCTACGAGTTGAACTGAAAGCTTTTCAAAGGTCAGGCAGCTGCGGCATCTGGTGTCCTTCCAATGTATAATATATAGGGAGGAGACAATAGGAGGCCACTGTAAGCTATTTTTATTGGACGCTGGTGTCTCTCAAACTGTTATATATGCAAAGGACCCACAAAATTTGTGGTTTGCATCTGAAACAGTTACTCAATTAGGTGGTTTTACAGGCAATTGTCAATATGGGGTGGAATCAATTCCAATTCCACTTCAAATTGGACATTTAGAAATAAAACGGCCATTTTGGTGAATGCTACAGCCAATTTAAACATTATTGGTGCAGATCTGATGGACAAATATCATTTGATAATTGATTTTTGCAAACAATCTACTATGGCAAGTTAAAAATACCAAACCTGGCACATACATTTGGAGTAAAATCATGGAGCTGTTTTATGCAGTAAAGAAAACCGAGGAGTATGATTTAAAGAAAGTGTTAATGCATAACAATATAACATTGCTAATGTACTAGCCACTAATAATGTTGTTTTTGCAAATCACAAACACGATTGTGGAAAGTTATCAAGACAGAATCAAACCCCAACAGAATTACTTTTAGATGGTGGCTTAAAAGATGGATTAGTAGAAAACCCATCTGATTATCTAAAGAGTCCATTCAAGGCTTGTGATATAAGTGGTCCAACTTATCTGAAGGGTCTATTCAAGGCGGTTGAAATTCCAAAATCTACTACTGTCTACATCAATAGTTCTATTTCAGTAGTGGAGGGGTAAGGTGTGTAACACAGTGTGAGACTGTGGGAGTGAGGAGTCAAAAATCTGTAGATTTAAAATTTGCCTAAGACACTGATGTGGATTAGTGAGTGGTTCTGACAATGTTTCGGAATGACTATTTGCAGTGGGCGCGCCCACATCTGGACATCGATCCAACACTGCTGCGCTGGAGTGACTGGGTCAGGTAGCCTGGAGGCCTGATTGTACAGAGGACATGGAGCGCTGTTGTAGAAAATAGCCTAATCAGGGCACAGATTAACCCTGACTTAAATTTTAAAAAATGCATTGTTGAAACAACTGATGAGTCAGTGAATAGACCATTGAGATCTGTTCAGTCATTAGAAGATGCAAGTACAGAGGTTGCAATGACATTAAAATGATTACAGAAAAAAGTATTCAAATAAAGATAAGAAGCTTCTGGGGGGTTTATTATAAAATATTGTGTTATAAAATAAATTTTGCAGCTACAAAATGACCAATAAGGTTATGTGTTTGTTTTTCTCTCTCAGTTTTGTTTTATGTATTTGGTATTTTGTCTTGATATGTAAAGATATGGGAAAGAAAGAAAGTCTATGCAGCAGAGAATATGACAAGTTGGAAAAAAGGGAGAGCTAGCGAGAGAACAGGAGGGGTTAATTGAAAAAAGAACACTAGCAAGAAAAGGGCTTGTCAAATACATGAGGGAGTGTGCCTGAAGGAGAATGGATTCGAGGGATATGAAAGAGGGGATTAGGATGGATGGAGGCTCATGTGGAGTTTCAATACGGGCAGGGACTAATTGGGCTATTTCTATTGTATTTCTTTGCTGAAATACCATGCACTAATTCTCCATCCCTGCACTTTTGAAATATTGTAATTGAGAGATGTGCAATCCATGAATAGATATACTCCATGTCCTTTTGCTGGACAGTCTGTTGAAGGGGATGTTGGAGACCTGAAACTAGCTCTGTGTAGAAGCGAAGCAATGAGGGATCATTCATCTTTGGTGCAATGCATGCAAATATAGTACTTTGAGCAAAACAGTAAATATGGAGTTATCTTGCAGCAAAGATATTGCCTAGGCTTTTGTGTTTGTTCTGTTTACCTGGAACTGACATGTTGTTGGTTCTGCTTAACTGGAAGCACCATATCCAGTTAAAATAAAATACCAAGTGATTGGTTGTCATCAATATTCATGCAGGACTAAGAATTGAATTTTTGTTTTTTAGTGTTGGCAAATTATACTCTTTCTTATATTTTAAATGACGAATTGTTAAATCATCCTTAATGTATGTACTGTGGGGTACCTTACACAAACAGCCAAGCTATCAAATGCAGTAAATGCCATATATCATTTACAGTCGAGGCTTATTGTTATTTTGCAGGAGGTGAGTGAAAACCAGCTCCCTGAACTTTATACCAAATTGTCCAAGTTGGAGCAGAAGATTGAACTTCTGAAAGATGTCAACAAAACCTTAAGGAAAGAAAATGTTGCTCTGAAGGAAACCTTAAGAAAAATAATAAGCGAAGGTACACAGAATAAGCAGACTCACCACAAGAGCAAATATTCTCATTAAAAATGTTTCATTCATCGCAACGCAGATTAAGTGTTGATTTTATCATTCTTTTAATCCACAGTGATTAAAAATCAAATGTCCAATCTGTCACCAGCTGAAATTAGTTAATTTACCACAGACTAGTTCCAAACTGGGATACTGACAGAATTAAAGACAATCATTTTAGTTTCACACCTTAACAAATAACACTTAGTGCAGTGCATGATGCTGAGAGATAGTCTGCTACTTCTAATAAGGCACTGAGATTTGATTAAGATCCTTTGCGTTTGTATTCTTTGCTGTGTTTGTGAGCTACTCAAAATGGATATATTCTGAGCCCAGTCTCAGCCACAGAACGGCATGGACTGGCTGAGCAGAGGTTAGGCAGCACCAAACAAGCGGAGGAAAAACTTAGGAGAAATAGTTGTCCACAAGTTACAGTTGTTAACGGACTTCATAGACAGATATTGGTGGAAGCTTGAGACCATGGCTTTGGTTCACCATAAGATGAATCTGGTCAGTTAAAAGTGTGATGGGATAAAGGAGGCTGAAATAGCATTTGAATAGAAGAAACTTAATTTTCACTTATTCTCCAGGTACTAGGCCTGAATTGAATCTTACCTACCAAAAGAGTTTACCCAGCAACAGAACCCAACAAATAACCATGTCAAAAGACTTTGGCTTCAAGAGTGTTCCAAAGCCCAGCTATGACGTTGAATTTGCCAAAGCTCTCAAATTGTTTTACCAAAGCATGAACAGAGTGCGAAGCCAACTCCTGGAGTTACAACGGCATAGGCCAACGGTATGTTTAGTGCAAGTGCAATTCTTTAATCATTTGTTAATGCTTCAATGTAATGACACTGAGCAATAGGATACAGGCTGCCGTGTCAATCATGGCTCTGCCATGAGGAGACAGTGAGAAGCTAAGGTCAGCCATTTCACTAGAGGTAAGGAGTAAAATTCTGAAGCACTCCTGCACACAACCTGAATGGCATCTTTATGAGTCGTGCCTTGTCCAAGGAATAAATCTGTCACCTCTGTCAGCCAGAGAGAAAATGAAAACAGACTTTGATGATTTGTTTGGGGGTGAACTACTGTAGTGTTACATGCCAAAAATGTTAATCTTTTTCAATTTAAGATTGTCATATGAACAATTTATCTTAAACAATTTTAGATAGATATTTGGGGAGGACAAATTTGCAGGGCTATGGGAGAGAGTGGGACTAATTTGGACAACTCTTTCAAAGAGTAAGCATGGACACAATAGGCCAATTGGCTTCATTCTGTGCAGTGTAATTCTATGGTTCAATTAATTTATGCCATGTGTCTATTTAGTTAGTTAAAGGATAAAATAGCAACATGCCGGGTGTGTTTAGCAATTATAAAATGCTTTAGTACAACCTTGGTAAAGCATTGGTTTTCAGTCTAACTGGGATGTTGCGCTCCAATAGACAGTCTAGTTCCAATGCTAGGATCTCTGATATTTTCAATCTAATAAGGATTGGAGCTAAAACACCTCTAGTAAAGAGGATAAGTTTCATCTGAAATGTTATTGTTGCTGCTGTGTAAAACAGGGATTTATATTAATTGGCCAGTATAATTTATCACAAATATAAATACTGAATTACTGATTAGCCAAGGAATCAGTAAAAATGGACTAAAACGAGCTTCATTAGTTATAAAATTCTGATCCAAATCAGAATGTTTACACAATTTAGAGATACAGCAGTGCTAGTTTGTTTAATCTTGTATTTTAGTTATAAATATCCTGCTACAAACTAGTTGAAGCTCTCTCCAAAGAAACCATAAACTTCTTTGAGATGTGGTACACTCCCAGTATTGTAAGTTGCTGTATAAAAGCTCCCAACAAGTGTACTACATTCTGATACAAAGAACAGGATTGCACAAACTTGTATAGGAAACAGCCTGCTGTTGTAATGGGGCTTCAGTAGGTTGAGATCAAATGGATCAAAGAACCTTTCTCTTGTGATTTTGAATCAAGTAAATTCTGTGAAGTGCTTTGAGATGTTTCATCTTACATGTTACTTTAGTTGTGAACAGTAACCATACACTCACTAGCAGTAACATACTACTTGCACATGCGTAAAAGAGTGTTAGATATCAAACACAAACTGGGGATATTTTAGTCCTGATGAAATGCCTTTGTGATGATCCTACTTAATAGATTAACATGTTGTGTTACAGGATGAAGATAATGTTGAAATATTGCAAATATCTATCGATGAACAAAGTCAGATGATAAAGGATTTTGGAGACCATCTTGAATCATGCATTAATACCCTGAAGAATGATGTTGCTTTTATCATTAAAAAAAAGAGAGAGCATAGCTGGTGTAGTTCAGCGACAAAGTGAAACAAGGTCTGCTTCACACAATTGATCTTTGAGGCAGCTCAAAATTCCCTTTTCTGCTGAAATGCTCATTATTTAGGACTGTCCAGTTCCCTGCTCAATGGTAATGATGATACTGTTATCCACAAAACTGCAAGGATTATTTTTATATACATCATTGTTTGCAAGATGAATAGCAGCCAATCACTGGTATTTCCAACAAGCAAGATTAATGGCTGCCATCTGAGGGAGTGTTGTCCCGATTTTCTGGCTTCCATCTACAGATAAATTAAAAATTTGATGTAAATAAATCTTCAATAGGACAGTGCTGTTTCTCTAAGTACACCTGTACTAGGATTAAGACCGCTCAATGCTCTGCCAGTATTGTAACGTTGCTATTAGTCGTGCAGAGCTGCCCAGTTTGAACCCCCTACCATTCATGTATCCAGTTATTAGCACAAACATGTCAACATAATTTTTGGAAACAAAAATGCCAGTGGATGTGGAATAGTAGTCATAGTAGCTCAGGAACCATCAGAATGTATTTTTAAATGTATGCAAGGATAGTGGCACTGCAGTAAATGTATGAATTTATTTTTCACTGAATAGGATATCTGGTGTTTCAACCAGAGGTATTTTAATCATACTCTTGTAAAATGACTGGAATTAGATTAACTTTTTCCCAAATCAGTGTTGATGTATAATTTATACATTGAAATAACATTTGGTTGTGCAGTGACCATTTGCTATTGTTTGGTTTGCTAAAAGTATTTTAAAAGTATAGCATGTACATGTAGAAAAGAACACATTTGTAAGTTGTCCATCTGGAATATAAAGATCGATTCATATCCAGGCTTCTCTTGGAATTTTAATTGACTTAAAAGTAGCCCAACATTATATTCTGTAATGTATAACCAATCCCCATAGGTCTCTAGCTATTTGTTCAAGCTGGTGGGTGATCCTGTTAAGCCTCATTTGTTTTTGTTTACCCTTTTCCAGAACCTAAATAAAAATAAAATAATTGAAATGTAAAAATAGACCAAAGTTAACTATGATATTTTTCCAACTTTAATTTTCCTTAGGTGAGAACACAAACACAATTATTTTAAACCAGTTTATCAATGTAATTTTACTCTGCATCTCCCAGAGCAAATCATGTTAACCATTCTTAAAGTGTTTTAGTAATAGCAGTAATATGCAGAATAGCAAGACCATGTGGGTGGGCTACAATTATGCTTCAGAGTGGCTGATGACAGAAAATTCAATGCTGTGTTTGTTAAGTCTTTCAATCAGGCTGGTCTTAGAGAATGCAGCTCCAGGTGAGAATACACCACCACTACAGAGAAGAAAAACAAAATTAGATGCAACTAGAACCAATACTTATTAACTCTCCTCAGCACTATAACGGCAGATTATTTCAGATACAAATCTTGGTCATTTGAAGATCTTGTAATCCCTCCTCCCCCAAAAATTGACAAATGACTAGACATTAACACCCCATACTCGCTGCTTACAGTACTTCAAAAACACTGCAGAGCAGTAAGGAATCCTATAGGCAATGAATTGAGATTTATCTTAATCATTTGATTTGTATAATCTCAAAACATCCTAAATGACTGTATTTGCAGACAATCCTAATGATGTACAAAAGGTCATAAATTCAGCTACTAAAATTACAAATATTTATTGCAGAGTCTGAAACACCACGATGAGCTTTTAAGATTAATTTTAGATTACACAGCAACATCCCCAAGATATATATATAAAACTGATTACTGGTCTAATTACTGCATCATACCAGATCACACTAATCTGATTTTACAGATTCTTCCCTTGACAAATTACATTTATATAGCACGTTTCACGTGGCATTTAGAGTTCCTTGGTACACAAGCATGTCCAAAGGTGCTGGACAGTAAATTGTGTGCATCCAAGCTGGGGGTGGAATCCAGGGAGGGGGGAAGGTAGGAAAATGACCAAAAATACTGTAAAGCAGTTTCACTAACTACCATTACATTCATTGAAGGAAAACTGCTTCACTAATGGTGAGTAAAATGCACAAAATTCATTTGGAGTTTTGATTGGTTTCTTTTGCCTCTAGTTCCCATTGCTTATATGAAACGCAAAATACCTTCAACATGTCCTTCCATTCTGGTTACCGAGTTCAAATATACCCCTCTAGACGCAATAGTACAACTCACCGACCAGGTAGAGACTTGGTCTCCCATAGCATTGTGACAGCTGCTTGCACCATAGCTTTTGGAGTAGTAACATAACCTGGTTCTATGAAAAATTGCACAAATGTTTCAGCAACACAGTTAGAGAAATCTGGATAACATAAACTGTTGCTTTTTAAAATCATACCTTTGCCAACTTTCATCCATATTGGCAAGTGGGGAGAAAACAGAGGCAAAGCAATGCACTCTAATTGGATTACACAATTTACAAATAAAAATTCAGGTACAATTTTAACATTAAAATTTTCCTATTAAGTTATAAATTTCAGAATAGTATTCCAAATAAAATGTAGCAACTGACAATGGGTAATTTGCAATAACTAACTTCTTTCAACAATAATATTTTGTGCAGAAACAAAGAAAACATGCTGACGTACTTAGGATTTTAGCAGGATTTCTAGTGTTTAGGATTTAAAAAATAAGAATTAACAAATGTTGCTTGAGGACAGTAGGCTGAGGAAATTCAACTCAGATATTGTCCTACATAAGTATAGGCCATTGTCTGATCCCTTCAACATGAAACAAGTGTAGTCATTTGTCTGCACTCCCAAATTTAACATGATTCTGAGGGGGAACTTGCAGCTGTTTGGTTTTTACTTTCTAACAACTAGTCACAGAGTAGCACTGCTTCAGTCTCCACGTCAGCTGCTGAACCTGGATATTGTGCTGATCTCTGTGCCAGTTGCTGCTGTATGAGCAATTTACCAGTTCAACAATAAAAATAGCTCTGTTGAAAAACAATCTTGCAAGCTATGCAGTGAGCACAGCCCCAAATCTCTCTCCACAATCACCAAAACAGGTACATTCAGAAAGTAACATGATCTCAAACTTCTTCTCTCCCCTCCTCCATTTTAGTTCTAGAAAGCTGTCAACTATTAAAATGGAAGGGTGAAACTAATTAACTAATTCCTGGATCTCTGGCAGCGCTCCTTTTACCATTTGCATTGATCTACCCTTCAATTCCTCCTTCCCCAACCAATCTGAGATGAGGAACTTGCTCTGCAGCAATACATTGGTGTTGCAATACTCCCATCACACTATAATACTCAATTTGCTAGATTTTTAATTCAAGTCAAGTGAGTTAGTGTGCTTATAGCCATAGCTCTAAATTGCCATAGCTCTAAATGAACCAGGTTTGTAGGAGAAAGTATTTTAAAATCCTAAAGAGAGTCAGCATCTTAAGACTATTATTGATTGCTTGTTTACCAGGTCCTTTCACTTCAGTGAAAATCTTGACGTTAGGTTTTGATTGCAGAGGATCTTGATCAGGGCCATAACCTACACCATAAAATCTCATGCTGAAAGTGGTCCCTTCCATCTGCAAATACAAATAATCTTTCTCAAATTCAGTTTCATTTCCAACCAGACATTTTTTTCTCCAATTTAATTTAGCCAAGACAGCCTCATGCCTGTAAGTTGGATAAAATAATTATAATACAAAAATGTAAGCGCTTTACAGAAAGGAATGTTTTCTGCTGAACAATATTGGAAGCATATTCTCAAATATGCTTCTTTCTGCACACAGTCAAAGTATGGGGGGAATATAGAAGCACAGAATTTTGCCAAGATGTGTACAATTTTAATCATAAGGCATATCAAATTTGCTTTTTAACCTCTGAATGATTTACTCAAAAAAAACGGTGCCTACACATGTACAAAGAGAACTTGTATAAAGATTTGTTTTCCCAAATTAAAAACATATATAGGTTGATTAGATGGTTAACACCTCTCAGAGGGGAAGTTTAGTCAGTGCTCGACAGGCTGCTGGATAAGGAGCCAAAAGGGGATGAATAATCAAAAGACAACATTCAACTATTTATGCATTTTGTTTCAGGTAGAGTTCGAGAGAGAAAGAAAGAGGCACATTTTGATGAAGATTTTGATTAGTATTGTAGCCAATTTATATTTTGCACAGTATCTGCAATGGGGCCAGTCCAAAATAGTGTGGATAAACTGGTTCTCTACTGTACTTTACCTGTTTTATAGTTGGTCCTTCCTTTGAAAACATTCCAAATGAGAAAAATTCTGGGTACTGAATAAAACAAAAGGGAGGAGTGTAAGCCAGCACATTTTCTAGAAAGGTGTAATAAAAATTCAATTTACAGTGGATTCTTTTTCCAGTTGACCAATGATACATAAATCACTTACTTTGATTAAAAGTTTTCTTCCGAAACTAAATTTAGTAAAGCACCAGAAGAAGAAGCCAACCATCATCAGTGCCACCACTGAGCTAATTCCACCTACAGCAACATAGGACCCGTACTGGACCTAGAGTGAATCAACCAGAGACATTGAAGAGCAGCCAATTAAAAACTGCAGTGAAATAATTCCCAAATGCATGATAGTTGAAAAGGTATTAATGAACTAAAATGCATTAAGAATATAGCTGTGTGGGAATTAAGCTCAATAAACATAAATATATAATTTATCAAAATAAACAGATAGCTGGTTCCTTACAGTTGCTAAAATAACACCAAAGTAGTACAATTACAAAATGGCCAGGATATCTCTAACATGTGTGCTCTCCAATTCGTGGGCTGCCTATGTACAAAGGGTAAACAAAAGAGGAAGGGAAGAAAAGCACCCCCTCCCTCCATTGCTCACTGGTCAAACTACCAATATTTACTTCTCCACAATGTTGTGAGCTTTATTTATTTTGCAATCCTTTGAGAAATATTAGTTTCTGGTAGAACAACTTACATACTGGCAGCCTTGACAATTAACTGCAAATACAGTCATTACACTTTACAGTAAAATCCTGAGTTGCCCATTGAGACTTTGACAACGAGATAAGGTGCTATGTTGCGATGTGCAACTGGAGCTGGAACTCCAGTGAAGCCAGACATTCAGACATGGGTTGTACTATTCACAACCGTGTTGTCCTGGGAGGAGGATAACTGGCAATGGTAAGGATCCCTTCCTGTACATGCTGTGGAATATCTACAAAATTCACTGTCTCAGATACTAACTTACTCCCAATGCAGCCAGAACCCTAACCCACCTAAAAAGCTACATGAATATATACATTAGTTAAAGACAAATTTTAAGATCCTTGTCCTTACTTTCAAAATGCCTCTGCAGCCATCTATACCCCACCCTAGCACCATGTGTTCCCAATTCCTCAGCTCCACCAACATTGGCCTGCTTCATGTCCTTGCCTCACTGTCAATGGGCAAACTTTCAACCACTTTGCCCATCCCTTTACCTTCTCAGGAACTCTCTTCTGAAATCCCTTCACCTCGCTCCCTAATTTCTTCACTTTCAAAATCCATCTAAAATCCTACCTTCCCCTTCCGCCCTGCCATTTTCCACCCAGCTCAAGACTCCCATTTCATCTCTGTAAAGTGCTGAGACATTTTCCTATATGAAAAACACTAAAGTGCAATTTGTTGTTGTTTGACCAGGGCTATCCAAGTGAAATATACTAATTATAACAATAAAAAATGCCTCTGTCATAGGGGTCCTGTGAGTATTTAACTAGGCTTATGAAAAGCATCACTTAACATTTGCGGTGAGTCACTATAAAATATGCAAAGCTAAGTAGATTAAAAACAGACTGGAATTTCAAGAAAATGGAATGTACTTACAGGTTGTTCATCGAAGTTCTCATACAGATAACGCTGTGTGCGTTTGACGACAGCAGGATCAGATCCAATGAATGGAACAGCATATTGATTCACTTCATTACTGTAAAATACTGAACCTCTACAAAAGGAAAAAGGAAAAGACACTAAGTTCTATCCTGCCAATTTCTTTTACTGAGAATTTATATTAAATCTAAACTGGAAAAATAACAATCTGACAAGAACTGAAATTGGAATTTAATGTTTAAAAAATCCAAACCATTCCAAAATATAACTTGCACACAGAACCAAATAGTCAGGTTAGTTAGGAAAAATCCATATTTTTGTGTATCTCACCTTGATCTTATTTTGGTCCCAACAAAAGGAAGGGGTTTATGTCCAAACTGTCTTCTCAGTTTCCTCAGAGAATCCCGATCAGAAAAGCCATAGACTGCCGACTGCCAAGTTGTAGCGTGACCACAGCCACCCTATTATAGGAGATAGAAAACATTCTTAGAAGTAGAAGCGGAAAAAAAGCTTTTCAACTGAAACAAAGTTCTGTTATTGTACATGCGTTTTTCACCAGGCTTCACTAGATAGAAATAATAACAATAATAATACTTGCATTTGATATAGCGCCTTATCACATCTTCGAGAATATTCTGTAAAGTGAATTGACCGTATATTTTGTGGGCAAAACGTGGCAGCCAATTACGCACAGCAGTGTCCCACAAACATTTGTGGAATGAGTGACCAATTTATTATTATTTTTGAAGGAATTATTACCCCCAGAAAAGCGATACAAAAAATTGACTAACAGCCAGATTCCTACTTACTGCTAGGTAAACAGAGGTGTATGGAGAAAGGAAACTTACCCAACATTTCACCCTGCCGGGAATCAAACCCCAGTCACTCACTTCTGAGGCGAGTTCTCTAACCACTAAGCTACAGGACTCAGGGCACAGATGAGAAGAACTTTGACTAAATTTTTCTCTTCCTCGCCCAGGATCTCTCTGAGACCAGTTAACCGTACCAATTGCTGGCAGAGTTGAGATGAGGAACTCAGCACAGACCAAGGAGTCTAACCTGGGATCTTCTTCAACTGTACAGCTCAGTGTTTCATCAAACAGTGGATTACAAATTGAATAATCAAGATACTGTGATGATCATTTTTTCGAATAAATATTTTCAAGGAAATAAATACAGGGATCAATCTAGATTATTGGCAAGAAAGGATTCCAAGAAGGAATTCAAACCATTTGCTGTGTGCAGCCATTAACAAGTTTTTAGAAAAGTTGTCTACATTTGAGAAATAAAGGTGTTAAAAAAATGGTAACTATTAAAGCCATTCTATGGTAATAAATTAGTAAGGTGCACATTCCACCTTACTAAGCCAGTCCGGAGCCTTAGCATCTTGTTTGACCCTCAACTATACTTTCCACCCCACATCTGTGCCATGACCCCCTCTGCCTTCCCCCACCTCTGCAATATCACCCAGCTCCGCCACTGTCTCACACCAGAGGCCACCGAAACCCTCATACACGCATTCATAACATCCAGGCTTGACTATGCAAACTGTCTACTGTCAGCCTCCCCAGCTCCTTCCTCCATAGGCTGCAGATCATCCAGAACTCTCCCGCTAGGCTCCATGACCCTATCACCCGCATCCTCCCCGACTCCACTGGCTTCCCATCACACGAATGATACAGTTCAAGATCCTGGTCCTCACTTTCAAAGCCTTCTAGGGCCTTGCTCCCCACCTACCTCTGCAACTTCCTAACCCCCTACCATCCTGCCCACGCTCTCCGCTCAGTAGGCTCCAGTCTGCTTCACATCCCCCGCCTCGCCCACCTCACCATTGGCAGGCAGGCCTTCAGCCCCCACCCTCTGGAACTCCATCCTACAGTCCCTCCACCTTGCCTCCTTCAAGACCCATCTCAAGACCTTCCTCTTCGACCATGCTTTCAATCACGTTTCATCCCCCCACTGCCCTCCATCAATCCCAACCCCCAGCTCAGGTCCAAAATAATGACTGTCCAGCGCCTTGGGACATCCTCCCAACGCGAAAGGTGCTATACAAATGTAATTTTGTTGTTATTTGAGTCGTAATGTGGAAGGTGATATACATCAGTGTTCATCATTTTAATAGCTTCAGATCATAACTGATAAAGATGTTTTTAACAAGAGACAAACCTCAGGCCCAGACTGGAACAACAGGAAGCTTTCAATAGAACTTAAGGTACCTAATAGGAGATAAAGTAAAAGCAGTTTTAAAAATCTTATTCTCAAAGCTAAAAAAAAATCTGTAGGACAAGTAGAGTTTTAGGAATCTAGTCTTGTGAATTTCTGCTCATCAATTAAAGAAGATACAAAACTCCCCTGAACATCGCACCAGTAACACCCAAGTAAATCAGCTAGCTTGCTAAATTAATGCCAATTGGTTTGAGGTCAGGTTTTGAGGTGCAAACACATCTGTATTGAAGAACTCATTTAGACTACCCAATGATAAAAACAGGATGTTTCTAGGGTTACAAAATCCCCAAAGTTAAGCCTAAATGGTGCAGACACCATGAAAACAGATAAAAACCAATACACAGGACTATGAGAAGTACTAAAGCTTATTAATTTTAAAGGATACTACTATAAATTAAAATATACAATAAACGGAATGCTCAATAGAATACAAATATGGAATCAAATGAACCAAATTGAAAAACATAGTACATCACGTCAATAATACAAATACCTTATCACAGCTTCCTCATTCATACATTATTGAAGATTGCAAATTGAATAATAGCTTGAGGCAGCACAATGCATTGATAATATTAATACTCCTTGCATTTGATATAGCGTCTTATCACATCTTCTTGATGTCTCAAAGCGCTTCACAGAATATACTGTAAAGTGAATTAACTATATATTTTGTGGGCAAATCATGGATTGAATGACCAATTTTTTTAAAAAAGGAATTATTACCCCTGGAAAAGCAATCCGCCAATTGACTAACAACCAGGTTCCTAATTACTGCTAGGTAACAGGCGTGTGAAGTAAGGAAACTTGCTCAACGTTTTGCCCTGGTATTCAAACCCAGGTCTCTCACTTGTGAGGCGAGTGACAAATTCAAGATCCTCACCCTCACCTACAAGGCCATTCACGGCCTTGCTCCCTCCTACCTCTCCGACCTACTATCCCCCTACTTAACTGCCCTTACCCTCCGTTCCTCTGGCTCCGGTCTGCTCCACATCCCCCGCCCCACCATCGGTGGCCGGGCCTTCAGCCTTTCGGCTCTGGAATTCCAACTGCCAGTGCCTTCGCCGCTTCCTCCCTTTCCTCCTTCAAGGCCGGTCTCAAGACCTTTTTCTTTGACCGTGCCTTCACCTCCCCTCTCGACTCTACCCCCCCTCGCTCCCTCCCTTCCCCCCCCTCACCCTCACCATTTCCCCCCTGCTCGCTCCCTCCCTTCCCTCCCCTCACCCTGACATATTCGGGTCCTGACCCAACTGTCCAGCGCCTTGGGACGTCCTCCCAACGTGAAAGGCGCTCTATAAATGGAATCTTGTTGTTGAGTGCTCTTACCACTGAGCTACAGGACTCCACAAATGATGCTGTAAACACACAGACCATGACAGGCCAAGATTTAAAACTGCAGTCACTAACAAAATGCTAAGGTGCTCCGTAACAGGGATGAGAAGTATTTCAAATACAATTTGAAATTACTGGACTTAAGTTGCTTACATAAGTTACATTACCTTTCAGCTGGTTCCTGGTATAGAGTACACCCATATCTGCTGGAATGGAATCAAACCCACAGCTTCCAACCACGTACACCCCCTGTTCAGCAGCTTGGTCGTTATATTTCTGTTGCATTGCCTCCAAAAACTGCAGGAATAGGACAATCAATGTTGTTATACACACACACGCTCAGCTAAAGAAAGTGGATTTCACAATCATCTACTAATTGATATTGCAACAAGCACACATCAGTTGGCAGTTGATCAAAAGTCATTCTCCGCTAATATCACCCAACTCAGTAGATCAAATTGACTTAAAATTTGGAAAAAAACTGAATTTAGGACAATGGGTTTTGAAATATACCAGTTGGTGAAAACCCTGATTGGTTGTTCCTCAGTACACAGACATCACCAATAATGTACATATTGTACACAATCACTTCTGTAATAATAATTATTATATTATTATTAATAACTTAGTACACTGAATGGCCATGATGGTAATGTGCTAAATAATACCATATCACCTTGGAATTTTTCCCTTGAAATGTGAGATCAGTTCTTCAGATTTCGAGGCCTGCACAAAAATTTAAATTGGTCCCCAAGATCCAAAAAGCCTGTACCCTGAAGGATTGATAGCTAGGAATATGCACAATAATAATGAAGCAGGACTCTATTAAAAAACAGATTAGCTTTCCAGAAAAATCCATGCAAAAAAAAATATTCTCATTACAAAACTGAATTATTCTAATTTGGGTTGAATCACTTAATAAATGGAAAAGAAGCTGTGTAAATACCTGGGGTTCACCACAAATGTCAACATAGTGCGCTCCATTTTCAACACAGGCCTTGACAACTGGCTCTCCAAATAACCTGTACTAATGACATAGGCAGATATCACTTCTAGCAAAAGCAGGTTAAAGACATGTCACAGGTGACAAGGCAATCTATTTATCCAATTGCTATTTGAAACTATTGATTTTGAAGATTGTTTAATTTTCAAATATTTTACAGTTATACGCCAAATATTCTAAGTATCAGCTTCCAAACCAAATTTTACATTTTTAACTCATTTAAACCACTTTTTAAAACATATTTTCAAATTAATGTCTATATGAAAGTCTACCTTGTGCACTAGCACTTGGGATTTCAGCCTATTTTTAAACTGACATTATACCTAATGTCCAACTGGTCAACACAATCTAAAAGCAATTCTTCATGTGAACTGACATTTCATTTTTAAAAATCTGGTCAACAGATTTTTAAATGAAGGCTCTAGTGTGGGCAAATCATTTCCCTGCTAATATTATCTAATCTTCCTTTCTAGATTCTCTTGAGCGCTTAAAATATTGAAACAAATACATTAAGGTATTAAAAAAATAAATCTTGAACAGACTAAATACAAGGTGATGATAAAACAATCTACCAGAATAACAAATTCAAAGAGCTGCAGTATGTGCAGTAAATCTTGACAATGCCTCGTACATGAGTACCCAAACACTGGCCAACAATCCTCCATAAATTGGTCTTTTGGCCATTTATGGGGCTCTACTGTGCACAAAACGGTTATCGCATTTGCCTACAAAAGTAGTTGCTATGCCTGATAATATTTACTGTAAAGTGCTTTGAGATGTTTTGATAAGGCACTATAAAAATGCAAGTTATTTTGAGGTACTTTCTATGTACTACATATATTTCCTTGCAGCTTGTGTAGTGTTACACAAGATAAAAAACCATCATTATAAGCATATTTATACTTAATAAGGTATTCTTTAACATAATACCCTGAAAGATACTGGTAATACACATCAGGTTTAAATAAAATTGACAACACTACTGTCCTCCAAAAGACAGAGCTATGTTTACTGCTTTCACACAAAGTATACTTACTGGTCCGACACAGCTGAGAATCACAGTGCCCTGCTGACACATGGCAGCAAGTGAAGATGGATCATTTACATCACAGATGATTATAGAAACATCGGACTTCAGGTCTGTGTTACCTGAAACACAACATGATTTTCTTCTCTTATGACTGCAATACATTTCATTCAACCTTGGCACAATTTGTTCATTCAGCAAACTTTATTCATATTTTACAATACCATGCTTTCTTTGTGGACTTTTCAATCATGTTCATGATAGATAAGCGCTCGGAAATTTATATAGCATTCACATGAAGGGCGCTATATAAATGCAGGTTGATGCTGATATTCCATAAAGGTATTAAAACAGCACAGCAACATTTAAAAGGTAACAAAATAACTTATAATAATATAACTTTTAGGAGTACAGCACATCTAATTGTAAAATACAATGCAGAGACAAAGCAAAAGCTTTATCAAATCCCATTTCTTACAAAATGACCTAAAGCAGTTCTTGTCCAAAAGGTCAGTAAACTTGGATCTCTCAATCACCAAGTAATTGGCAAGCAATTCTGCACAGATCTTTCCACCATCCCTAAGCCATTAGTCCAGACAGCTGAAAAAGCTTTGTTTTGTAGAAAATTGATTGCTGTGAGCTGGTAAATGTATCCAGATTTGTTGGGTTGGTAGCAAAGGAAATATTGCTAAATATCATATCTCCAATTGGTGGAATCACAATTCAATGGGATATTTTACTGCATCTTGGCAGTAAATGATTCTACAAACATTGGAAACTTTCAAGGCACCAGATGAGCATTATTCTGGTATTCCACCCAACGCCGACAGGCGGGTCCTTGACAACTATAAACTGTAAAAGAATCAAAACCACACCTGACAAATGACATTATTTTTCAAAAAAGAGTGACTAACCATAAAGTAAAGCTTTGTACATTAAATTGAAATTACAATCGACCTTGCCTTTTTTTAATTTAACCATATTTCACATCTAAAATAGGTTTATAAAAAGGCAGAATATTTGAATAACTGATGTCCTTTTTAAAATGCATTAATTGCAAAATGAGTAAAATGACGACAACAACAAAATGACATTTATAGAGCGCCTTTCATGTCGGGAGGACGTCCCAAGGCGCTGAACAGTCAGGTGTTCGGGCCTGAGCATGGGGGAGGGGGGGTGTAGGGGTGAGGGAAGGCACAGAGGTGGGAGGGACCGTGGGATGGAGTTCCAGAGTGTGGGGGCAGAGAGGCTGCAAACCCGGCCACCAATGGTGGGTTGGGTGGGAGACATGGAGCAGGCCAGAGCCCGCTGAGTGGAGGGAGTGGGCAGGCTCGGAGGGAGTCAGCAGGTCAGAGAGGTAGGAGGGGCAAGGCCATGGATGGCCTTAAAGATGAGGACGAGGATCTTGAACTCGATCCTCTGAGGGATGGGGAGCCAGTGGAGTCGGGCGAGGGTGGGAGTGATGGGGTCACAGAGTCTGGTGCGTGAGAGTACATGAGCTGCAGAGTATTGGATAATCTGCAGCTTGTGAAGGGAAGAGTTGGGAAGGCCGATGAGGAGGGAATTTCCATAATCGAGCCTTGATGTGACGAATGCGTGGGTGAGGGTTTCGGCAGCCTGAGGGGTGAGACAGTGGCGGAGTCTGGCAATGTTGCAGAGGTGTGGTAGGCAGTGCCGGTCATGGCGCGGATGTGGGGGAGAAAGGACAGTTCAGGGTCAAACAAGACACCCGGGTTCCTGACTGGCTTAGTGAGGTTGAGTGCGCAGCCGTGGAGGCCGATGCTGCCAACGCCCGAGGTGCGGAGGCGCTGGCGCGAGCTTTTCTGGGTAAAACTTTCACTTACAGGTGAGATGATGGGGTGGCGCAAAGGAGAGTGAGAGGCAGCTGCCAGGACACAGCACGCAAACACAGACAGATACAACACAAAATATATTTGTAAAGCGCCTTTCACGTCAGGAATTAGGACCCGAGCCAGGAGGGGGTGGGGGGGGTTGGGATCAGGGAGGGTGGAGGGCGTGGAGAGGGCGGAGAGCGGAGGGCGCGGAGCGCGGAGAGGGTGGAGGGTGGAGAGGGCGAAAGGGTGGAGGGCAGAGGGCAGAGGGCAGAGAGGGTGGAGGGCGCGGAGGGCGGAGAGGGTGGAGGGCGGAGAGGGTGGGAGGGCGGGAGGTGGAGGCGAGAGGGCGGGAGGGCGGAGAGGGCGAGAGGGCGGGAGGGCGGAGAGGGCGGGGAGGGTGAGGGCAGAGAGGGTGGGAGAGGGCGAGGCCATGGCCGCGGATGGCCTTAAAGGTGAGGGCGAGGATCTTGAACTCGACCCTCCGGGGGATGGGGAGTCGGGCGGGGGCCGGGGGCGGGGGCCGGGGGCCGGGGCCGGGGGCCGGGGGCCGGGGGCCGGGGGCCGGGGGCCGGGGGCCGGGGGCCGGGGGCCCTGTGGGTGAGCTGCGGCCCTGTGGAGGGGAGAGTCGGGAAGGCGGACGAGGAGGGAGTTGGGAGAGGCGGAGTCTGGATGTGATGAAGGCGCTGAGCCGGAGACACCGACACTCGGAGGCGGGTGGGGGTGAGCCCAGGCCCGGCCCAGCCCAGGCCCAGCCCAGCCCAGGCCCAGCCCCAGGCCCGGCCAGACCGCCTCTCCCGCCCCAGGCCCCCCCTGTCCTTACCCAGGCGGCTGCTCAGCCTCTCCAGCACCTCTTGCAGTCTCCCGCGGCTCCTGCCGGCCACGGCCCAGGTCAGGGGCCGGAGCTGAGCCGCCTCAGACGCCACCCGGACCACCTCTTCCACCACGAACTGCCCGGTGAAGCCGGAGGCGCCGAACACCACCAGGTCGAAGGGTCTGCGCGCCGCCATAGCCCCGAGTCAGGGCCGGGGGGGGGGGGGGTGTGCGGGGAAGGGGGAGCAGGAAATCAACCGGGTTTGTAGCCAAAGTCCACCCGACACTCACTGACTGACTGCCCCGCCCGCCTGTTACGAGCAGTAGATTGAGCGGCTGATTCAAGTCAGTGCTGTCCACACTGTGTAAGAGAAGGTCTTCAAGAGAGGCGGAGCGAGGCGAGGCGGGGGGGGGGGGCGGGGGGGGGGGGGGAGGCGGGGGGGGGGAGAGGGGCGGCGGGGGGGGAGGAGAGAGGCGGGTGGGGAGAGGGGGAGAGAGGGGGAGAGGCGGGGGGGGAAGAGGGCTGGGGGTGGGCGGGGCTGGGGGGGGAAGAGGCGGGGGAGGGGGGAGGCGGGGGGGGGGGAGAGGGGGGGAGAGAGGCGGGGGGGGAGAGGGCTGGGGGTGGGCGGGGCTGGGGGGGAAAAGGCGGGGGGGGGTGACCCTGATTCGCTGGGGACCCTCAGCAGGTCAGGCGGATGGTGTGGGGAGAGGAAAGCTATAGAGCGACGATCTTCCGCCTCTTTTTCACGTGTGGTTCACAGCGCGTGGAATGGCTCGGGTGCCTTTAACTGAAGCCCCGCCCCCTCGGCTCCCGCCCCGCCCCGCCCCTCGGCTCCCGCCCCGCCCCCTCGGCTCCCGCCCCGCCCCTCGGCTCCCGCCCCGCCCCCTCGGCTCCCGCCCCGCCCCTCGGCTCCCGCCCCGCCCCCTCGGCTCCCGCCCCGCCCCCTCGGCTCCCGCCTCTATTTGAAAGTGAGGAGCGCGCGCGCTGGCGGTTTGACAGCGGCCGTTGGGCGACGGTTGGTCTGAGCGCAGCGGCTTCACCACCACCACCACCACCAACGTCAAACGGTTCCCGAGAGGTCGGCGCACCGATGGGGGTCAGTAACCCGCTGCTGTTCTGCCAGTGCACGGCCTACCTGCTCGCTTTCGTGCTGGCCCTCTTCGCGGCGGTGCCGTTGGCCCAGGATGAGCACGAGCTGAAGGGCCGCTGCCTGCTGTACGCCACCGGCCGCTGGCAGCGCGAGGGGGAGGCCAGCGCCGGGCCGGGCCCGGGCCAGAGCCAGAGCCAGAGCCAGGGCCAGGCTGAGGCACAGCGGCTGCGGTTCCGCTTGCAGCGCTGGGGCCCGCAGTCCGCCTGCCGCTTCAGCCTCTTCATGGGCATCTTCAGCTGCATCTACTCGGCTCTGCAGGGCTTCAGGAGCTCGTACATCCTCTACAAGGGCTTCCAGGAGTAAGCACAGCCCGACACGGCGCCTCTTGTAGTCCGGGAAGGGGTCTCTCTCGGGAAATAACCTCTGTCAGTCTCCGTCTTGTTGGTGCGCTAACATTTCTGGTTGCGGGCGGTTCTTACACTCACCCCTCTCTCTCTCTCTCTCTCTCTCCGCTCCAACTCTCTCTGCCTCTTCTTTTCCTCCGAAACTCCACTCCGGGCTACTAAGTTGTCGTTGCTTTGCGTTATAGCCCACACCCCCCCCCCCCCACACACCCCCCCCCCCACCACACCCCCCCCCCCCCCACACACCCCCCCCCCCCCCACCCCCCCCCCCACACCCCCACAATAAAAAGAAAAACGAGTCGTCTCAAGTGCGAGAGTCGAGTCGCGAAGGGTTGGTAACCTGTGAAGTGTCGGGACTCACTCACACACACTCACTCACTCTCACACTCTCACTCACACACACACTCTCACTCACACACTCACACACTCTCACTCACACACTCTCTCACTCACACACACTCTCTCACTCACACACACTCACTCACTCTCTCACTCACACTCTCACACACACTCTCACTCTCACTCACACACTCTCACTCACTCACACACTCTCACTCACACACTCACACACTCTCACTCACACACTCACACACTCTCACTCACACACTCTCTCACTCACACACACTCTCACTCACACACACTCTCACTCACACACACTCTCTCTCACTCTCTCACTCACACTCTCACACACACACACACTCTCTCACTCACACTCACACACTCTCTCACTCTCACACACTCACTCACACACACTCTCACTCACTCACACACTCTCTCACTCACACACACTCTCACTCTCTCACTCACACTCTCACACACACACACACTCTCTCACTCTCACTCACACACACTCTCTCACTCTCACTCTCACTCACACTCTCACTCTCACACACACTCACTCACACACACTCTCACTCACTCACACACACGCTCCGGGTTGGGTGTCTCTGCTCCAGACATTGATCTCGATTTGCACTTCTCTGTGGTCGCTGTGTGAACGCGAGTTCCCGAGGATTGGCCCCGGAACACTCGGGATTTTCTGGGGTTTTTTTTTAAAAAAATTCCCTGTGCGGCTCCTGCCCTTCAGGTCCCCAACGAGTTCCAGGTGCACCGAGTGTCGGTGGCCAAGTCTTGTTTAGCTGCAAAACTCTCTATAAAGATCCCAAGCGGCTGTTCCTTAAACAAAATGCGTGAATGTAAGCAAACGTGTGCCTGGTCGGGCTTTTTTTTTTGATATATTAATAAGCAACGAAAAATATCACTGTGACTTTATGGCTCAACTCGTTTGCGAAATCTTTTCTTATAAAGGAAAGCGCACGTTGCTTTTCAATGATTGTGGAAGGCGGTTGAGAGTTTTGCTGAATATCCATCGAACACCCCACACAGCTTGTTCAGGAGGAACTGTTGGTTACAATACGCTCTTCGTGAAGCATTGGCTTGACAATGTGGAGTTGTCTTTCGTTGATGACCAACATAAATTGGGTCACTCAATCCACAACTGTCTGTGTGCAATTGGCTGCCCTGTTTCGCCACAAAATATATAGTCAAGTCACTTTACAGTATATTCTGTGAAGCGCCTTGAGACGTCTCAAAGACGTGATAAGGCGCTATATCAAATGCAAGGATTATTATTGGAGTATCTTACTCTAATCCAGGTATATGGCATTGAAATGAAGTGGAATGCTATCACAGGGAAATTAGTTATTACTAAAATATATTTTAAAAAATTAATGCTGGTTATAAGATTAATAACGGGATGTTTCTTACACTATATTAAATGTAATTTTACTCAAATAATGAAGCAAAAAAAAAAACCCCACATGCAATTGAAACAGGAGGTTGACTGTTGGGTTGAAGCTTGATGCGTTAGCAGCACTTCATTAAGTGCTGATAGAACATAATTCCCTTTGTGAAGAATCCATGGGACCCTTTTTTTCTTTTTCAATGGACATTTAGGATGACACTGGTTGTGTGGTTGCCAGTTTAGTAAGTAAAGGACACTATTTTTGTTGATTGTGTGTCTAACCTTTTCAGTACTTTAAGTGAAGACATTGGATTCGTTTTTTTGTACCCTTATTCATCAATAAGTACGAGTCGATTGTTTACCCTTAAGAGGAAACCTTTTGCCTCTCTGCCACAATGGCCTGAAATTTCATCTGCTTTGTGACACCATTTTGCCTTTGGTCACTCAGTCCATGACTGTTTGTGGGACATTGCTGTGCTGTGTTTCGCCCACAAAATATAGTCTATTCACTTTACAGTATATTCTGTGAAGCACTTTGAGACGTCTCAATGACGTGATGAGGTGCTATATCAAATGCAATTATTATCATTAACACTAATGACCTGGATGTTCTGATCTAAAAAGCTCATTTAAATTTTTAGTTTCATTATGCACAGGTTTTACATTTTCAGCAATTAGTTGAAACCAAGCATTTATTCTAAACTCATTTGTCCAACAACTTCCTATTGAGTGAAAAACGGGAAACTGACTTTGATAAATGGTTAAACTCCTAAAGCATGTTGTCATTGAATTATTTTTACTTGCACCTTGAAATTTGAATTATGAATTGAATTTAAAATATTTAAATATGAATGGAAAAGCCCGAAAGACTACTTAATTTGACATGGATAATGGAGAAAGCATTTTGTAGTTTCTTGATTGTGTTTATCTAAAAGGGTATAAGTTATAAAGGATAGCTTTAGGAACCTGTTTATGGCTCACAAATAGAATAGAATAGGAAAGGTAATTAGTAGATGATGGTTATCCAAAACTGCAAAAAGAATTGTTGCATCTTAAGTATTTGCACAACATATGCAATTTGAACAATCCATGAAATTATTTTGTGATTTCCCTTTCCAGATCTTCCTTTTCAGAATTTATAAGCATGATGCTTAGTAGTGCCATTGCTTTACTGATGCTGATTGCCAGTGCCACAGTGAGTGATGGCCTTAATGTATGGTGCAACTCGGTTACAGACGAGGGCAACATGACAATCAGGTATGAAATAGGTATCTGAATTGAACCGTCACAGTACATTATTGTATCTTTTAACATACACAGCCTTGGTGAAATGTTGTGGTTCAAATGGGAACTTGTTTACAAATACTTAATCTAGCAATTGAAAACCTTTTGTTCAGGATACCTCTGAACTCATTCCTGACGTGTACAGCCTAGCATTATTTAGTTTGCCTTCTTGTCCTATTTAGTGGCATAAATGCTAAAGCTGTCTCCAGGAAGCTTGTTTACTCTTTTGGGCTGAATACTTTACTCAGCTATCAAGTGGCCATTATTCATATGTCATCCTTGATGCTAAGTCCCACAGGCTATTTGACTGGAGGGGAGTGATGAGCCAGTTCCTCTTTCCAACAACTCCCATGTTGAATCTTAACAGTATTTAATGTATCTGTCTTTTTATAAATATTATTGAATTTCCAAGCTTTGTATTCAGTGCGAAAATCCCCAGCCTAGGAAAGCTGCATCTGAGAACATCGCCTTAATTATGACTTTATGTGATCGGAACTGCCCCCAAAATGTCACCTGAAATTCATTGTGTGATAGTGCAGCATCTTGATTCAATCATTTCAGAATGTAAAACCATCAAAGGCAATTAATTGGGGAGGTCTTCCTCCTCTGGCTTGCCTTTCTTTGTGTATAAACACATGTATGAGGCTGAATTTATACATGTATGTCTGGTGTGGAGACTTCATCACGGTGTTGGGATTTGGCATCGGTGACACGGAGTGTCAAAAAACGTATAATAATTTGGTCACTCAATCCAGGACTTTGCGGGGCATTGCTGTGGAAAATTGGCTGCCACATTTTGCCACAAAATACAGTCAATCCACTTTACAGTATATTCTGTGAAGCGCTTTGAGACGTCTCGAAGATGTGATAAGGTGTTATATCTTATAATATAAGGTGGAGTACTGTAGCTCAGTGGTTAGAGCACTCGCCTTGCAAGCGAGACACCTGGGTTCATTTCCAGGCAGGACGAAACCTTGGGCAAGTTTCCTTACTCCACATAGAGCCTAATAATAATCCCTCCAAAACAAAAATAATAAATTGGTCATTTTCAATCCATGACTGTTTGTGGGACACTGTTGTGCGCAATCGGCTGCCGCGTTTCACCCACAAATATACAGTCAATTCACTTTACAGTCTATTCTGTGAAGCGCTTTGAGACATCAATAAGACCCGAAAAGCGCTATATCAAATGCAAGGATTATTATATTATATGCAAGGATTATATTATATCAAATGCAAGGATTATTATTATTTAAGGAATCTGCTTTATTCTTGGTTCTTGTTGGGCTTGGGGCGGGGAAGAAGGTACCGAGAGTGTTTTCATGGAATCCTTGCTGGCAAATAAAGTACCCTAAAAAGGCAGGTCAATATTGGGGATAGCATGCCCTGACCCTCATGTTCACAGGGGTCAAAATTGGATAATAGATTGAAGGCTATTGAGGTGTCACTATTTTACTACTTCATACCCCTACCCATTAACTTATCAAAGTATTTTTGAAAGTGTTTTGTGGAAAATAAACATTTCTGTGTTATTCCTGTATTGAATTCAGTTTTGGCTTGTGTTTTCTTTTGGACTTCTGCCAGAGGAGGATGTTTTCTCACTTTCACTGACCATTTCTTTAATGGAAATTTACAGAACCCCTGCCCAGATTGTGTAAATGTGTTTAAGTTGGCTTGTTATTGAAGTTAATTAATGGAGTGTTTGGGATGAAATGTCCTGATTTTGTTGAGTCACATTAGCAAGAGAAATAGTGCCTTGCAGCTATAATATCTTCACGCTGCTTTTTTAAAAAAAAAACATAGATTTTTTGGGTCAGCCAGTTGCGAAAATCCATCACCACACTCAAGAGTATCCAAACCAGACTGAGTGAGAAGAATTCCTGCCGCTCCAAGTTCTGCTAAAGAGCCAGATTGGGTGTTCTGTCATCAGTTGTTCCTTGGAGTACAAGTCTGGCACAGTAGCTGGACAACTGAGCCTCAGAGGGTTGATTCCGATATTCCAATGCCACTAATGTCGTTGAATGTTTCAATCTGCCACTTCAATATAAGAACATCTGATGATTTCATTGTTGTGTTACAGTTGCAGAGATGCTCAAGAAGAACCTCTTAATCTGAGAGGGGTCAATCCATTGTTCTATGATCACTTTGGTACTGCACAGGTAAGATTTTACTGGAACAATTGTGCCATTAAAGTTTAAGTGGCTTAAGGTTGAATTTGAGCTATTTTGTTTGTTTACACCTTCTGTTTACTATCCTTTAGTTTGGCCTTTGGTGTGCTTGGGTAGTGTGGATTGTATTGGCATTCCTTGCTTTCCTGAAAATTTCGCACAGTTGCAACAGAGATGACGTTTCCCTAAGGTATAAAGAAACGCTTCTGACCCAGCAATCACAAGGTTTCCATGGAAATGTAACTAGTGTATTTGTTTAATAGCTGTGTGCAAGCTCACTAATAGAAAAGCTGGGACCAACATGTTACTGATTCCAGTGCTTCCATTTTTGATGGATTGAAATGTCCTTTGCTTACTCTTGTAGGTACAGAGCTTCACTCAGAACCAAATGATATGTAAAAATGACATGGGATACAATGTACTGTTGATCTGTTCATTAAATAACCACTTTCTCTAATGTATGTGTGAGGTAAAAATGCAAACTTCCTTTTGCACTATTTGAGGCCATATTTTCGCTGTGAGCAATGTGATGGAGTTAATAGAAGAGAGGAAGTTGTGGAGGTGGGTCATGGAAGGTAGATACTTTAATGTTACAATAAACTAATTGTATTATTTTGCACTAATTGCCATAAAATGTATAATGGAGAAAAATCATGAAAATCAATTTGCACATGAGTTTACACATGTTAATGTATAATGTTACGATTGACTTGGATTTTCAGTTCTACTTCATACTCTGTATTTAAAATCAATAAAGTTATTTCCTTTACTGATGCATTTAATCCTGTTTGTAGAATTCTTTTATTCAAAACAAATTTAAAGGCTTTTTGTCATTTCCAGGTACAGATTGATGGTCAAATTGAACAAACATTTGATAACTTGAAACTTCTTTAGTAAAATAGGGTAAAATTTAGGTCATCTCAGATTACGTATAATCGCTGCTCCATAATAAACATGTTTATTCTGCAATTTGTAACTAAGCAGTATTTGATTTTTATCATTTCTTCTGAGGTCAAATTTGCAACATGGAAAAGTTTCCTTCATTGTAATAAATGTGTATCTGAGATCAATTTGCCTTTCAGATCTAAGCAGATTAATTTTAGCAATCCTGTACACTGCATTTGGAAGTGGTATGAATCACACTAGGAACTATTTATACCAGGAACCATTTTTCTGGAGTTTTTTTCTTTCTCAATCTCAGATGTTCTGAAATTGTTTTCAGCCTCTAAGAATAATAATAATCCTTGCATTTGATATAGCACTTTTTGTGTTTTCTAGACGTCTCAAAGTGCTTTACAGAACATATTGCAAAGTGAATTGACTATATTTGTGGGAGAAACGCGGCAGCCAATTTCGCACAGCAGTGTCCCACAAATTGTCGTGGATTGAGTGACCAAATGTAACCAAGCTGACTGAGTGGAGAGAGAGAGAGTAGAAGCTTAAAACTTTAAGCTTTGAGTATACATTTTGCTCCCCCATTGCTCTTGCACAAAAGTAGTTCTGTTTGAGTTGATTAGTTTTAAAGTGAAGCTGGATAAGTATCTGGAAATAAAAATTTGAAGATATTGAGTGGAGTCCTGGATGGGGGTGTCTTTTGTTACAAGCCAGCAGACACCTCAGTTATTGAAATACAAGGAAAAATAGAATGAACAAAGCCCATTTGGCTCATAGGGCTCATTTTCCACTGACCACATACAACCTCGGATTTTGTTTAAGTGAAATATCTCTCTTTCAATCCTTATAAAGCAGGCTTCTCCCAGTAAGAACACTGATATCTCGAGTCCCTCGGAGAAATAGTCACTATTTTACAGTAAATGCTGTGAAGCTCTTTGAAATGTCTTCTATGTGAAATGGAAAGATTATTAAATGTATCCCTTTTTAGCCATTCTATTTGTATAACTGGCATTTGATCTAAATGCAGATTTAAGTGCTAAGCACATCAATCTAATACAATTATTAGGCTGTCATCTGACAACCACATTTATCATGTACATATTTACTGGAGTGTCATGGTCAGAACATTCAGCCTTAATCTCAGGGTACTGTATTTATTTTAACTTATTTAAATAAATGAAGATTTGCCAATAAGTAATCAGCACAATGTTTTGGAATATTTCTATTATACATAACATTTCTGGGTTAGGGACAAACTATTGGCAATTTCCTGGGGACAGGTACAGATGAACTAACACAACTATGAGGATGAAAGTGGGGATATTAGTGACAGCACAGATTCTGTCAGTTAAACAATACCTTCACAATTGCTTAAATTTTCTTTCTGTAATCTTGTCAAAATATTTGTCTACAGTGGATTTGCAACATTTTCTGCACAACTAAATTAAGAACAGCTCCAGCCACGGTTGTGAGTAAAAGGAATCTTGTAGCTTCAATTGCAATGATCTGAAGTGGTAAGATAGTCCCACAAATGTACTTCATAAAATATCAAGATTAGTTCCAGGCGATAACATTTCCTTCAACAAATATTGTTCTAGGTTCCCCCCATAGAATATTAGCATGCAAATCCATTCTGTTAGTGTTTCTATCTTGGGTGGTTTAAGGAAGTTTACTGTATGAATTACCATGTATCATACTGACATAGTAAATGCTTGTTTTGTTTTGTTTTAAAAAAGTCATTTTATTTTGCAAAGGGAAGAAATTATAACTGAGTCTGATCCTTGTCTGATGCCCTTACTCTCATTTCACAACAGTTGTGGGAAGTGTTTGTGGATTTCTTCCCTCTCCTTCCCAATTTTTGGATCCCCCTTGAATCTGGCCAAACATTGGGCAAAGACTTTCTCACTTGAGAAACAGAATATTAGGGTCAGTATGATCAATAATACATTTGCCTATATGGTTTGATGATATTTGCTGGTGAAAAGCTACATTTTGCCTTCAAGTTCCACAGCTGGGTTGAGTAAAATGAGCCAGGATTCTTGATCGGGATCCTATGATTCCTGGTGAAAGCATACCTCTGAATATTAGATGTGGACAAGGTTAGTTCAGTTCTTGTTGGCTAGGCTCATAGTTCCAGAATAGACAGTTGGAGGGATACTAGAGGATGGCTGATACCTGTGGGCCTGAACCATATTACACAGAAACGGTTTCCTTGGAGCTGAGCTGGCAATGGAAGGTTGAATCGAGCCAACCCTCTGTGGTGGTCTCGGGGGTCTGGTTCCTGAGCTATGCAGGTCTGCAGTATTTCAGGGCATTGACAGGACATGGAAGGGCAGACCACTCACTGGGTACAGGAAATCATCCCACTTAGACCCTGTTAACTCTGCAAGTCAAATCCCTAATGGGTTGGGTGGTCCTAGTTGGACAAACAGCAGGAAAGTTTGCCGGACAGCAATATCAATGGTAAGCTATGTGGTTTTAGCTGGTTAAATTCCAGCAGTAGCCCAATGCACACACTCTCGCCAATCTGTGCCTAATACTTTCTGGAATTAGGTAAGCAGGATGCGGTCCTCCAGGGAGAGAGTGCGCATTCCATTCCAACCTATCTCATACATGGAAATTTCAGCTTGGTTTGGATAAGCAAGGTGATGGGTTTCCACACATATCAGATACCTGGCTGACCCCCAAAAATTTCACAGAATTGTCTTCAGGGGCGTAGAGAAAGATGCAAGGGGTGTTGAGAGGGAAAGGATAGAATGTATTCTGAAAAGTCAAATTGTATTTGCATTCTTTAATTCTCTCCAACCATAATTTCTGCTGGTGTCATTTCAAAGAATACAACAACAACAAGATTCCATTTATAGAGCGCCTTTCACGTCGGGAGGACGTCCCAAGGCGCTGTACAGTTGGGTCAGGACCCGAGCATCGGGGGGGAAATGGTGAGGGGAGGGAGTAGAGAGTCGAGAGGGGAGCTGAAGGCACGGTCAAAGAGAAAGGTCTTGAGACCGGCCTTAAAGGAGGAAAGGGAGGAGGCGGCGAAGGCACTGGGGGATAGAGTTCCAGAGCCTGGGGGCTGAGAGGCTGAAGGCCCGGCCACCGATGGTAGGGCAGTTGGGGCGGGGGGTGTGGAGCAGACCGGAGCCAGAAGAACGGAGGGTACGAGCAGGTAAGTAGGGGGATAGGAGGTCGGAGAGGTAGGAGGGAGCAAGGCCGTGAATGGCCTTGTAGGTGAGGATGAGGATCTTGAAATCAATCCTCTGGGGGATGGGGAGCCAGTGGAGGCGAGCGAGGGTAGGAGTGATGTGGTCCCGAAGCCTGGTGCGGGACAGTACACGAGCTGCAGAGTTCTGAATGACCTGCAGCTTGTGGAGGGAGGTGCCGGGAAGGCCGGCGAGGAGAGAGTTCCCATAGTCCAGCCTTGAGGTGATAAAGGCGTGGACCAGAGTTTCAGCAGCGTGAGGGGTGAGGTTGTGCTGTAGTCTGGCGATATTACATTATAATGCCATGTGTTTCCCTGCCCACATCAGTTAATTTGCTCTTAGGCTTTCTGTTTACGGTTCTTTGAAGTTTTCCACGTACAGCATAATATGTAAAAAAGACTTCATGTGAGAGCAGTTCATGCTGTGTGGGTTAACTTGTTTAAAATGGGACCTGTTGAATATCTGGTTAAGAGTAGCACTAAAGGTTAAAATGAGATAATGAAAATAAAGTTCTTTACAGAGCACATTGGGTACAATGCTATTGGAATAAATCAGATGTTATCTGGAGGAATACAAACATTTGGGATTACTTCTGTGGGTGAACATCAAAATCGTCAAATATTTCAGCACGGAAACAGGATATCACTGTCAGCACTGGTGGTTTTTCACTCCTAATTAGAAATAATCTAATCCCACTCTTCTTCCTATACTTTGTAATATTCCTCTTTTTCAAGCAATGCTGGAATGGATATCCTAAAAATTTGCTGGATTCGTTTGGGGGCTTGGGCGATCTTTAACAGTTTTCCTTTTACCATTTGAAATTAATAAATATCAACAGGAACTTGGTTTATTTTGAGAAGCTAGATTCATAAAGTGACTTTGTCTTGAATTATCTCCCAGATGGAAGTTTCAAATGAAATATTTGAATATGTTGGAGCAAAGTAACAATTCTTCCATTGAAAATATCAAAATAAAGGACACTGTTTCATTTTTGTTATGCTCCAAAATCAGTAATGATTTAATATATGAGTTATTATATTTAAAATGTAATCACAAATTCCCAGAATAGTGGAAGAATATTTTCCCAAACAGTCTCTGACAAATGTATTTTCAGACAGTATACTTTTTGCAATCTTGAGGTCACAAGAAACACTTAGAGATTCAGCTGTTGAATCACAAGGGATTGGTGTTAGACCCAAGCCCATACCCTTGTGTTGCCTCAGTCTAATATCGCCACCTCTGATGGCTCAAGTATCATTGTGCCCACACAGACCACAATAAAATAGCTTAAATTTTGTTCTACTGCTAAAATACATAAATTGGATCTCTAAAGTTTCATTTTCCCACAATTGGAAAGAATATGCTGTTATGTTTAAAAAAAATCATCCCAGTTTGATTCAGCCTAAAGGAGTTTTTACACTACTCCCACATTTGCCTACAGATACATAATCACTACACTTCACTGTAAAATCCAAAGCATTTTGAAATGTCTCTGTGGTGTGACAAAGCACTATATTAAATGCAAGAATTACATATTATACAACACGATGAACATAGGAACAGGAGTAGGCCATTCAGCCCGTCGAGCCTGTTCCACCATTTAATTAGATCATGGGTGATCTACGTCCTTACTAGAATTTTGACTTAAATTTCCCGCTCTCTCCCCGTATCCCTTAATATCCTGACCTACCAAAAACCTGTCCATCTCTTTCTTGAAGGTGTGGATGGATCCAGCATCCACGACCTTTTGGGGGAGAGAGTTCCAGATTTCTACCACCCTTTGAGTGAAAAAATTCTTCCTGATTTCATTCATAAATGGTCTGGTTCTAATTTTAAGACTGTGACCCTTTTTTTGCATTCCCCCAACATTGGAAATAGCTTTTCTGCATCTACCCTATCAAATCCCTTTATCATCCTAAAAATCTATCAAATCAACCCTCAATCTTCTAAACTCGAGGGAATACAATCCAAGTTTACGCAGCCTTTCCTCGTAACTTAAATTGAAACAGGATGTTCTAAAAAATGAGCGGCTTCTTAAGGCACATTACTCTTATAGACTTCAATCATGAAAAATTGGGTACAAGAACACAAAAATGTTTGAATGGCTTGAGGGTCAAGGCCTTGAAGGTACAGAACATCACTGAGGTTGAACAGTGTATAACAAGGGTGGGAAAATAATTTCCATGCATAAAATAAAACATTTGTATCTTGGTGAGTACTAAATCGTGTTGTTTGCAAATGGAATAGGAGCTGATAGGAAAAAGTAGAAATTGGTAATGGACCTCATCTGAATACTTGAACTGCATCTTAACCTCTATTAAAAGTTAGGTTAATTATGGGACATGACAAATATCTGCACCATTTCAATTTGGAAATTCAATGGATTTGCATTCAAAAATTAAGACCGTTTCTTCGTGGAGAAGTAACTAAGAATAAAACCAACAGGGCACCAAAGCAGATGCTGTATTTTAACAGTGAGATGGATACCTTACCTGAATCATTATTACAGTACATCAGGCTCTACAAATCAATCACCCCTGTTCGTGCCTGGCTTCACTGGCTTCCCTCAGAGAATTGAGTACAAAACCCTCGTTCTCAGCTTCAAAGCCCTCCACGATCTCGCTCCCCCACCACCTCTCCAACCTTCTAACCCCATATCAGCCTGTCTGCTCCCTCCACTCGGGGGAAACCTGCCTGCTTCTGGTCGCCCGCACTTCCTGCCCCACCATTGGTGGTCAGGCATTCAGAATTTCTGCCCCAACACTCAAACTCTATCTCACAATCCCAACGCCTCAATCCCTCTCTTGCCTCCTTCAAGTCCCGTCTAAAGACCTTCTTCAACCATGCCTTCAGCCACCCTCCCACCCCCGCTCTCCACCCCTCCTGACCCCAACTCCCAGCTCGGGTCAAAAAAAAACCATTGTTCAGTGTCCTGGCATGTCTTTCTGACGTGAAGGGCATTATACAAGTGCAATTTGTTGTTTAGCCTGATACAACACTGCTTGGCTGAGAAGGCAAGTTGATATCTTGCTTTTGATGAACCCAGCAATGCTCTAATATTGTGTTTGGATGAATTTACTATATTCTTTCTTTCCAGAATGTTTTTGAAACAGTATAGCTAAAGGTTGGAACACACTGTATAGGAAATCGTGTCATCTTCAGAAGGGCTCCTTTCTTGGTTAGGCACATCTGGTTAAGAAGCAGATTTTATTTTTTATTCATTTCTCTCACAATCATGATTTTCCAACCAAGAGCATCCTTCAGATGAGACTTCAAATTGAGGTCCCATCTGCCTTGGTTATTAAAAGTCCTGTGACACATTTAAAGAGGATAGAGTTTTACTGGATTCTTGGCCTTTATCCACATTCATAAAAACAATTGGTCATTCATTTCACTGCACTTTGTACTTGTGGCACATGTTAACTACTGCAATTGCCTATATAATAGCCACTAAATTTTTAAAAAGAGTCATTGTGTGTGAAATGCTTTGAGATAGAGATATACACATAAGGCACGGTATCACACGCAGATATGAAGAAGGGCAAATCATATTGCAGATCAACCAGGAGAAAGCAGTTTGTGGTCACATGGAACATGGATGCATAGATTGATAGTTTAGAAATTTGAACTGCCTTCTGCTAACAATGTGTAAATCTATAGAAATTAGAATATCAGGAAAGTTCAATCCAGAATGTAAATTGAAAGAAGAAAACTCCTCCCCGTTAAATACAGAGCAGTAGAAAAAAACACACAAACACCACAGTGAGCAAAAGACAAAGTACTGTTTCAATGATATAAGATGGGGGTGGCACATATTAGTCAAGAGGAAATTCCTGATTTTGTCAAGTGAGACATTTAGTAAATGTTGAGAGGAAAAAAAATATTTTTTATGCTATTTGAAAGTCAGAAATGAAGACAAAACATTGTTTTTGTCAATTACATTATCTGAGCAGTTATTTGGAAATTCATATTCCTTTAAAAATACTCTTGTCCCACATCCGTAATTTGAAAACAATATCAATCAGCACACAATCCAGCAGTACAACCCACAGAGACAACTTAAAATTGATCTACAAGGGGATAGGGAGCAAATGGAGCTTGACAAGGATGGAGGTGATAGACTTGTGGAGCCTAGTCTGGGAAAGGATACAGTCTGGAATTTGTGGTGGGTGGAGCGTTGGAGAAGTGAAAGGTTACAAGGCTTAAAACACAGTTTTACGTGTGTGGGGGGATGGGTGGTGGAAGTTATAGAAATGGGCATTATTGCAGAGGTGGAAGGAAGCAGACTTGAGCAGAGCCTGGATGTAACATTTAAATTGATTAACAAACCTCTGAGGTTCCACATGAGTTCCGTGAGTTCGAGTGAGCAACCAGAGTAGTTGACATGGTCAACACCTGAGAGGGTAAGGAGCCAATATAACCAAGTAAACAGGCTCAGTTGTTGACATTGACAATGTTGACATTGAGCTTGGAAAGTTATGGCTGAACCATAACCTGATGTCTGACAGGTAGTGTCAGAACAGTGGACCTGGAGATGAGAGGCAGAAGTGTAGAGTTGGGCATGTGCTTACAATGGAAGTGGACCCCCATGCCTGTGGATATCACCAAGGGGGAGCATGAAGAAATGGAGAGGACTGAGGATAAAGCCCCGAGGAACCATATATGACCATGCAGGGGCAGGAGAAGAAGCTGTTAGATGAGACAAAATGGAAATGCTGGGACAGAAAGGAATTAAATCAGTAAATAGCACCTCTGAGTCACTTACCTCTTATACTTGAAACTCCAATTGAACCAGGAAAATACCAAAGCCTCAGAACTATGCAGATTTGTTTTGGTTACTTTTGCAAGTGACTGTTGCAGAAAGATTTACTCCCCACATGTACTGTATAAGCTTTATACTACCGCAATCAATCATACAATTCCAACTGGGCCACCACAAAGTTATTGCACTTATAAAAATGTGCAATAACTGAAATTTTATTACTGCTTGTATATTATCAATCTAACATTATTTGTTGGCTGAAAGTAAGTCACAAGGATTTCAGCCAGTGTACATATGCCCTGTTTGTTTTATTTTAAAATAGGGTTATGGGTTGGCAGAGAAGCAGCTAGATATTCTAGTTTACCTTGGGGAAAGAGCACAGAGAAAGGATGTAATATAACTAAGTATATTTTGAAAGAACTGTTTAGCTTTATCTGGCAGACTAGGATATCCTGTACATGTACCAGACAGATCTCAGTAGCATCACTGCAGCAGTCTTGTTTCCTGCATACCAAAGATTCATAAATCGTCCACTCAGGAGGACAAAATATTTGGGAGTTGACAGCATGCTAAAGGTTCAAAAACAAATGAAGAAATGTGTTACATTGACTATCAATTTAGAGTGACCAATCCTCAGGCTACAAATGCTGGTTTTCAACAAACAGCATTTCAGAATTCAGGACTCAATAATGCTCTAAAACTAAATAATTCATGCCTTTTAAAAAGGATAAATCTATTATGAACAAATAGAATAAACCAAATTTTAAGTAAGGATTCTCTATTTGAATAGCAATGTTAAATCACAAATTGTAATTTGAAGTACATGATCACAGTGATGGAAGTTACAGGATACACTTTTACAACAAATAGTTCCATCTTTGTTACAATCTCTGTAGAAGGTTTATCTCAAACTAATACAGTAATAAAATTACAGCAGTGTAATTCTTAACATTTTGGTGGGCATGTTAAAATAGTTTTTGTTTACATAGAATAAGATTTGCATGATATAAAATGAATAAAAACATCCAATAATTCACACAAAGCGTGTTGATTTCAACAGGTGCAGCTAGCTCAGAGTACAGGAAACTACAGCACTTCGTTTTACACATTTCTCAAACTTACATGCAAAGCCATGAGCATTTACAATGGAAAATAAACTCTTAAGTAGTTTTGTTCTACAGCAATTCTACACTAAATAAATTAAACATGTCCAAACTATTAATTTCCCAATGTGTACTGATCCAGCCAGTAACACATAACTATATGTAAAGCATCTTACAGAGATAAGTCTTGTGTCATGATACAGATCAGGTTTAAACATGGCAACTATACTGTACATATATAAGTTTAAAAGTTGTAACCATAAAATTTAAGGTCCTTTTCAATGCAGTGATAAAATAAATACCATCACCTGCAGCCTATGCATTTTAAGCAGTGCAAGTATAAGAGTTACTAGTATAATATAATTATATTATTGTAAAAATATAATTACATTATAATTGCAAATTATTATAATAATTGATTTTTCTGCTGTTCCTGGCTGATATAGGCTTCTCCAATGTATAAAGGGCAAGTCCACTGCTGGAGGTTTTATCCAACATTTTTACAATGTTCCACATAAATTATATCAAAGGAGAACACCATGATTGGTCAGGTTGGTATTTACACAGGGGCAGCTCCTTAAACATTATTAACAAAATAAATTACTCAGGCAAAGCCTGTGTGTGCCAACAGAAAAGGACAAGATAAGCCTCCTCAACAGCAGCAATGGGTTTTACAGCTTAACGTATTTTACAATGACCTGAAAATAGCTACTCTTGTGATCTGCTGGAGCCAGTGTGTGCTGTCACATTGAACATGGTGGTGTACTTCATGTAGGCATCTGCCCTTTAATTTACAACAGCATTTGCATACATTTTTGGTCAGTGTTTTGTAAAAGCTATTTATAATAATTTCTCTTACCATGGGAGATTACTGTTTCACACCTTAACAATTCAAAGTTTGTGAAATAACAGAACATTGAAAGTTTATTATTGCACTTTGTGTTGCAGTGAAATAGATCTAAAATTCAATTATTTTACAATAAGCACGAGGCAGAGCACTCTGGTGTAATCAACACCGGATCAGATCAATATAAAGCTGCAGTAATGAGGCTATAAAGACCCTGGCATATGCACCTTTCTGAAAAGGTCAGATGCCAACATGAAAGATGAAAATGTACATTCCTGGCAATTCAACAATGCCCAGAATATTTCACTAACATATGGGAGCAATTATGAGACTAATCTAATTCAGATTCAGATAACATTCTTGATTAAATGTGCAATGCTATGGCATTGATATTTTTTCTAGTTCTATTTTCTGACCCAGTGTTGCAAGTTAACAGCTCATAAGACTGATAAAAAGTGCTGGTAATGCACAGGAGCAACCTGGGAATGACTTAACCAATATCCCCTCGAGTGCCTCCTTTGTGCATTCTCACTTCTCAAATCAGAGATTAACTGATGCAGGGAAAGCACTGTGGCCAACCCACACCTCCTCTACAATTCAATGCTTTGGAGCAATTTAAATGCCGATATAGTCATGTCACTGCCCTTTTTCGAAATGGTAATTTTACTGCATAACTAAGCAGGATACCAAAACTTTAGATTTTCAAATAGTTGCTTCAATAAAAATTTAAAATTAGATTAAAATTTCATTCAGCAGAATAATTCAGATGAGAAGTCATTAACCAAGATTTTTTTTGCTGGTTGGTAAAAATTTAATAATTTTTATCACCCAATGAAGCTTTAAGTTAGGAGTTAATACAATGCAGAAACAAACAGTAAATCTTTCTCAGTGAATAATTCACCCTGGTCACACACAGGACACATGACTAAACACAAAGTGCTGAAATTGGTAATTAACAATATTTACATATGATTCTGACCAAAAATAAATCCCTTTTACCTAACTTCAGATATCCAAACTGCAATATGTTAACAGATTCTCATTGGAGTGCATTGCACTCTTGCTCTATTTTGGGGGAAGAGGAAAAGACACATGGGTTGTCAAAGACAAAATCATACAGATTTAACATCTTGAGACCTAATTATCCTTGGAATATTTCTTAGGAGTGTGTGGAAAGATCTGTACAAAAAAAATTAGCAGTTATCATAAAGTGATTCCTGTTGTCAAAGGAGAGACTTGAACACAATTTAAAAAAGGTTCTTAAAAAAAATAAAAGAAATTGTATAGTCTGCAACTTTATGTGGAATTTTAAAAGCAAACTGATAATTGCAATGAACTGGCAGTGCAAAACAGATGGTAAAACTGACATGTAAAACCAAATACAGATTTACCAATTATTAAGAACAAGTCCATTCACATGGTGATATGATGCATTGTTCTTTGAGCCACAATAAATTGATTTCCCTTATGTGCTGATTGCTGTAAGAGGTGATTGTAAACTCAGTTTCTCCTGAAGTAATTGACAAGCCTGTCAGTACAATTTCTGCAAATATTAACAGGATTTTTTTCCATCCTGTGGAAACAAGATTATGCCAAAAAAACTGATATGCGTTCAGGTTAAAACTCGATGTTTTGTTGGTTAGAATCCAATCATGTTACATTCTACAGCAGATCGTACTTTGCAGCAGGAACAGCAAGGTGCGAACCTTTGAATTTGGTTTCTCTGAACACTTACTTACACGGTGACTTAAATTCTATCAATCTGGATAAAATGCTTTTTATGAAAATAGCAACCAGTGCTTTGCTTTCTCAAAACTCTGTTGGAATTGAGCATAGTAGAAGTCCATCTGTGCTGTGAAGTCTCTGCACACACTGGAGTCCAAGTCACCAAAAGTGCAATAAAGGGCTGTTCCTCCGACACTCAGAAAAACTGTGATGATGCATAGCAGGACCAGGAGAAGGCAGGAGTCTGCACTTACTTCATCTAAGATCAGAAAAAAAACATGATCTAAACAAATCTAATTACAGAACTGAAGTATGTTAATGGTGAAGTAAATATTTACAACGAGTAGGAAACCTTAAATTTACCCACAAGTAAATGCACCCATTTACCATCCCAGTAAACCTCTGATGTGCATGAACTGGCAAGACACACAACTTAATCTATCAGTAAAATCTGCTGTTAAATCAGTTCCTGACTGTAAGCGACATCACTGAGCTATTTCTTGCATCAAAATCAGGATATCTGCCACAGCAACTGGAACCCAAAGACTGAGATAGGTCACTGCCTTCTATACTTACTGAACATCAATCAAATCTGAATTTACAATACTTATACACTGGGTAGAAGACTGGGAAGAATATGAAATTAAGCATTTGACCCTAACCCTAAACCAAACTAAAAAAGCTAGCTTTTTTTGTAAATGCAAATGCAGATTTACAACAACAACTTGCAACAACAATGATAAAAATGATTAATATCCTTTACATCAATTTACCACAGAAATTTTAAATCATGTAACTCAGATCCTTTGGCGTCAGTCTGGCTCAGTTGAAAGTACTCTTGCCTCTGGGCCAGAAAGTTGTGGTTTCAAGTTCCATGTCAGGATTTTAAATTCATAGTCTAGGCTGACACTTCAATGCAATTCTGGGGTGCTGCATTGTTGCAGGTGCTGTACTTCAGATGTTAAAATGAGGATATTGTTGTGCCAAATTGGCTGCTGCATTTGCCTTCAAAATACACTGGACTTCACAGTATATCGTGAAGCACTTTCAGACATCCTCCCAATGTGAAAGGTGCTATATTAAATCAAAGGATTATTTTTATAAACGAAAATTAGACACTTAACAAATAATCTAAAAGGCAATGGGGAAAAGAGCTGAGTAAATGGATTAGTGTAGGTAGTTTTAGTGGGGAACTAACAGCACAGGCACAATGTGCTGAAAATTCTACAATATTATATAATGTTTAGTTAATATTAAAACAATGCAATTATCATATTGAAAAATCTAAAAGTGCTTCGCAGGTAATGACAGTCAATTGTATTTGTTGTCGCCTGTATTTTTAGGTTATGCAGCAGCCATTTAAATCAGCAAAGATCCCAGAAACAGCAGCCATGAGGTGAATGCCCAATCAATCTGGAGGATTGTTGGTCAGGTGTGAATCAATCCCACTTTTTATTGCACTTTGCTCATTTCCAATAATAGATAAAATTAATCATTAATGGCTGGATATGTAATAAAATCTGTTTTAATTTGATGGCGGAGTGAGAAAAGGGTAAGTGGGCAACAAACCTAAATAACAACATTTACAGATCCAAGTTGTATATTAAAATACTTGTTTAATTCAGGCTTAAATCCAATAAAACACTTAGGCTTCATGACGTTAGTATGACTCATTTCTGTAACCCTTATGAGAGTGTTTACGTGAGTGCCATTATAATTAACATAATGGGCATAGCCATGTGACAAGAATTAACAGAATATCTTACAGCCTTGTGCTAACAGCGTGGTACTAAACTAGCCGCAGCCAAGAAGTTACCATCTTACCCTGATCAAGCACATCTTCTGGATCCTGAAATCTTACTCTCCTCTTTGAAGATTTCTGGTGGACTCGCAAGATCTCTTGGTTTAAACTTCTTTTCTTCAGTATGGACACAAGTCCTTCTGGAGGAGTATTCTGTGTGCAAATTAGCACAATAGCTAAAAGTTAAAAAATAGAATTTTGGAAGTTCGAGAACAGTGTTGATTCTAAAATAGTAAACATTTTGTGCTTCTCAAAACAATGATTCCCTCGTGAGGTTAATTGCTTAAATACTATTTAAATCCAGGACGAGGGAAACATGTTTAAAATGGTGAATAGCTTTAAAAACAGATATGAGGAAGAACTACTTAAAAAGTAGCATTCTTCAATGTTTGGAAGAATGCATCTGCTCTGGTAAAAGAGGTAAATATATAAGGATATTCAAAAGGAATCTGGATTTTATGTTGTGTAAGACAGTTTAGTAGATTTTGATGGGTTAATTGGAATAATTTGTCCTCAAATCAGATTCTTGTTTCTTAAAACTGCTTCTGAAACTGCACTTGAGCATTTGTGAAGTTTTCAGGTCAACTAAAGAAACTATTGCAATTTTGGTGGGCATTAGCCATTATCTTTACAATCTACAGGAGGATTGTGTGATTCAACGGTAGTCACTGGTCAATAACAGCTCTGCTTACCAAGTGACACAATGAGCTGAATGGCCTCCTATGCTGTAAACTGTGGTCCTATGAACAACACATTTCTGTACATTAGGTACTAGAGGGCCGTTTGGAAGCATGAGATTGTACCTAACGTAAGTCACTTTTTTTCATGATAAGGAGAAAAAAAATGGAAGAAATGATTACTAATTACAGCATATTCCAGATCATTAACTGCAATGACATTTGATGGGCATGTCTTTAATCAAACTTGAACCAGTCCAGGTGAACAAAGGCAGCAACAAACACACCCATAATACATTTTTTTCTTTCGAGTGTTGAGTAGTTTTCTCCATGATGTGAGTCATTTCCCAGCTCAGGACAGACAAGAAACTTGCTTCAGAGTGGAACAAGAGGAGTCCAGAGTGATCTGCCCCCAATTTCCTCTCCTTCCCTTTTAGGAAGTAACTATGTTTTTTTCCCCCTCCATTTCCTCTCCTTCCGTTTTAGGAAGTAATCATGATACCTTCCTGATAGGAAGTTGTGTGGGGGGATTTCTGGAGCACAGTGGGCTATGCCATCTTTTTTGTTATTATTCGGCAACTTCATGGAGTGGTTTTGAAACTAATCTACACAAATAGTTTCTATGAGCCAGAACCTCTGAAACTGTTCCAAACACATCACTTTATAACTCATTCTCTGTCAGATTCGTATCTATTACTATATTGGATACCCACACATTAAATATGTATGGGAATTTCAAGTTTGCAAATTAAACAGAATTTACCTTTCATTAATATAATGATACATTTGGGTGATTATGCATGATGATGCTCACTTTGACAATGTACTGGAATGCTGCTGCCACAGGTGGAACTGGTTGTAAGTTGGTGCATTTGGGAGAAAAATTAGCAAATAGGCAGTTAATGTTACTCGTAGTAATCAGTTTGTTAAGGCTGAATTAGATGCTGTGCTTCCGTCATGAAAAAAATGGTTTTAGATATACAATAGTTTAATCTTTTGCTTTGCGTTTAAAACAAATCAATAATGAACTGCAATCAATTCCACTAAATACAACAAGCTGGAAGGAGGGTTAATAAAGGAATTGTGTTTAAGGTTTACATGATTTGTTTCAGACTTCTCATTATGAAGTTGGCTTTCAAGATAGTCTTTTCCACTATTTAATTGGTTAAAGATCTGTTGACTTGCACCTGCTTAAATGCATTTCATTCACAGAATGTGACAGTGGTATTTTGTTTCCATCATAAAACAATGCAATTGAAATATAGCTTTAAGCTGCCTGGAGTGCAATTCATTCAAACGCAAATATAGTTTTGGGTTGGATTCACAACATCCAGGCTCGTCTACGCAAACTTCCCGCAGACTTCACGTCCTCCTGACGTGAAAGGCGCTTTATAAATGGAATCTTGTTGTTGTTGTTGCTTGTCGGCCTCCCTAACTCCTCCCTCCACAGGCTGCAGATCGTACAGAACTCTGCAGCCCATGTCCTCTCCCGCACGAGCCTCCGTGACCCTATCATCTCCATCCTCGCCCAACTCAACTAACTTCCCATCACACAGAGGATACAGTTCAATATCCTGGTCCTCACCTTCAAAGGCCTCCATGACCTTGCTCCCCTCTACCTCTGCGACCTTCTAAGACTCTGCCCGCTCCTTCCACTCAGCTGCTTCATGTTGCCCACCCACCATTGGTGTGCAGGCCTTCTGCCACTCTACCTCCATCCCATAGTCCCTCTACCCCGCCCCCTCCCTTGCCTCCTTCAAGTCCTGTCTCAAGACCCTCCTCTTTGACCATGCTTTCGATCACCCTCCTTTCCCCACTGCTCTCCAACCTTCCCGAACCCGACCCCCAGCTCGGGTCCGAAACTCTGACTGTCCAGCGCCTTGGGATGTCCTCCCGATGCGAAAGCCGCTATACAAATGTACTTTTGTGGTTGTTAGACTAGCTTCCCAAAGTAAAGTACTTTTCCTAAAAATTTTAAACCTACTCTAGTTCCTTCCTTCATTCACCTACAAATGAAGCTGCTTGGAGTGCAATTCATTTAAACGCAAATATAGTTTTGGGTTGGATTCACAACATCCAGGCTCGTCTACGCAAACTTCCCGCAGACTTCACGTCCTCCTGACGTGAAAGGCGCTTTATAAATGGAATCTTGACACATTCACTACACTTTACAATAAATCCTGTAAACCGCTTTGAGACATTCTCCCCATGTGAAAGGTGCTGTACTAAATACAAGGATTATTATTTGTCCAATTACACTTCTCTCTATAAATGAAAATTAGTCACTTTTGAGTGTCAGTCTGAGTGGTAATACTCTTGCCTCCGAGCAGAAGGTTGTAGGTTCAAACCCCACTTTGTGACTTTGACTTTACATCATCTAAGCTGATACTTCAGTACTGTACTGGAAGTTGCTGTCTTGATGGAAGTTTTAACATTTACTGATACCCTCTCCTGTCCTCAAGTAGAAACGTTTGTAAGGATCTTACTCTTGTGACTTTCAGTTTTGACCAGACATTTTTCTTCCCCCCACCTCACCCAACGTACTCCTTTTTCTCCTAAAGACTGTGGAAGTTTTGTGCAGGACCTGACAACCTTCCAATATTTTGTCTAAATGGTCCTCATGTGTGAGCCTGGGCAATGAGAATTCTGTGACAGGGTATTGTAGTAATAATAATAATAATTCTTGCAATTGGTATAGTGCCTTTCATGTCTCAATAGTATTGCACAGTATCCAATAGTATTGGATCATTTTGGGGAGAGGGATAGAGAAAGGAATAAAAAAAGTCAATCCCTGAAACTCTACACTTTCTAGGAGGTATCATCTCTCCCGCATTATGGAGGACATAGACTGATTTTTCCTCTCTGCCACCTGAAGTAAATTAATAGATTTTTTCGAAAGCTGTTAACTACCTGAGTAATTCGAAAGCACATGTTGTTTGGTTGTACTATTACAAGATTCAAAGGAATTTCTTCACTCAGCGGTTGTCAGATCACTAAGTTTTGGACTTTGTAAACCAACTATTGCGGCTGAACAATAGAACCGTTCAGAAAGGAAAAGGACCTGAGAAGCAAAAATTAAGGGATGAATTGGAAAGTCCTTTTTAATTCTTTTAAAAAAAAGTTATAATTTAGAAAAACAGGCAACACTGGTGTAGACTGATTACACCACTTCATTCTGCATAGAAATTTCTAATTTTATATTTTATTAAGTAAAACTCATAACATTGTGCAATCCTTTTGTTGCCAATACTAACTGGAAATGCATATCTGGACATTGTATAGCAATACAGAAATCCAATCCTTACATAAAGGATCAAAGATGCAAACATACTTCAAGTTTAACTAATAGAAATTGATCCAGTACAGAATTCTGCAAATCCACTAATAGATCTCCAGCCATACACAGCTGACCTAATCACTTTTTTAAAAGCTGCTTATTTGGCACATTGACCATCATTAATGTTTAATCTCTAAAGATAGCATATCCGCAATAACATTTAAAGTGGAGATATTAAATCAAGTGCATTAGGTCCAATTGTTAGCACATGGCTTTATCGCATGCTAATAGAGAGCACATCTGGATGATATTATCCTTCAACTATTCTCTCTCAGCTTTGTATACAGATTAGTTTGGGCTGAAAATTTGCCACCAAATACTTTCAGTAAACATCAGAATGTGGTCATTTTGTGACACAATCACCCACACCACTCATTTATATACAATAGAAGATCAAAGAGCCTGGGATTTGAACCGAGGTTCTCTGATAACTTCATACATTTTTCAGAATTGCACAGCCCTTGGGTTTTACAGATTTTTTTTAAAAAAAAGTTAAAAGATATAAAAGTAGTTAATATAAATCAAATTTTGATCTTTTGAATAAATCTATACCTATCCTCTTTACGTTCCCTCCTATCAGCATTGCCGTTGTCTGATCTACAATAGTTTAATTTAATAGTGTTAAAAATGATGCAATTTTTAAATCGTCCAGACATTGATAACATAATTAACAGCTGTAGTAATTCCCCAAATGGTATAGAAAAAGTTATTTAACTCAATGGATTTCTCAAATTGTAATATTCAACGTTCTAATATGATATTATAGCACATGGTGCAGCAGGTTAGTGCAACCAAGTTATTGCACCACAAAATGTTCGAGTCTGGGTTCACTTCCACAAATTCCTAGATCTATAGTCCATAATTTCAGGAAGACTATCAGGAAAGTATGGAGCATTTAATGCATCCTACAAAATGGAAAGGTTGAGAGAAGAGGAAACCTGGCTAAACTACTGAAGCTCCCTGCACTTGCAACCTGGTTGTACAGTGACCTAAGCCTTTGATGTAAGCAAGATGAATTGAACACTGAAGGATTTTTTTAATATATAAAATTACTAATAAAATCTTATAAGCAGAAAAAAGTCAAATTGTATCTTGAAAAAAAATTAAAACACCGGCAGCTGGTACAAATCGGCACACAGGAAATTACAATACTGAATGAACCGTAGAATACGAGTTATAAAATATGCAAAGGTTTGGAAAAGTTTCATATACTTTCAGAATATGCCAGCAAATATAGTTTACCTTTCCGACTTCTGCTAAAAACAATCTGTAAAATTGGGAAAGATTAACAAAAGTTTCTAGAATACTTTAGAGGTTAGTGAAAATATGATAATTATCTTTCATTTCTGGTAAATAAATTTCAACATTGAGGTTTCATTTTAGCAAAACCAAAGTAAGTAGATCAACAGTTAAGAATTTGGCACGTAAATACATAGCTTTTGTCTCATTCATACATAAAAAGCAGCTGTTGTATGATTAGCAACTATAAGAAAAAACATGCTTCATGGATTTTAAGCAAAATCTGGGTGCAAAAAAAAACTACATCCAACATCATCTAAAAATATCAAATTAAATTTATCTTGAAACAAAGTTAGTACTAGCAGAAATATAAATAACATTACCTCTTCTATCTGTATTCTCTTTGCAAGTTCATCCAAAGAAAGTGAATTCTCACTTAAGTGCATCACTAACTCATCAATACCATCCTTCAGATGGAAAGGGATTTTGTCCTGTGCATAGTCGGAGGGTTGCTTCCATAGTATAGTCTTCTTCCCGTATCTCTGTGATTTTTTCTGGCATCTGATATTCATTAAACTCCACATCATAATGAATTCCCTCATTTGTGACTTCTGTTCCTATGTTTTCTTCCATTTGTTCACATTCTTTGCCTGTTTCATTCAAAATATCTGTTGCACTTTGCTTCGGTGTCTGGTTTATCCTTGTATTTCCTTCACAATGATTCCCATCCTGTTTAGACATAATCTTATTTAAGCCATCATTAGAATCACTGTTAATATGCTTTTGTGATGCATGATTTCCTTGTTTGGGCACAGCTTGATCTTCTGTAATTATTTGTACAGGAGTGTCATTACATTTCAACAATTTCTTATGCCAATTTTCTTCAGTAGTTTTGCCAGCAGATTTCAAATCATGATGTAGATTTTCAATTTCCCCTGCATGAAAGAAAGGAGTAGTGTTTGTAACAACCTCTGCCTCATCAGAGAAGCCCTCTGTCTTAATTGGTTTTGCTGCAGTCAGCATGTCCTCACAAGGCGCTGTAGCATCTGGCTGGAAGCAGCTTTTATCCGTTACAGTGTTTTCAGAATCCAAGCACTCTGCCTTGTTGTCAGGGTGCACCCTGCCCTTTGCTCTTGCTGTCTCTCTCTGTACCTCCAGCGATGATTCAGCAGTACACAGTGTTGACGCTATCTTGCAGCCTTTTTCCACTGCTATTCCAGACTGTGCAGCTTCAGTTGTCCTGCCCTTGGTCATTTCCAATGGCGTGGGTTTATATTCTGCACTTTGCACTGTTGATAGAGCTGCAGGTTGATTCACGTAACCTACAAACAAAAGAAAGAAATGCACCTTTTATTTGCGATTCAAGACGCTTGCCGATGCAGCCCTTGAAAAATTGATATGCTCTGACTTTGAATTTTCAATCATGTGACTGTTAAGTGAAACCCCATCTGCTAATCCTGGCTCAGATCCATTCAATAACCAGGCATAAGTGACATTAAATTTTTAATGGGTTTTTATACTTCATCAATTCAGGCACAGACAGGCAGTGAATTCACATTAGCTCACTGTGAGGCCCATTTATATTTACTGACTACCTATATGCTGTGAGCTCTGTTACCGAAAGTCTATAATTAAGTAATTAGGTTAAAAATGAAGACATTTTGCTCTACTTTAAGACGTAATAATGCAACAGTCAAGTTGCACGTACTCTTGTTAAGGTAGAATTTTAAATACAGCATACACCATTTAAAATAACTCAGTAAAATATAAAATATTGCCTTCCAGTTTTTTGACTTACTGAAATTCAAAGTGCTTCATTAAAAGAAACAAAAGTCTTAATTTAGCATGAACATTTAAAATGGCCATTGTACTTGTGCAACAACAATAAGTTTACCGATGTTGACAATGTTTATATTTACTGTTTTTCCTCTACCAATTTTGCACTTATTTCCAACAAGAGTTGCTTCAAACTGTATGTCTCCTTGATCCAGGAGAGTGGGGCATTCATCACTCCTGCTCCATGTGTGGTGTTGGTCATCATCACTTACTCACCAGTTCCATGCTATAACTGGAAGGTATTTTTTTCACATTGTTATCCTCTTCCTTCTTCCTCCCCCAACCCTCAGATGATATTTCAACAACATAGACAATATTATGGGATTATAGTACATAGGTAGTTTGGCACATATGTGCACGCAACCGCCAGGAAGGTGGAAGGCGAACGAGATGGCCCTTGGTCTTTATTCGTCTAGCATTTTTTATGTCCTTATGAAGCTTCATTGTTTTGAAAGGCAGATTTACCGAGTGGTACTGGTGTAATTGGTTTGGCCAATGGAGCAGATGTGTTGACTGCACCATCCTCCTGGATGAAGCAGGTGTATAGTTTTAAGCTGGTTTAAACTGAGCACAAAATTGGTTTCCAGAACTAGTTGGCTGACGTCCAGAATGCACTTTGGAAAATTATGTTCATAAATCAGGATGATGAAAGTATTGGATAGTCAAAACATGTGCACCGGTGATAGCTTAATGCTATTCTTCTAGCAAAACAAAACAAAGGTTCCCATCTGACAAGAATAATTTGAACTGGTGTCGGATGACTCCAACTTGTAATAGATTAATGCACACTATACTTGTCTATGTTGTTGACACATCATCTGAGGTTGGGGGAGGAAGAAGGAAGAGAATAACAATGTGATCAAATAGCTTCCGGTGTATAAGTGATGCTTAAAAACTTGTGCCAAAAGTTGATCTGGTCACAACTATGATGCCACCAGACTAATTTCGAACTGTAAACCTTAAGCTAGGAAACAGCTTTTTTAAGCAGGCAGCAAATCTTGGGCATTTCTCCCATCTCCAAATGAGGCAGTACAACCTGGAAGCCTAAGGAAAATAGACATTTCTCTCCTACTTCCCCTCAAAATATATCTAAACAGAAAGCCTGCATCAGGTAGAAATTAAGTACATGTTGAAATATAGAGAAAATAGAGGCAAAGATGGAAAACAAAAGTTGATAATATATATATTTTTAGTTGGTATATCATTCATAATACAGTAACATAACCATGAGGAAGGTGAACACAATTGCTATTCCAGTCTCTACCAGCAATCTAAGGGGTAAGAACAAATTTCCTCAATCTTTTTCCACTCTGATATCAGCTTGAATTGTGTTATTGACAAACTAGAATACCGATTTGAAAATGTTTATAATACAGTAGTCATCACTTAGAGACCTGCATTATTTCAGCCATGCATGCATCAATGTAAAAAATATTTTGTTACCGCTTTTACTTTTTAGTTAATTGATACCTCTCCCTATTTGATATTTTGTTGATGGATGGCTGACCTGGAATGACTATTAAGGTGAGCACTTGAAAGTGACACCACACAGAATGCAAGTGACATCTGATTCAGCTAACAAGAAATTTTGTTGAAAGATTGACAAATTGGCAGAAGTCCGTCCAAGAAATTTCACTGTCAAAAGTAGCAACAATTTAATTCTTTATTCGGATAAAAGTATAACTTTTAACTTATACCAACCATTCTCAATGTTAATTTAAGCTTTCACAAGAAACATTAAACTGAACAGAATATTTTTTAAAAAGCAAAAACATTTCTAGCTGTTGTGTGTAGACTACAGAAAACTTAATCGAACATATATAGCAAAAAGCAAGTTAGTGGGAGTACCACAATTCAAGTAAGGATTATGGTCAAACAAAAAAAGACCAATTTCTTAATAGCTAATATCTGCTTTTAAATTGTGATGTTTTAAAAATTGAAAACATTACTTGTATCTAATATGAAGAGAATTCAAATTGAAAATGTTGATGGCGTACTTAATCTTCTTGAAACGGTATAAACGTGGCCATAAGGCCAGCTACGATTTCATACATCCCAAAGAAAGCACCAGATTGTATGGAAACAATTTCTGAGCACATTTCCATTACTCCATCCAGACCGGGTAACTCCCACTGAGGTCAGCAAATGTTTTACTGAAAACTCACTGGCATTAAATAATAAATAATATCTTTGACATATGCATTTCTGGAATATACAATTTTAACTAATGCACCTTGCCAAATGCACTTCATGCATTCACATTACGAACAAGGGCTCTTCATAAATTAAGATTTATCAACATTGCAAAAGTAGATCAGCTGAACCGCTTAACATTGGATTTTTAATATATATTTGTATTATATATGTAATATATATATAGCTCCCCAGAAAATTTCCTGTAGAGGTGTCTAACTAGGTGTAAAGATTTCAGATTGGCAACAACTTGGGAAAGCCTGTTTTATAAAAAGATGAAGAATCTGAAATTCTGCAGGGATACTTTCCCAATAAGTTCAAAATATCTTCATTACCATTTATGTACAAACTACCTCCTCTGACTTTCTTTTACTGAGGATTTTCTCATTATGGAAGTACAAATTGTGCAGGATTCTATCGCATTACAAAATCAGTGGAGAATGTTGGAAAGAATACACCATTGGCAAATAAAAACTGTCAGATTTGGGTTACTCCTTACTCCAGTCAGCGGGAAATGTACAGTAATATAAAAGGTTCAAACAATATCTGTAATATTAATCATTGCATTTGGCGTAGTGCCTTTCATATCAACAGGACGTTTCAAAGCATGTCACAAAATTTTACTATAAAGTGCAGTGACTGTACTTGTAGGTGAATGCAGCAACCCATTTGCGTGCAGCAATGTTCCACAAATAACCATAAAGTGAATGACCAATTTTTTGTAGGGTGAGGGATTGTTGGCCAGGACATCGGGAGAAACACCCTTCTCTTTACAACATCGGGAGAAACTCTGTGACTAGGCCTCCCTCTGCCTCCTCATTCTCCTCGACCTCTCTGCTGCCTTCGATACCGTGGATCACTCCATCCTCCTCCACCACCTCTCCTCTCACCCTTCAAGGTTCTGTCCTTGAATGGTTCAGGCCTTATCTCTCACACCACCTCCAGTTTGTCTCTGCCAACGGTTTCTCTTCCAGTCCCCGCATAATCTTGTATGGTGTTCTTCAGGGTTCTGTCCTCGGTCCCCTCCTCTTCAACCACTACGTGCTTCTGCTCAGTGACAGACATGGGGTCAACATCCACGTGTACGGGGATGACACACAACTCTATCTCTCTGGTCCACCCTCGATTCCAGGACAGCTGACTTCCTGACAGGCTGTCTGTCAGACATCAAGTCCTGGATGAGAGCCAACTTTCTACAGCAAAACTGAGGCCCTCCTGTTTGGCTTGCACAAGCGCCTCAGCACCTCATGCACAGGCAGCATCAGCATCCATGGTTGCACACTCCACCTCACAAAACCAGTCAGGAACCTGGGCGTCTTGTTCAACCTTCAACTGTCCTTTCTCCACCATTTCCATGCCTTTCCCCACCTCTGCAACATTGCCCGACTCTGCCAATGCCTCACCCCTCAGGCCGCCAAAACTCTCATATATGCCTTCGTGACTTGACTAGAAACTCCCTCCTTGTCGGTCTTCCCTCCACAAGCTGCAGGTCATCCAGAACTCTGTAGCTCATGTCCTCTCCTACCAGGCTCCGGGACCCCATCATCCCCACCCTCGCCTGGCTCCACTGACTCCCCATCCCTCAGAGGATAGAATTCAAAATCCTTGTCCTCACTTTCAAGGCCCCTCACAGCCTTGCCCCCTCCTACATCTCTGACCTGCTGACCCCCTATCAACCTGTCCGCTCACCCTGCTCCAGGTCTCCCATCCGTCCCACCCTACCATCAGCGGCCGGGCTTTCAGCTTCTCTGCCCTCACTCTTTGGAACTCCATCCCACAATCCCTTCGCCTTGCTGCCTCCCCTCTTCAAGGCACAACTCAAGATCATTCTTTTTGACCGTGCCTTCAGCCGCCCTCCTACCCCCTCTGCCCTCCCTCATCCCAACTCTTCCCCCCACACTCGGGTCCTGATCCCTGACTGTTCAGGGCCTTAGGGGACGTCCTCCCAACGTGAAAGACAACTTTATAAATGTAATTTTGTCCATTTGAACAGGCAGACGGGACCTCAGTTTAACATCTGATAATATAACTCTCCTCCACCATCACTGCATTGCAGTGTCAGTCTAGACTATGTGAGTTCAAGTAACTATGCGAGTTCAACATAAGGCTTGAACCCCACAACCTTCCGACTCGGAGGCAAAAGTGCTACCAACTGTGCCAGGCTGACACCTTCTGTAACATACTGCAGAACAGACACAGAATTGTCAGTATCGTTTCAACAAACTATTCAGTGATTCAAAAAGTCATTCATGGTTCCCAGACAACTACTTATAAGAAAAGTAAATAGACCAATATTGTATAGTGATTTTTCTGATGAAAAACGTGGCATTTTTATTACAGAATTGTAATAATTCAAATATTAAACAGCACCACAGTAGTTCTTGGAGCTGAGTCAAGGGTAGAGTTGAGTGTTACCTGCGCAGATATAATGGACAAGGAAGTGGTCCTGATTCTTGTGTATGTTACCAAGGGAGACGATATAATAATAATGCTTGCATTTGTTACAGTGTCTTATCATGTCATTGGAACGTTTCAAAGCGCTTCGCGGAATATACTGTAAAGTGGATGGACTATATATCTTGTGGGCGAAAATGTAGATGATGAAATAGAGGACAGTTAGAGCCTGATACCGTACAGGGGCAGGAGGAGAAGTCATTAGATAAAGTGGAAACTTCGTGCAGATAAGTGTGAAACCAGGAAAGTGCAGCCTTGGAGCTGAATCAGGGAGAAAGACGAATGGTCAAATTGTTAAGGCGGCAGAAGATCAAGAACATGACTGAATAAGGAGTCAAAAGTAATCTAAATGCCAAACAGAAATATTTTAAGAGAGACAAGGAAACAAAAGTACAGAGGGCTCGGAGTTGAGGTTAACTGAGTGAATATTAAAAAGTGAGAGAGCAATTGAAAACAAGACAGCAGACCACAAGGAATGTTAACACTAAAACGTTTAACCTATCAGATATGTATTTTAAGAAACAAGTTAGGAAGAGATAATGGTGATTAAGACATGGCACATGTGTTTTACATTTATTTTCAAATGAAGAATGGTCCAATTCCAGATCCAGTCCTTTTTGCTCAATTTACGGATTGAGTTTGTTTAGCTCAGAATTATTTTAAACAGAAGAACAGAAGTAGCAGAATATGCAATATGAAGAAACTAAAGACTTGAATGTCTACAAGGCAATTGGGCCAAATTAATACATTTTAGGATTCTCAAAAAATTGATGAAAGCTCAAATTATATTTTTAGGAATCATAAAGCGTTAGAGCTATACCTGAGGTCTCTCTCCACCCATTAGCTCAGTCTTTGTAAAGCACTTTGAGATGCTGCCCCAAAGTGAAAGGTGCAATATACAAGTGCAAATTGTTGCATTGTTAAATACCAAATTTTATCCTGTTATTCAAAAAAGAGCCTGGAAGTTATCGACCAGTTAGTCCATCTGTAATGGGGAAAGTACACAATACCATCAATGCTTACATAAGGAGGAAAGCCTCTATAAAATGGAGCCATTACAGATTTAGAAGCAAACGGTCATTCTTCACAAATCTACAAGAATTGTTTGAAGATTTAACTAGTGAATAAAATAATTTGGTAACGATGAAATTAACGCAAAATTTACTACTTGTATCGAAAACTGCCTTAGCTGGAGGAAGCAGAGTGGGATGACACAAACAGCTTCATGTGAGAGTAAGGAATAGCTGAATTCCACAGGAGTCTATTCTGGGATCCCTGCTGTTCAAAATATTCATAAATTAATTAGCGAAGATGTCTTGTAATATTTTAAATTTAACCTACAATATGGGGGTAACTAGAGGGCCTAGGTTTGAAATGTAAAAAGTTCAGATTATGATTCGTATTTAGAACTAATTATTTCTCCTCTTCCACTGTCAATATCCTTCGAGTTGGGAGGAGAGGGGGGAGAGTTAAGATAGGTAATTGGGTCTCTTTGGAGCTGAGCTGTCTCAGTTGTCCAATTCCTGAACCAGGCAGGTCTGCAATATTTCAAGACCCTCAGCCTGGTTTATCAGTAGGATTTGAAGAAGCAGATGAGACACTGGGCACAATAATTCTTCCAATTCACCTGTAGGCCAAAGCCCGAGGTGAAGCTACCTAGACAAGCAGCAGAAAGCTTACAAGGCAACATTTGCAATGGAGAGTTATGTAGTTTTAGTTGGTTAAACTCAGCAATACCAATATGCACACACTGGGGTCCCCAAGTGGGCTTTAGGCTCTTGCCAACCTTCATCCAATACTTTCCAGGAAATCAGGGTGCATCCCTCCAGGGGGAGGGTGTCCACTCCGTTTCAGACAGAAATCTTTCATGCTTATGCAAAACGATGTCTGGTTTGGATACTCTTAAGTATGGAGATGATTTTCCACGTGTTAACAGGCACCTGAATGACTAAAACAAAAATTCTGTCTCCCTCCCACCCAAGTTGGGGATTTACAGACTCACAATAAAAGTATATCTCATGCCTAAAGAAGTAGAGAAGCATCTGCTGAAGAATAGCACAGGAGGCCAGGATACAAGGATAGATGCAGACTGAAATGAGTAAGTATTCTGCGGGACACAATGTTGCTGGGATGAAAGGAGATAAGGAGGCAAGGGACGAGTGGCCCTGTTCATGTCTTGCCCTTGATATCTCGCGACATCAGTTTGTGAAGTAGAAATACATGTAGTATTTTCTCAAATGTCTTATACAATGTTATATATGCAACTATGTTATATATGCTAATGCAATACAGTCCACACCGGTCAGACAATATCTATTCTTTCTATGTCAGTTGTCATTGATGCGATTATTTTTATACAAGTAATCTTCCATTTTCTTTTGGATGATTGACTTCCATTTTTCCAATTATTGTGGTTAGGTTAATAGATTTAGTTGCCAAGTATGGTTCTGTGTGTGTTACTAATGACTGCTGATGTCCATAAAGCACTAATCAACAACAGTCTCAAGTCAAATTCCTAGAAACACCAAAATATGCAAATATGTTACCTTAGTGATTCACTAATAAGATAAAATCTCTGAACATGCTCTCATTAAAACATGCATTTTGCACATCTCATAATTGCTAGATTTGCCATGGCAATTTGACTATACAGTAGAACAGTTACAAAGCACTTAATTAATATGCAGGTTCACTTAAGCATGCAGTTGAAGTTTGGACCCTGACATTTACTTCTCTATCCAAATATCCAAAATTCTTGGGATCTGCCTCATTTCCGCTTCATAACATGCATGTAGAGAGGTGAATGTAGGGTGAAATGGGAAAGCCAAAATGGCTATGTTATAATAATAGTATTAATAAGCCTTACATCTGGTATCATACCTTTCACGTTTGGGAGGACTTCTCAAAGCACTTCACAGGATATAAAGTGCAGTGACTTTTTTTTAAATGGACAAAGAAAATCTTCCATTGGTGTCACTCCTTGCAGCCTGAACAAGAATAACATGTAGCTACTGATATCTGAAGTGACCTGCTAGCCAAGACATTGGCTATTTTAGCTTCTGAGCTAAAAACAATGGCCAACTTCCGGGCAATACATTTTTCAAAAACAGTATCAAGTGTTAGGCATAGGTATAGCCAGTCAATACCTTTGCTAATCAAAACTAACTTAAGAAAACATCAGAAGTATTAATCATGCATACTTACTAGAATTGCTGTCTGCATCATTTTTCTTGTGAACATCTGGTCCCTTTGAAATGAGGAGACAATCGTAGAAGCACTGCCCTAATGCAGTAATCTGAAATGTTAAAGAATTGAGATTGATACACAATTGTTGTGACCCCAACAAAAAGACTAGTCATTGGAACTTGAAACAGTCAAACTGCAGTCTTTGTATTAGACTGCAGGTGGCACATATAATAATCCTTGCATTTGATATAGTGCCTTTCACGTCTTCGAAATAACTCAAAGAGCTTCACAGAATATACTGTAAAGTGAATTGACTGTATATTTTGTGGACGAAACGCAGAAGCTAACTGCGCACAGCAGTGTCCCATTAACAGTCGTGGATTGAGTGACCAAATTATTGTTATTTAAAGGGATTAGTACACCCAGAAAAGCGATCTGTCAATCGACTAACAACCAGGTTCCTACTTACTGCTACGTAAACAGAGGCGTGTGGAGTAAAGAAACTTGTCCAAGGTTTCGCCTTGCCCGGGAATTGAACCTAGGTCCTCTCGCTTGTGAGACGATTGCTCGAACCACGAAGCTACAGGACTCCACAAGCAATAAAACTTGCTTTGTAAAAATTTGGCACAGTATCACACTATTTTTCAATTTTCTTGTCCTCAATATGGAAAAACAGAATTTAATTTTAGAAAGTCGCTTCTCAATATCCCTGAAGTTGCACTTACAACTTTGTTTACAGCACCCTGATAGTGCAAATCCTTTGATGACCACCAGAGGTTGTAGTGGAGCCACTTTTATCATACAAACTCGCTTTGCATTCTGCAATTACCAGTCCTGTAGTGAAGTGTCAGCTTAGACTACGATACCCTTCTGACTTAGAGGTGAGAGTGCCATCAACTGAGCCAGGCTGACACTTTCAGTCCACAAATTATTCTGGAAAGAATTTCAGAACCTGGCTCAACATTGCCCACAGAATAAGAAGATTATCACAACTCATGACAGACAGTGCATTCCAACAGTATTCATTTAGGAAAAAACCTTCAATCGCGTGTTGGGCAATGTGTTTATTATGGGCAATTTAATAATTGTAAAAAGAACTGAAATGCTTTAGTAGCAACAAATGTTCTCAATTGTGGTACCTAAGATCATTAATTCATACAATTATGGCATTTTGTATATTGTTTGCAACACTAAATAAATAATATTGTGATTAGGTTCTAAATTGGCTTCTAAATAAAGAACAGAGTTCATTAATCTTACGTACTCACTAAGGATACCCTGCTTCAAGTTTCCATTGCATTAGAATTAATGAAAATGTTCCGACGACATCATTAGTGTTGCAGCCTATTAAAATACCCTTTCAGAAAACAAACTGATTTCTAGTAAATGTACAAGCACAAAAAAAACTAAGTATTAGAAAAGGCCATTGAGTCCCTCAAAGTCATTCCTCAAAAAGCTGTGAAGAGTAATCAACTATGATATATTTATCACTACCTTAAACTTTTTTTAGCGTCAAAGTATTGGTAGTTAAACAATCTCAAAAAGACTTGCAGCATAAGGGCTTGATTAAAATGTTTTCAAAAATATTCTTACCTTATCTACAGGTACATTTGGCCTGAAAGAGTAGATAAAATATTATAAAGATAGTTAATTAAGACAATAGTCACATGCAAAATCTGACTAAATGGAAGACCATTAAAGACAGATATCACAATATCAACAAATCACAGAGCACTATCCACTAAGATGTAGGTTACTGCAATATGTATTTTGTTTTTCACAGTGCAATATAATAGAAGTACACCAACTATTGCAAGTACTGGAGAAAGATTAATACACACTAAAAGTATTAATACACACTAAATGCCACTGAATTTTATAATATTTAGAAGTACAAATGGCACAGTTCTATTTGAAAACATTTAAAATGCATTTTATTCTTTCCTTCTTATCTTTCTACTTTTTTCCCAATTCTTTCTCTATTGGTTTCTTCAAGTATTATCTGCCTTTACTATTCACAACTTTCTACCCTTTTACCTCCATAACGTTTCTCATGCTAGCATTGTAAATTTCCTGCATTTCCCATTTTTCATCCTTCCATTTATAGTTGCTTTTGAATTCATGTTTGATTCCATTTTTATCCTCTTATAAGCTTCATACTGACACAGCCTATTTTCTCTGAACAACTCAGGAGAAGTGATGAAAGAAGCAACACACTGTGCTGAAGCTAAGAAATAGAAAGCAGCTCATATCTCAACTGCTGAAACAGGTGATTAGTGGTCAAGGCCCAGACTGCTGTAGAAATTTCCATTTAATTATAACTTCATCTAGTTTTAGAATTCAGCAATCAAGCACAAAAACAGGGCAATAATGAGGTCAGTACTATTTTTAAACGCACTGGCCCGTAGTCTTTAAATACAAACCAAGATTAGCATTGTAAATTGAAAGTTATTAACCTCAAACCTGAAAAAAATGTTCAAAACTGTTTGAAGTCACCCAACTGTTACAAGTTAAAGCATGAACACAGTAATTGGGTTATTAGAAACTCATTCTCAGAACTCCAATCGCAACTCAATTCATCTCAGAGTGCTTTCCTTTAAATATTCAAACAGGGTACAGAAATATAAAGTTAATCAATGAAACAAACTAACATGGAGGAGTTACTGATCTCCTTGGATCAAGAGATCCAATTCAACACACACAAAAGTTGAAATAATGTAGTCACCGAATCACTAGATATTAATGACTATCCTAAGCAGTTAATTTAGCTCTACCTTCTTGAAATTAGTTCCTTCAACATTTATCAGCTTTCAGTAATCAAATGACTATACTTAACCTGCTGTAAACGGCTTTGATAATAATCCTGAATCTGTTTGTTACCTCTCAAATATTTAGCCTGTTCAAAAACTCCATAGAATGACATTTCCATACGATCCCTGCCAGAATTATAAATATCTGCTGTACACGAGAAGAGGGCCATATATAAAATGAATTACATGTCTAACTTCCTGAGGAAAAATCTGCAATCCTAGATTTGACCACTTTTGTGGATGAACTCTACCCGTCACTGAAAAATCCTCCAATGAGGTTTGCAATTTTGAGAGCTACTGCTTCTGTTGACGAATTTCAGCTTAATATAAAAGCACATAACTGTCCCCAACAAACCATTTAAATGTAAGAAGCAATGCAACAAAACATCCAGTTGTAACAGGAGCCAAGGGCTGAGTATTTATAGTAACCATCGTCATTTACAACAGTTTCAATTTTAAATATATAATATATTCACACACACCTTTTTAAAATAGGTTGTTGCTTGCACAAGGCAATAAATGCCCCACATCAAAGAATTTGTGTATGAGTATCAAAACACAAAAGCAGTTTATTGCCAAATATACTCTTGAGAGAAATAACAGCATTTTGCAAATTAGATTTTACTTTTAGATTGGCTTGGAAGATTAAATATTCTATTTTACAGCCATTTTGCTGCATGGGAGTGTGATTATTTGTAAAGGGATAAGAAATTTGAAGACCAGACTGTGTTCCAACAACCAACAGATCAGATAACCATGTTTCCTTTGCTATGATTAGCTTCTATTGACATCAGGGTATACAGATTACTTTGAAACAATATGGTTAAGTGAAAGACTCTTGTTTTCCTCTAGTGGCAATGGGCTAGGACAATAACGTTTGCAGCTGATGGAATTCAAACCTTAAAATAAAGTGTTTTAAGAGTTTGATATTAATGCAGTTAACACTTTTTATATGTAAATACTTATTGCCAACATGTTACATATCTTTTGCATCATTATTGAAACATAGCTGCACTTGAATACTTCTGCAGAGGAGTCCAAATATTTATCTGAAATACAATCTCGATAATGAGTCACTAACCAATATAAAAAATAGAATTCATTATAAAAGCTTTTACACCCATGGGAATAATTGAAATGTGCTATCAACCAGTAAAATATTCCAATCAGTGGAACCTACCATGTTTAATAAACAGGTCAGCATTCATAGAACCATTTTGTCATATTTAGCAAAAAGCCCCACTCCAAATGACTTAGTGACATTGTGCTTTGTGAATCATGCGTCACCAAAAAAATTCCAAGTTCAGTCCCTTCTCTGTGCTGAATACCATGCACGTGAATGCAAAGAACAGGTCTGAGTTATTTTGAGGGTTTCATGGACAAATATCCCTCTGACACTCATTATCAAGGCTCACAAGTGCTGTAAGGAAATGCAACTTGCTACAATTCACAACATTTAAAAAAGTAATGAAAGGTGGAAATCAGAGCAAAAATATTTATATAATTTATATTTATAATTAGATTCTCCCATGCAAGACTATTGGATCTCTTCTCCAAATTAAGCTTTTTTTAGCAATCATCAACAACTTACACTTCTATAGTACCCTTCACATAGGATAACATTCTCATTTGAAAGAGCTTCGTAAGTGAGTCTGTAAGAGAATTCCTGAAGAGCAATTAACACTTTGACATCTTTTAGAAGAATTTTTAAGAGTCTCCCTAGTCCAGAATCCCTTTTGCCCATTTATTTTTCTCTACTATTTACTCTACCATGTCTTCCTTGCATCTGAGCATCCCCACTGTAGTATGCTGTCACTCATCCTCCAAATTGTTTTCCTTAAGACATTAGCAAGTGAATAACAGTACAACAGGCACATACAGCATACTGCATGTGGCATAGGGGAGGTGGGGGAGTATGCAAAAAAAAATCTCTTCAGGCTTATAACCAGAATTTCAACATTCACAAATGCAGATTCCAACATTGGATGGGTGAAACCCTGCTAAGTGGAGAAATTTCAAAGATTTATCTGTGAGAGTTGCTTGTTCAGCGAATATTTAAACGGACAACTGAAATATCACCCCTTAATTGTCTGTGCTCCAATGTAAACATTACCAGCTTCTGTCTTCTCTTCTCAGTCCTCAGATACCAATCCTATGCATTAATTTAGCTCTCCCCACCCCCATCATGTTACCTCCTCCAACATCAAAATGTTAATGTCAGAATGAGGAACTGCTGCAATTTGAACACCGAAATTTGCCTTGGTTTAAAAATTCCAACACATTAAAGATTCTAGACACATATGCAGCTCATATGTCTACACTCAAAGTGAACTTACCTGCAGTGTGAAGCACAGATTTCAGTAAGCTTTTCTATTTTGTCAGTATCCAAAGCTTTGAGTACTCTCCCTTCGGAATCCTTATTTGGCATTGCGGTTTTCCATTTTAATTCTGGAATGCCAAAGAAATGACTACATCTGAGCAATACAGCAGCATTTACAATCACAACATCACAAGAGAGGCACGGATGAAGAAAGCCCTTTAGTTCTATGATCCCATCCTTTCAGAATTCATAATATATGCATATTATTTTTGGACTATATTAGAAAATAACAATTCAGTACAAAAATTAGTTAATAAAATAATCACACACAGGCATAGTTGAGATGCAGCCAGTCCAAATAGCCTATAAATTTAGATAATGTTCAAAAATTAGCTTGCCACTGTAAATGTAAAAAATTCCCACAGCAATGAATATCTTAAAATAATGTTTACAGACAATGACCATTATGGACCTGTTCTATACATACCCCAATGATCCTGAATAGCAGAAAGATTAGCCAGCAGAGTTTGATGATACAGTTTTTCAAGCTGAATAAACTGAATTGCTTTCTCAACTAGGTACAGCATAGCGTAAAGGAAAGTTACTCTTAATGAATCCAAAACAACTGTACTGTTTTACGAGTTTGAATAGTTTTTTATCATATTAAGTGAACACGATAAATAATAATAATCCTTGCATTTAGTATGGCGTCTTTCATGTCGGGAAGCCCTTCCAAAGATTTATTGATTCTGAGGAATCCTAAAATGCCTTTATCCTACATGTATATTAAATTTGCAATGAAATTCTATTTTTTTCTCCTCTCCTTACATTACAATGATGGTTTTTACTTAAATTGAGAAATCTTCTTGTAGACCCTTCGTGCGCAATACTAGGGAAGTTTGGGAAAGAAGACCAGATAAATCAAGAAAGAATAGTTAGATGACTACTCGAGCTTAGATTAGGAGACATTTAGTTCCAGAGTTTTAAAGTACTGTTAAAGAATTATTAGGGGTGAGGGAGCGTGAGGACTTTTGGTTTCAACTCAATGACACAGTGGGCGAAAGATGATGTTCAACATTCCAGAAAATCCTGACATTCATGCACAAGAATTAACGATTTTTGTTGCCTTCCAAAAAACAGCTCCAACTAGCTTTTACTTTCAAAAACTGCTGCACAAACTATGTTTCATATTTCTGCCTTTTGCCTTTGTGTTCTTATCCATTAGCTACATTTATGCAGCAATGGTTATGTCCATTCCCAGCTCAGCTAAGATTACTCGAATTACATTAAATTGGTTTATTTTTGCTCACGTCACAATCTTTATTGTTAACCATATCATTTTTATTTTAACTGGTCACATTTAGATGATTTCCATGCTCATGAACATAGGGAATGCTTCACAGAATCCTTGCAGTCTATCTGATTGACTTCTTGTTTAAATTTTAACCACAATTAAGATTGGGTTCCAATGAAAGAACAGATTTTCTTCCACCACCTGTAAACCAGATCCACCTGTATTTAGCACTGCAGCTATTAGCCTTGCCTATGGAAGCATCATTCCCTATCCCTCCCAAGTGACTCACTCTAGTTCAAGTTTCCACTCTCGCATCAATGAATAAATAAATGATCAGTCTACTGTTCAAGGTTTGAATTCACATTAATTACATGTCAATCTCAGTTTCTCACACCCTCGGCCCCAGGCAGGAAACAAGCTATACCTACTCTTAAAATAAATGAACAAAGGAGCTTTTCAAACTGTGTTAACACAAACATACAAGTTAAGACTTCACTCTTGCACATATATCTATCTAAAAGAAACTTAATTTGCTGATTTTTTTTAAAATGTGAGACAGAACAAGTGAAGAGAAGATAACAAAATCTTCCCCAGTACTCTAAAGAATTGTTCTTTTGTTTATTATACAAGGGCTCCTGCTGATCAAAGCAGATATGATCTCCAGAAGTCTCCACTTCCTCACAAAGGGATTATTTAGCCTCTCACGCTATCTGGCCAAGAATATTCCTAAATCATTAGCATCAACACCTCAGATTTGCAGAATATATTAACACACAATGCTAACTTTTGTTCAAGCTTACAGTGGACTTATTAAAATCCTTTCATGTGCAAGAAAGTTCTAGCAACAGTCCAGAAAGAAGCAGTTTTCTTTCATAAATAGTTTAATCCTTTCTTGTGGTTACATCCCAAATCAAGTATACCCTACACACTTCAGATATTTAAAAAGTCAATATTTAGGATAGCCATTCAGGCCTAATTTCAACATTAAATGTATTGCAACATTCCTAACTTATACACCAGGAAAATTACAACAGGAAACAATTGACGGCACTGCCAAATGTAAAAGGATACACTCTTCTTCATGGAAATAGATTTCTGCAATCTGAAAATAAGGGGAAAAAAATTAGAGTGTAACATTTACAATCCATCTGCCCTTCAATTTTAGGCCTGTCTTGGCTACAAAACAAAGCACAACTAAACCGATTATAAATTTCCTTTGATTCTATTATGATAATATTTCACTCCATTAGTACACAATAAACCATTAAGACATTTCATTGATACAAGTCAGATTCGGTATATGGACTAGAATCCCATTACAGCACCTTTGGTGCAGTGCACCTTCACTTTTAATGCGATTGGGGGTATGAACCCTGACACTTAATAAAAATCCAAAATATAGGTGGAAAAAAAATGGCCAAATCACTTTAAAAAGCTGGCTAGCATCCATGTTATCAGGTCGCTGCCAACAAATGACATCGTTGATGATCTGGTGATCTGCAACATGGCCATTTTGGCTTCACCACAGTAAAAAAAAAAGTCAGATTTCTGGTCATCGCATTGCCGCTGACGTCATTTCCTACGCCATGCGAAGTGACATTAGTGGCGACTCAATGAAGTTGACCCTTTTAGTGCAGGAAGACAGTTGGAGTGCGGGTAACTCTGCTCATCCACACTTGCGGAAGTCCTGACTGCAATTGGACCCTGTTACATCACAAGTGAATAATAATAATAATAATCCTTGCATTTGATATAGCGCTTTTCACGTCTTCTCAACGTCTCAAAGCACTTCACAGAATATACTGTAAAGTGAATTGACCGTATAGTTGTGGGCGAAACGCGGCAGCCAATTGCGCACAGCAGTGTCCCACAAACAGTCGTGGATTGAAAATGACCAATTTATTATTGTTTTGTTTTGGAGGGATTATTATTAGGGCTCTGTGTGGAGTAAGGAAACTTGCCCAAGGTTTCGTCCTGTCTGGAATTGAACCCAGGTGTCTCACTTGCAAGGCAAGTGCTCTAACCACTGAGCTACAGGACTGTAGAATGGATCCTACCTACATTATAATGGGGCTTTACTGTAACAGCCAGTTAAGTATAAAGCAAATCCATGTGTACTATGTCCTTGCTATACATAACTTGCATCAGATAAATAAAGAAAATGGAACTGTGTAATTAGGCTATTCTGAATGCTCCAAAATTTCACCCAAAATTTACCAGATAAAAAAACTCAGATTTTAACTCAGAATTTATGGATATTTCAGCACATTCATGTACTCTGAACAGTGTCATCACTTTCTTGTATTCTATGAGTTTACCTGTGAGATGCAACAAAAGCTAAACATATAGGAGAGACACATGGGAGAACAGAACTGTACAGAAGCATTTCTCAGCAACAGATTTACAGATTTATTTATATAGTCTTATCTTTCACATTGGAAGGACAGTGCCTGAAATAAAATATGCTGGAATGCTCCAAGTTGAATGAAATCTTTTCCTACAATTTTAAAATTCCTCATTTTTAAAATCTTACTACGTTTGTCATTGAGACAGGAAAAACAAAATGCACAATGCATAACTGGGGTACCTGATGGAGATACTGTGGCAGAAGATTGACATCGCTTAATTCAGTTACTCCCTGGATGCAGTCCAGTAGAGACTGGAGGAGCCTTTTCCCATCAACTTGCTGATAATTTATATCCAAATCAGAATTCTTCTCACACAGAACAGTGCTCAGTGCTTTTGAGGTATCCACAAACTCCACTGCTTTTTCCTCAGATGTTTCTGTAAACCCAAAACAGTCTAAAATAATGATTTGGTTAATAAAAGTTTAGAACATGGATGGCTAACTCATGGATGGCATTGGTGGCAAGTAAATTTCACAGAGGCTTCTTAGAGAGAAATTATCTATTCCGTTATGATTTATTAAAGATACTTCAGGAGAAACAAAAGTAAACCCAGAATAATACTGTCAGATCCTTCACTCTAGCATCAGACAAGAATCACCTTTAGCATAGATAACATGTCTTAAAATAAATGAGCAACAAAAGAAGCCTTTTTCAAGCTTCACGTGTTAACAAAAAAATACAAGTTAAGACTTCATCCAAGCAGTCCAGTGCCTTGGGAGGTCTTCCCGGTACAGCTGTAATTTGTTGTTATTGTTGGATATCAGGAAGTACAATGAAATTGATAACTCATGACCACAAGAGAAATAGCTCAAATGATTACTTATCAGAGTTGACTAGTTAGCCAAAGTACAGTATTTTGAAATTACAAAATACTACAATAGCTAGTATATTGAGTGAGTGACTAGTTATGTGCAGTTGACCACTTATCCCAGTGGTGAGTTATCAGAATTTCAGTACATTTCTTTTCACAGAAGATAATCAAAGCTGGAATAGATTACCAGGGGTGGCTGAAGTCAAACACTGGACTTATTTAAAGAAAGATGTTGCCATTATGGATAGATAGTGTCTCATATTCTGGAAGGATGAGATCAAATAGGGCATCTGAACCTCTTATGATCCTCAACTCAAAGACCTGGTTTAATTCTAGCCCAGACTGATGGAATGAAGATCTTCATGCTTTTCACTTAAGTGAAATTTATTTCATGGTATATAAAAAAAGTATCATCCCTAAGGATACAGACAGCAAACAAATTTGCCCCAAATCCAAAGAAATTGGCAAAATAATCAGAAAGACTACTTAGCCTAGTTTCCGAAATATGGAGTGGGTGGGGGCATAGGAATCTCTTGCACTGGTATAGAAAGGAAGAAGGTGAATTTAAGGCAAAATAATCAGAGCTTTACTCAGCATCTGGTAATGTAAATATTGAACTTGGGAGTGCTCAAGACTGACACCCAGTAGAACTTTTTTCTTAAAATTTTGCCCGCACAATTATTTTTCTAAACATCAGCATATTCTGGCTGAAACGGGCATAAGGTGTCTGATAGATTATATTTTAATGACTTCTTCCTAAGATAAAATACCCTGTTACAGGCTCCTAAATATAGAAAGGAAACCCACTGTACCCCGAGATTAATTTAAAACAAATAGATGTAATCAAATGCTTCCCAACAGTTTAAGATGCCACCAACCCTATATGTTAGACAGATTCCACATTTGATCCTTGGTCTGTATTTAATTAGCTTAATTCAGTCACATTGGCAACAAAGGCATTTCAGATTTACCTCATTGTGGCTAACTATGAAGGGAATTAAAACTAGACACAGGTTCGAAGTCCTGACTGTTGTCCAGCAACCCATGTTGGACGTGACTGTGGGACAATCAGAGCAAGTGCAGAATGGTGGATGAATGGCCCATTCTGAATGCTACAACTCACAATTCTAGGCTCATAAGCCAAAAATGGTTAAAAAGGCAACACCTCAAATTCTTATCCCAACCTCAGACAAGAAGAGACACCATGAAACAAATATTAAAGTTCCATATTTGTTACAATCCAGCGTTTTTACATTTTCAATTTTTTGGTTTTCAATGCAGGACTTTGTATTAAACAATGCTACAAAGTAGTATATGAAAACTTACCAATAGAACTGGTCTTAAATTTGCCTTCCATATCTGAATCCCAATTATTTTTAATTTCTTCTGTTTCTGACAATGGCAGATCTGTTTTCACATGAGCAATGTTGTTACAGAGTTCAGATCTATCACTACAAGCAGCCTCCACACTGTCGCTTTGTACATTCTCAAAGCCAGTCTGATTAAAGTTTTCCTCTTCATTGTTATTAATCAAATCTTGCTCACTTTGTTCATGTCCTCCCGTCATGCCATCACTACATATTGCTATTGGTACTTCATGAATCTTATTTTTATTTTCATCTGAAATTAGCGGAGAAAGTTGACTTGTTCCACTCAATTTTTCCACTTCGTCATTGGAGCTTGCGTTGTGTGCCGTTTTTGGTTCATTTGTACATAATCCTTCTTCTTCCATGAGAACCTTCCAATATAGTCCAACCTGGGACCATCAATTTTCTACAGCTTTTTTTTTGTTAAATAACAGTCTGCAGATAAAATAAAGATAGTGAACTGTTAGATCGGACAGTAAATACATTTGAGATCAGGGACACTACAGCTCTAATTACGGGGTCCTTTCAGAATGTGACCAAGATCCCATTGAACTATTTTAGTATTTTGAATCAGAACAAATCACAGGCAACTGTACCCAAAGGGCTGTCTTCTAATAAGGCAATGGTCTCACTTGGCAAACCACACACTACTGCAATACTCAGGATTAAACAGTTTATGCTGAACAGAGTCAAAACAAAAATCTCAATGCTCGAAAAATTTAATTAAGTAGAACAAAAGAAATACACAGAACGTTATTCTGAGAGAGAAAGGTTTGGAATGCTGATGGCCATCAGAAACTAACATTATTGAAGAGTGAAATTTAAATTGAAATCCACCATAAATGACCAGACTTGGATTTAAGTTTTTTTTAGAAAACATGATTGCTTTTAGTTCTACTCACCATTTAAATAAAATAAAAATAATAATAATTTGGTCACTAAATCCGCAACACTTTGTGGGAACTGGTGTTTGCAATTGGCTGATGTATTTCTCCCACAAAATATATATTCAATTCACTTTACAGTGTATTCTGTGAAGCGCTTTGGACGTCTCGAAGATGTGATAGAGCTATATCAAATGCAAGGATTTTCAGCCCAACATTCCAGGTCGGACGAAGGCTCAAATATCAAATATTAAACAAATTTTCTCTTTCAACGTTAATTGAACTGTCCATTTTATGACCGTCTCTTTATAATATCCAACAGTCATTAAAAGGAACAATATTTGGTCATCAGAAATGAACATGTTAGCAGAGTAAAATTGAAATCCACAATGAGTTATCGAAACTAAGTGTTTAAGAATTGTTTAAGTTTTGGATTTTCTATCAAAACATCTTAACATGATTTAAGTTTTTCGGAAAAGCATAAATTGCAGGGTACACACTGGGAAACAATCAACAACAACAACAAGATTCCATTTATAAAGCGCCTTTCACGTCAGGAGGACGTCCCAAGGCGCTGCACAGTTGGGTCATGACCCGAGGAGGGGGGAAATGGTCAGGGTGAGGGGAGGGAAGGGAGGGAGCGAGGAGGGGGAAAATGGTCAGGGTGAGGGAGGGAAGGGAGGGAGCGAGGAGGGGGAAGAGAGTCGAGAGGGGAGCTGAAGGCTCGGTCAAAGAGAATCATCCTTGACAGAGAAAAGAGACAACACAGGACAAGACTTGGACAGTAGGTCTACACATAGCGAAAGAGACAAAAAAAACTGCTTCAAAAATCTATTTTCAAAACCTTCGTAATTGAAGTCAATCTTTGTTTATTTCTCCTGTTATTTTACTTAATCCTTTATATTCTATATTGTACATACACACACAATCTCTGTAGTATATCATTCAACTGCTTCTTCTTCTATCTTCTATACTAATAAAACGACAATGTCGGTCTGTGCTTCAAGAACGATCTCAGCAACCGATTGACATAGAGACATGATTTAAGCCTCATCGGAAAGGTCTTGGGAGCGGCATGGACATATTTGTTATCGAGTATCTCCTATCGTTCATGAGCTATTTTCAATTTTGAGTTTTTTGCTGCAGTTACACCCGGTGGCCGCCAAGTCAAAGTGGTACTGTGGGATCGTGCATCGCACAGCACCTTCGTATGCACAAACTGCAGTTACACCTGGTGGCTGGGCACAGAGCAAACACGGAGCCAAGCGGTGAGAACAAAATAAAGAACACAGACAAAGCTAAGCCGCGGCAACAACAACAAAATTACATTTTTAAAGTGCCAAGTCCTCCCACAGGAGTACAGATAAAGATGAAATGTCTACCTGTATCTATAGAGTCTGTCTGTGTGTCAATCTACATTCCATATTGGTCCTTCGGTTGCAAGCGAAGCTAGTTAAATTATACATGAAAAACAAAACCGGTGAGACTGTTGTTATTTTCATCTCCTATGTAGGAGCCTGAGAAAATCACAATTTAAGAATTGTCCAGTCAGGGCCAATCTGGGCTTCTTGATTATACCCAAGAGACCACAGTGCATGCCACAAAAAGCTTGAGAGGAGCGATACTGAGTGCAGCTAAAATTGGTAGCTGCTTTGGGAAGTAAATGGGCTATGGAGGGCTGAAAGTTGAAGACAAACAAAGATACAAAATCATGACAATTTCTGATTACCGTACATCAATTATACTGGATCTAGATTCATGCTCTCAACTTTAATTAAGCATTGCAGAATTTTTTTTTGCATTTGAATATCATACTTCAATGAAAGTTATAATGAAAGTTATGAGTACAATTTGTCTACCAGGTGGGAAGGTATTTTTGTACATGAAAATCTGGACGTCAGTTGATTTTATGTAAATTAAATCACAAATTATGAAGATAGCTCAAGAATAAAGGCAATCGCAGTATAAAATGTGTTGTTTTGAAAAATACCCATTTAGTAGCTCAAGTGCCAGATCTTTTGCTTCTTCTCTCAAACTGGAAGATTTTAATTTATTAACTTTTTGGGGGAAAAAATTGTGATTGAATACATACAAATAATGACAGGAAGACAATCTATGACCCTGCTCTCTGCAAACGCATTCATTTAGTGTCAGCCTGACCCATTTGGTAGCACACTCGTCTCTAAGTCTGAAGCTGTGGGTTTAAGTCCCACATCGAGACTTGGACCCCATACAGTATACATTGACACTTCAACACAGGGCTAGGGATGTGTTGCATTGTCAGAGGAACCGTCCTTCAGATGAGACATTAAACCGAGATCCTTGTTGTCTATCTAGGTCGATGTTATCTCATGGCATTATTTAAAAAGAAAAGGGAGTTCATCTCGGTATCTTGGACAAGTAAAATTGGTCACTCATTCTATGGCTATTTGTGGGTCATCATTGTCGTGTGCAAAATGGCTGCCACAATCTACCACAAAATTTGTACAATCACACACCACTTTACAAAATATCCTGTGAAGCGCTTTGAGACAGACGATATAAGGCTCAATATCAAATACAAGAATTATATTAGGATTATTTTCTTCACAGCACTCCGAAACCATCATATATAAAGTGCGCTATATAAAAGCAAGTTGTTGTTTTTCTTTTAACCTCTGATGAAACCCTTGACCCCAGGACCACTGCTGTGCTGACAGAATGTCTGTCAGACATCAAGTCCTGGATGAGAGTTAACTTTCTTCATTTGAACGTCAACAAGACCGACGCCTTTCTGATTGGCTCCCGTCAGCACCTCCACACCTCAGGCGCTGACAGCATCTCCATCCGTGGTTGCACACTCCACCTCACTGAGGCAGTCCGGAACCTTGGGGTCTTGTTAGACCCTCAACTATCCTTTCTACCCCACATCTGCGCCATGACCCGCTCTGCCTTCCCCCACCTCCACAACGTTGCCCGGCTCTGACACTGTCTCACACTGCAGGCCACCGAAACCCTCATACACGTTTTCATTACATTGAGGCTCGACTATGCAAACTCACTGCTTGTCGGCCTCCCCAACTCCTCCCTCCACAAGCTGCTGATCATCCAGAACTCTGCAGCCCGTGTCCTCTCCTGCACCAGGCTCCGTGAGCCTATCACCCCCATCCTCACCCAACTCCACTGGCTTCCCATCACACAAAGGATACAGTTCAAGATCCTGGTCCTCACCTTCAAAGCCCTCCACAGTCTTGCTCCCCCCACCTCTCCGACCTCCTAACTCCCTACCACCCTAAAGTATTCCAAGGCTATGGATTCACCCCATTCTGTACAGGTTAAAATCTTTTAGTGTGGGTATTGTATGCAAAATAATACTAATAATAATCCTTACATTTGATAGAGAGCCTTATCACATCATCAAGATGTCTCAAAGTGCTTCACAGCATATATTGTAAAGTGGATTGACTATTTTATGAGCGAAAAACAGCAGCCAGTTTGCTCACAGCAATGTCCCACAAACAGCCATAGAGTGAGTGATTTTATTTGGGGGATTGTTGGCCAGGACACCAGGAAAAACTCACTTTTTCGATCAGTGCCATGGGATTGTTAACGTCTACCTGAACAGGCAGACAGGGCCTTAGTTTATCGTCTCAACTGAAAGGACAGGACCACCACCAATGTAGTACTGCATAGGAGTGTCAGCTTGGACTATATTATTCCAAGTCCCAACGTGGGGCTTGATCCCACAGCCTACTGGCTCAAGGCGAGAGTGCTACTACTCAGCCAGGCAAATGCAAACATTTTTCATCCCTTCTCTCTGGGAGGTGGAATCCAAAACTGTACATGCACAAACTTGTGTTTATCCAAAGTGGAAATTTTAATCAATGCCCAATAATTGCTTTCATTCTGTTCTTGCAAGAGCGAACAGATATAACTGACTTGTACAGACCTGCTAAGAGCTTAGGCCACCCATGGCAAAACCACAGGTAACATGAGCACTCCCTTCAGCAGCAGGGAAAAAACACTTAAATAAGCCCTTATAATAATCCATGCAATTAATAGTTCTTACATTTGGAATAGCACCTTTCATGTTGGGAGCCGTATCTACCTCACAGGATTTATTGTAAAATGCAGTGGGTTTTTTTTGTAGGTGAACACAGCAGTCAATTTGCACACAGCAATGTCCCACAAACAGCCATATGCGAATGATCAACTTTATCCAGGAGATTGTTATCCAGGATGGACTCTTTTCAAATACTCATATGGGTTATTTAATGCCCACCTGACAGGCATATACGTCCTCAGTTGAATGTCTAATCTCAAGGATGATACTTTGAACACCACAACACAACACCTAGCACTGTATTGAACTGTCAGTCCAGATTGTGAGTTCAAAGTACAAATGTCAGCCTTGAACCCACAACCTCCGGATTCAGAGAGCGCTACCAAGCGAGGCAGGCTGACACCAATTGATTTGACTACTGACATCTGTTCATCGTATTCAGGGGCACTGTTTCATTTACACTGCAGTGCAGCAGTCAAATGCAAGGCTACATCTTGGACATCCACCCG